GACACTGTTTCCGTGTTTTCTTGTCCGCGGCCCGATAAAGATTGGGGCGGCGGTAAGCAGTGGTGCGTTGTTTACGGGCCGGACGGAAAAATTTTCGATGACAAAAAATTCATCAACAGCCACGATAGGCAGAGCGGGGAAAATCGAACAAACGGAACTGAAACGCAGCCATAGCTAAACTTTTTGCCACCACTAGACCCCTGTGCATGTCCTTTGTAAAAAACTGAGTTTTGCCCAAAACTCAACCTAGTGTAAAATGGGTATTTATAATTAATAAATTTGATATATATCACAAAGATTACAAAGTTTGTTTCTAATTATGTATATACAGATATTTAGTTTGGGATATTTAAAAACGATGACACGAAATAAGGTTCAAGAAATTTAAAACTTTTTTATCGGTTTGAAACCAGCTGGTTTTTTACCTTTTATCGCTTTCATCTGAGAAATATACCAAAATATACCGTAAATATACTGACGAATTCAAGTTATATTATACATATTCCTCGATTTTTATATTCCGTTGAATATTGCCAGCTAGACAGAACCCTCAGCCATGCCCACGCAATTTTATCCGATTAATGAATCCATTTTCTACTTGACTGGCTTTTTTTAAATACTGGCATTTATGGGATCTTGCCTAAAAAGTTCAGCGAAAAAGGTCAAACAAAATCAAACGTAAGAGAAAAATTGTTTCTATTTCTAAATTTAGATATTCCCTTGAATAATGCTCACTAGCTAAAACCATTAGCTCTGTCTCATTTCTATAATATTCCCCATTTCCCCATTAATAAGTGGCGTCGCAGATTGAAGCTTACCGGAAGGACTTTGGTTCCATTCCTTGACTGAGAACGATTAACCAATTGTGAGTCAAGGGGTATTTTAATATTCCACCGAAAATAATTTATTGTTGTTTTTTGAGTTTAGAGGGAAGATGGTATCTACAGAAGAATTTACAATCGTTAATATTTTCCGCCATATACCCCAAGTAGTACAAATATTTAGATAGAGGGGGCTTAAGTGGGCTAAGTTCGATTTTACATTTTATCGATAAGTCCGCAGCTGATTTTCCAAACAAAATAAATAAATAATCTTTTCAGACAAAAAGCCGCGCACCTACACTGAAAACATGGCCCACTACAAGGGTGCCGCTAGCGAGGCGGGGCGAGCCGCCCAACTGATGAAGAAGCGCGAGATACAACAGCAGGAGATCGAGTTCCGCAAGAAGAAAATCGAGGAGGAGCTGAAGCTGGAGAAGATTGAGAACAAGTTCGCCACGCACTACGATGCCGTGGAGCAGCAGCTCAAGACCTCGACCATCGGTCTGGTCACGTTGGATGAGATGAAAGCAAAGCAGGAGGACATAGTACGCGAAAGGGAGAAAAAACTGGCACAAAAGAAAGACGAGAAGGACCGTGAGAAACAGCGAGCACTGGAAGCCATTCAGGCCGAGAAGAACAAGCAGAAGCGACAGATTCAGGCCTTATCTTTCAATCTAGCCGATGAAGACGAAGACGATGAGGAGGCCGACGACGACCACCAGGCAAGCGACAAGGAAGAGGAGGACAAGCCGAAGGCGGCCAAGTGGACAGAGATGCAAGACGAGATCGTGCCCATCAAAAAGAAGAAAATCTGTAAAAATCCCGATGTGGACACCTCATTCCTGCCAGATCGTGAACGCGAGGAGCAGGAGAATCGACTGCGCGAGACCCTGCGCCAGGAGTGGGTAATGCAGCAAGCCGAGCTCAAAGACGAGGACATCTCGATCACATTCAGCTACTGGGACGGCTCCGGACACCGTCGCAATGTGCAAATGAAGAAGGGCAACTCCATCTACCAGTTTCTGCAGAAATGTCTGGAGCTGCTGCGCAAAGAGTTCATCGAGCTAAAGACGGTCATGGCCGACCAGCTAATGTACGTCAAGGAGGATCTAATACTGCCCCACCACTACTCCTTCTACGACTTTATCGTGACGAAGGCTCGCGGCAAATCCGGACCTCTGTTCCAGTTCGATGTCCATGACGATGTGCGCATGATAAGTGATGCCTCCGTGGAAAAGGAGGAGTCCCATGCCGGCAAGGTGCTACTCCGCTCCTGGTACGAGCGCAACAAACATATATTCCCAGCCAGCCGCTGGGAACCGTACGATCCCACCAAATCATACGACAAGTACACGATCAAGGACAAAGACAAGGCTAAAAAGTAATGTTAATCTTATATTTACTCAAATAAATATTCAACCATTCACCAGGCTCGATCTGTAATCATGTGTTTGAATTTCGATGAGCTATGCCTGCATTGAGTATCCTGAGTTGCGGCTACGTTTGCAGACGCCTCGCCTTCATGGCGAGTTCGCCCAAAAAGCTAAAAGAGGCAAGGTTTTAGAACACAGCTGAATAGGAGAGAGAGCTATACCTGGGCACGGATATTCTTGCCGGACACCGGCAGCGGCACATTCGGGCAGTCTGTCATAGTTTGGGGGTTGCAGGCACGTCCTTGGCGACATCTGCGTGATTGGCCAGGGCAGCGCCGGCTCCACCGAAACCAGGCACAACATTGACTGATCGGCTTGCTTTAGGGCGATGGTGCCTGGCCAGTTTCAGGCCGATTTGCTCTTGTGCCACCTACTTGTTGATGAACAGTCCGAGCCCTTCCGGGGTGGTCTGGGGGGCTGAGGCAGGGCGGAGTAGTGGGCCCCAACTTCGGCAAAGGGCGCCGCCGGTCTTTTTGGCTTCGCAACTGCAGACTCTGTGGCTCAACTTTAACTGTAAATGCGAAGAATGTGGAAAGCACGGAGTAGCCGTGGAACAGCGGTTGTTTTTGGGGAGTGCCCTGTGACATCATGACTTACAGAAGCCACTGTAGGCAGACGCACAAGGCACTTTTGCTCATACAACAGTAGCATAAACAAACGAGTACCGTTCCAATTGCTCAATTTCTTTATTCCGTTGAATAATGCTGCCTAACTAAAACCATTAGCTCTGCCCACATAATTTTATCGGATTAATGAATCAATTTTCTACCTGATTGACTACTTTGAAGTACTCTCTTTTATTGTGTAGTGTATAAAACAAGGTTTAGGCAAAAAAGGTCAGCAAAAAAACAGTGGCAACGTAAGTGAGTATGGAGTGTCACGTCAACCGGAGTTTGAGTTCAGCTATACCCTATTTCGTCAATATATATGAAGAAACTGTTTTTCCAAGCTGTTTAAAAACGCAATTAATATAGAAATGATCTCAGATTGTTATGTTGTGGACATATTAATGCATATTATTAGGGTCTTGTAAATATATCTCGATCTCGATACCCATTCTTGGTTTCTGTAAGACCAAAACCTTCATAATATCTTTGAAATACCTTTAAAACAGAAACTGACTAGTTTTGGCCTATATTGGTGCATTAGATGACAAACATTCTCTCAGTTCCATAATATCCATTTCCCAGGGTATGCAAAATGTTGCTCAATCCGCGCCATGTTGGGGAATAATGCTGCTCGATTTCACGGCACATGAGTCTGGCCCATACAAATTGAATGTTGCCAGCAACATAAGACGTAAGAAAACGTAAGTGAGGATTGTGGCGAGGAAAAGTCCCAAAAAAGTCCCACCAAACTTGAGCGCCAAATAGAAATTGTTTGAATGTGAATCATCGATGTTTTTCTCAAACATCGATGTTTTTAGATTTCATTCGATTTACAATTGAAGAATCTTTTAGGACATTTACACTATGTTTGAAAATCTGCCCCTCAAATCCAATTGAGGTGGCAGTGCTTCGATAAGTCTTGACGAGGGGCTGTGGCTGGGCGGGGTAGTAGGCCTCAGCTGCGGCAAAGGGCGCCGCTGGTGGTGGCAGTTCCTCGATAGCACAATATTTTGATGACATTTTGACATTTTTTAAATATACCGAAAAATACCGAAAAGTACTCGAAATATTCTTTGTTTTTTGATATTCCGTGGAGTATTACTAGCTATATAGAACATTTAGCCGTGCCCACATCATTTTATCCGATTAGTAAATCAATTTTCTATAGACTGGCTTATTCAAAATACTTTCTTTTATTGGATCTTGCTTAAAAAAAAGGTTTTAGCGAAATAGATTGTTGAAATTGACAAAATATACCATTATATACCGAAATTTAAAAAATGCGCTGCTCAACACTGACTTCACAGCTGATTTAACAGGCGTTGACGTTATCAAAAAAGATTAAGTTTAAATAAATATGCTGGCGACCAGACGAAGTATTTTGTTTTGAGGCTTTGCCGAGTGGACGACCAGCAAACATCAGCGTAAAAAGCTTTGGCCGGGTAAGAGCTCGAGTTGCTACGGTGGCTGCGGGTGAATAATACACAATAGTAATTGCTGTTGCAATTATTCTCCGCTCCTAATCAAGAAATGTAATGTGTGTGTTTGGGCTTGTGGGGGTGGTGTTGTGCCATGTGCCAATATAATCAAAACAACAACAAAAATTCACTATTTACGACGTTAGCAAAAGATCCAAACGGGAAAAGGTTACGAAGCGCTGAACAAAAGTGAGCGGGAATTGCGTTAAAAACTTGTTTTATGATGCAAACAATTTTCTCTCTCACTTCGCGTGCGTAGTACTCAAACAATACAGTGAAACATGCTTGGTGTGGAATTTTAATAGACAGTGGTCGACAGAAAATATGTTGCATTCTTTATGAGCATGCAACGACAGCCTGAAGTGAAGTGGAGTGTAGTGCAGGTGACCGCTGTTGTCCGTTTACGCTTTTCATCCGTCAGCGGATTCTTTGTCGGGCTGGGGTTGGGGTTGGGGTTGGTTTTGCAAGTGTTTTGGATTTATTATGATTATGAAGCTCGATAAGATTGGGCTCTGTATAATTAACAGCCTGTTGATGTGTTGCTGTTCTTTTTTTGTGTTTGGTTGGCGGTGGCATTAATCGTGCAATTATTTATGGCTTAATTGTGTTTATTTTTTTCTTACAGGATTTGTGTGTGCGCTGATAAACAATTCATCTGAACAAACAACCATTCAATTCCGGTTGGGAATACATTACGGCCAAGCAACTAACATTTAAAATGAAATATTTTGGCGGCGTCGAAGGGTAAATAATTCCAGCAATCGTGATAACAAGAGTTATCATTTGCATCTTCCAGACAGTCCTTAGGCGAACACTTCAATAGCCATGCCCTAGCATAGTGTTTAGACTCGAATATTTACCACACAAAGAACGTGTAAAGATTAGGCCGCCTTAATGAACTTCACCAGCTTCGTTTCGGGTATTCTTTTGCTTCTGGCGATAAACTCTTGTCCATCCATAAAAGGCCTCAAGACTGTGGGTATCTCAACAGAGTCCCCCTTCTGGTACGACTCAAGCAGGGCAATCAGCAGACGTGGTATGGCTGTCGCCGTCCCGTTGATGGTGTGAGCATGCTGGACTTGTCCATCGCTGGCGCGGAGGTATTTTACAGCCAGCCTCTTGGCTTGATAGTCTGTGCAGTTGCTGCAGCTTGAAATTTCACCCCACATCTGGCGACCAGGCATCCACGCTTCTATATCGTACTTCTGGTATGCCGGCGACCCCAACTCACAGGGCGGCATGTCGAGCAGTCGAAAATTAATGCCCAGCTGCTTGAACAGGTCCACCTCAATGTTCTTGAACTCCTCCAGCTCGGCCTCGGACTGAGTCGGTGTACAGATGGCGAACATCTCCACCTTGGTAAACTGATGCACTCGGTAAATGCCCTTTTCCTCCTGCAGCCCGGATGTCTCGGCCCGGTAGCAGCGACTTACAGCGGTTACCTTCAGCGGGAGCTCTTCCTCTGGCAGCACCTTATTGGCAAAGAATCCGGCAAGTGCCATTTCCGATGTCCCGGAGAGACATTCGCCAGTGTCCAACTTGTAGACCTGGGTGCGTTCACCTTCGGTGCGCATTCCACACGACTCAATAACCTCCTTGGGCAGTATGTCCGGCACAGAGATTAGCCTGAAGCCATGCTTTGTGACCGACTGCAGGGCATATTGTATTATAGCCTGCTCCAACGTGGCCAAGTGTCCCGTCAAGTAGTAGCTCTTGTGACCCGTATAGTTTCCCAGGTGATCCATGCGATACAGGTTTAGAGCACGAGCCAACTCCGAAAACTCCTTGGGCTTGAGAGGCATCTCCCGCTGTACGTGCTGAGCCAGCTCCCGCGGCTGATCCCCGTAGTCCAGCAGACGCGGATGTGTGGCATTGGGCAACTGCCCCAGCTCCTCCTCCAACTGTTGCTCCACGCTCCGATCTCCGCGCACAGAGGCTTCGATCAGCTTGCGGATGAGGGGCACGTTGTTTCTGTGATGGCGCAGCTCCACATTCTTTTCCAGCTCATCCAGTTGGGCACTGGTTAGAGCCGGTTGCCCTGCCGCTGAGGGATCATGTGCTTGAACTGTTGTTGTTCTTGACGATCTTTGGCGGCGTAGCAGCAGCAGCAGTTTCTGTGCGTTTGTCAGCAATTTCATTTTGATTAATTAAACTGTTTATTGCACGACATTCATGTAAGCTCGTGGGAGCGCGGGGGCCACCGTAAATTGAATAGTTAACTTCGGTTTTCGCCACACAAATTGATAAATAATTTCACCCGCGCCCCGGCTGTTTGGTAATAACTAAATCGAGTTGGCAGCCCCACACAAGGCCATGGCAGCGCTGCCAGACTATCTGACACACATTTGAATGGAAAGCGGCGGTTTTGACGAAAATAAATTATAATGCTTGTTAGTATTAGCTAGATCGTAGATAGCAATATCATCAGCTATCCTGCTATCCAACCCATACACACACACACAGTGTTTACTTCAATTGAGCGCATTAAGCCCATGTGCATTTTCGCAGTCGCGTTATCTCTGTTGCACTCCTCACTGTCCTGTATGATAAAGTAACGGTAACTGTGGGCCTCTATTTCTCAGAACTATTTCATGCTTATCTCTATTTGGAGACAGACCCGACTTTCTTTCCATTTTCCCGCATCTGAGAACAGTTTAATTGGGAGATCTCTGTATGGGTTCCGCGTTTGTGAATCCAATTTGTGCGTGTGCGACACGTTTCTCAAATGAATTCATTTATCAATTGACAGTTCAATTCCAATTTGCAGTCGCTGGCTCTTTTAATTTAATTTAATTAAACCGGCATATTGTTCGCCGGTCACGACCCTTGAGAAAGCCACGACACGACACCTATTGTGTAAGAATAAGTGTGCTTCCGGATGGAGAGGGAAACGGGAATGGTAGATGTTGCATATCAGATCAGGTTTAATGACTGCCATTGCTCTGTCCTGTCTATTACAGCGGAGCAACGCACTCCAGGCTGGTCATCTGCGATGAAAGCGGCCAGTCTGTGGGGTCTACCAGTGGCCTGGGCACTAACCACTGGGGTATTGGCATTCCGGAATGCGCGCGACGCATTGCCGACATGGTTGAGCGGGCATTGGAGGAGGCCAACATATCGAAAGAGATTCGCCTAACCAGCTTGGGCCTCAGTCTGAGTGGCTGCGAGCAAGTAAGTTCTCTCGCCCAAGAGGCAAGTGCATTCTCTCATGAGTCCATCTTGACAGGAAGCCACCAATCGAGAGCTGGAGCAGGAACTGCGCACCACATTCCCCAACCTGGCCGACAGCTATGCTGTTTCCAGCGATACCATGGGCAGCATGTTCACCGCCTCCTCCAACGGCGGCATAGTTCTCATCTCGGGCACTGGCTCCAATTGCCTGCTGCGCAACCCTGACGGTTCCACGTTCAACTGCGGCGGATGGGGCAACTTCCTTGGAGACGAGGGCAGCGGTGAGTGTAATCCATTATCAGCTAATGGATTGTGTCTGTTTATTCGATTTCAATGCTCAGATTATACGCATCAACTGCGATTAGGATTGTCTGACGATAGCAGCGTTGATTGCCACTAACTCAGTGGCACACTGTTGTTGTTTTCGACTTTGATCATAATCATTCGACCCCCAATTTGTGTCATTCCCAGCCTGGTACATATCCTATCGCGCTCTTAAGGTTGTCTTTGATGACATGGATAGCTTCGAGAAGGCCCCGGCTCCCATAACCAAGACCTGGGCCCTGATCAAGGAGCACTTCAGTATTGAGACGCGCTACGACATGCTGCCCCATTGCTATGCCAAGTTTGATAAGCCCTTCTTCGCCAACCTGTGCAAGAAACTGGCCCAAAACGCCGATGACGGAGACGAACTGGCGTTGATACTCTTCCGCGAGGCCGGCGTCCATCTGGCCCGCATGATCACGGCTTTGTTGCCCAACGTGCACAAGGATCTGGTCCAGACGGGCGAGCTGAACGTGGTGTGCGTTGGTTCGGTGTGGTCCAGCTGGAACCTGTTCCAAGGGGCCTTTACCAAAGAGCTGTCCAAGCAGAGCATCAAGTTTAATCTCAAGCTGGTGCGCATCACCAAGAGCAGTGCCTACGGTGCCTGCTACCTGGGTGCGGACAGTGCCGCCTTTAACCTGCCGCGCAAATATTCCGACAACTTTACAGTATTGCACACCATACCGAAGGGCGGCAAAGCCCCGACGGGGAATGGCGTGGCCACTAAGTGTTGCAAGTGCCAAGAAAAGTGAACCAGGACATCAATTCATTCCTAAATACATACAAAATTCCACGCGTAAGTGTAATAGTCGTTTTGTTTTGGGGTTTGTTAGAAATACGTATGAAAATTTTATTCGATAAAGTTCATTGTATTAAGAGTGTGCTTCGTGTGTCTGTGTGTAAATGTTGGCTGTCCACATCTTCCATTTTATAAGTATAGTACGAGTATGTATTGTTTTCTGTTCATTCGCTGCATCTATATCTGTAATACTTTCGATTTTATTTAAAGCCAATTCGTTTTTGTTTTCATTTTGCGCCGAGCTGTCTGTCAATTCTTTGGCTAATTTGATTCTCAAATCGTGGATTAAAAGCAAATTAAGAATGCTAAGAATGTTTTTCTATTGGTACGCCAAAACATAATATCTTAGGGTTCGTTCTTACAGTAGAGTATTTGGGATAATATACGAGTAGATTAAATAGAACGCCATAGCATGGGGGGAATCAATATTATATCTAGTAAATATATAATTGCTTGCATAATACATTTGACATACTGTACGAAATACCATACCAGAAAACATGTTCAATAATAAAATCGATTTCAATCAAGAATCAAATCCACGCGAACATTTTTGTCATGATGCATAGAGGGGGTCAGCGCATGGCCAAGGGCTCTTTTGGCTCTTTTGGTTTCTACGCGGCTATCATCACCTCGATTGCGACTTTTGCGCTTCCCGACGGGCATATAAACTGTGATTAAGTATAACTTATATTCATACGATTGGCTTAAATGCATCTTCGGCTGTGTGGGCCTCAATTGTTCATGCTCTGGCGCAGCTTTTGGGGATCCTGGTAGTGTGACGACGAGGATATAACCGAAGGATGCTGTGGCGGTGGAAAGCAGCGCACATGCTCTACATTTGAGCCCTCACCGTCGCCGCCCTTCAGATATTTGTTGAGAATGGAGAAGATTTGTGAGTTTAATACTTGGAAACGTCGAATACGATCCACCATTCGCTTCAGTTGCTGCCAACGAAAAAAACAACAGAAAAATTAGTTACTTTCCAAGCAAACATCACTTTAAAGCGAAAACTTACAATTCCCTTGACATCCTCGTCTTTGCCATCGACGCGTTGCACTCGTAAAATGTGATAGCAAAAGTCCAGGGCCTCAAAACGTCGCTGCTGACCGAGCAACACGATCATGACACAACCTGCCCAGTTGAGACCCTCGCCAAAGAGCTCCTCAATCGTGTACTCCGTGCCACGCACAGGAATGCAATAGACAAACTGCAATGCCGACCAGAGGCGATGGAACTCGGAGCACTCGTCCACATGGATTATGCCATTGGCTGGTGGCGGGCCACACCACACTGGATCGTCCAGGTAGCTCTTCACTCGATTGAGTATCACTTCAAATATGCTCAGGCCGCAACAGAGGCGCTCGCGTGTCAGTAAATCCCCCTCGCGGGCTATCATAGCTTGCTGTAGATTAAATTTCAATTAGTAAAAATAAACTCACGAACCAACTCTCTACAGCCGATTGCTTGCTTACCTTGGCAGTGCCAATTTTTTCCACATTCGAGACGATCTGCAAGTTGGCAAACTGAGCCTCCAGTCGCTTTTGTTTGGCTTCAGGTTTCTCGTTTTCTGCAAATTATAAACAGAAATATATTTCCAGCACAGACTGGAGCTCTTTTGGTTTTTACGCACCTTTGCAAAAGGGTCTGGGGAAGATGTTTTGGAAGAGGGCCGCGTGCAGCAGATCGCACACCTCCTCCTGGGACAAAGCCTGCTCAATCAGCAGGCAAAAGATGATGCAATTGCCAAATTCCCTGAAAGACTGAAACAGTTCGGTTTTCGTGTCCGGGTATTGCACAATGTCCGTAAGATGAGCCTGATAATAGCTGAGCACGCCGGGCGATCCGTACTCGCAGCGCGGTAATTTGCAAGATTTGGGCATGGCAATCATAAGCGTTTTGGTGAACTGCAGCAACGAGCCCTGGATCAACGGCTTGACAATGTCCTTCAGTATGATGTCCATGACAACGGCAATGCCTTGGTAGCCAAGCAGTCGGCACATGGCATGGAAATGCGGCGATCCAACGAAACCAGTGTACTGCCCATACTGTGTGGAGTATGCGGCATTCAACTGCTTGGAGCCCCACAAATAATAGTGAGACATTTGTGGCGGCTTCTCCCGTTGAATGGCCTGCGTCGACGACAAATTGACTTTGGTGCGAATAAACCTGAATGGACATAGATCATAATATCGATCATAAATATGGCATGCAAACACGTACCGATTTGTGGCCGCATTATAGCAGTAATTGACCAGGAAGTCGTAATTCAATTCCACAAAAACATGCAGCGTTATTCGACCGTAGGGGGCCAGGACATTGTGATTAGCCTCCTTGACCATGCCATCGAAATTGTCCAATGCCAAATATTTGCTCAGCAATTTGTGGCAAATGCGATTCGCCTCCAAAAGGCCCTCGAGTTCCTGGATTCAAAAATACATATGAAAGATCGATGTCGAGAGATATATGCAAATATTCAGCTTCAAGGCATACCACAATCCCAGTTATGTCATTGGCCTCAAAGCGGCTGATGGCTAGCTCAATGCTCTTGTGCATATTGGCGTTGATGCGTTGGGTGACCAGTTTGTTCAAGTCAATAGATCGGCCTGGGCAAGCAGAAGAAGCAGAAGCCAGTTCATTAATTCGCCTATCCAAAGGGGCATATATTTTACATACCCAATAGCTGGACATGTCGTTGCTTTAGTAGAGTCTCATAGCGATTGTTCCGTGGATACGACTGGAAGTTGAAGCCTAACACCTCGCACTCCAGCCGGAAACGTTTGTCCAAGAATATGCTGCCAGCCAATTGTTTATAGTGAGCAAAGATCTGCTCACTTAACTTGTAGACAAACTGATCAAAGCACAGGTTCACCTCGGCCTCTACCTCGTCGTAGAGGAACTGCTTGCGGAAGACGGTTAGGGCATAGTGTGCCGAATCGTTGTAAAGGTCCAACGGGTACAGGACGAACCTATGGGAAACACACATGGTTAAATATATTCGCAGGAGGTGGAGGGTTCGCCTCGTTACTTACTCCATCATTGAGGGCTCTTTTGTTTGCAGTATATGATCGGTGAGAATCCACGGCATAGACATCTCAATAGGGAACTGTATACGCTTCTCCATTGTTATCAAATCCTTACACTCTTCGTTGTGCTGGTGACGCACCATGCACTTGTTGACCTTGCGGCCCATTGTCATTTCCAAATAGAACTCGCGATACCAGAGCTGCGACAGATCGCAGCATTTCTGTAGAGTGTCGCTAAAGTTGAGCAAATAGCTCCAGTAGAACGACGTGTTGTGGAACGTTTCGATCTGCATGAGGCAGTTCCCGTCGATATCCTTGCGCAATGTACGCTTGCCGCCACTCTTATCGGCTGTCAGCGACTCCAGCATTGTGCGCACCATATATAGCTGTGTGGAGGATGGTCCCACATTGAGGCGTGGCACATGGATACGAAAGCCGCCATCGGGATCTTTTTTGCCTTTGGACACGGGATCGTCGGTGGGCTCGTAGCCCTTTTGCCAATCCGCAGATGTCTCCCGCACCGACATAATGATGCTCCGGATTAGATCCTTTTTGTTCTTCACCGCCTTCCGAAGGGGTTCGCGCAGCGATAGCTGAACAAAGTCCTGCAGCTCGGAGTAAATATTGCGTCGAATAGCCTCACACAGCACCGTCTCGATGCGTGCCATCAGCACCTGCAGGCCTTTGATCATGGCGATCACTTCAATCAGGGCAAACTTCTCCTCGGAAGTGTAATTGTATCGGGTTGCCCTTTCGTACTCCTCGGCCTCCACGGGGCACTCCTTGTTCTGGTGGTGGTCAGTGGGATGGAGCAGCTTCCAGGAGTACAGCTCAGTGACCACACTTGTCCACTCCGACAGAAGCTGCAGACCGCGCAGGGCCAAGTCGGCCGTAATCCGATTCTCAGCATCCGATGGATTCTCCTTGACAGTGGTGGTCACCTCGTTGGTGTATCGCGCCAGCTCTGATATGTACTTGACATGATCCTCCCGTATCTGCGGCAAGTGCACCATCAAATCAGCCTGAGGGCTGATGGCATTCGAGCTGGAGAGCGGCCACTTGCTGGAGTCGAAGTGCTTGCTCCGCTTTATATAGTTGAAGGGTGCTATCTGCATGTCACCGAAGAGGGGCACCACCTCCAGGTTCTTAAAGATGCGATCGATGCGGTCCAGGCGGATTTTCTTCTTTTGGTCCAACTTGTTGATGTTGCAGGCATCACTGTCCATGAGGAAGAGGCCAAAGCCCATTACCTTCACCAGCATATGCTTCTCCTCGGGCGTCAAGTACATTTTCGTCTCGAACATGTGCACACAGATATTAACGACATCCGAGAGCAGATCCTCGTAGCCGACGATCTTTTCCAACGTGTCCTTGACAGTGTCGCGTATTTTGTTCTGCGTGGCCAGGAACATGGAGAGATTCTGCGACTCCTGCAGTGTGTGCGAGTCGGACATCACCTTCAGGAATTGAGCTGCCCGCCTATAGGTGGAATAATCGTTTTTTACACTCGACTTCATGTTCTTCAGCTCGTCAAGAACAGCAAACATGTTGATGAATTTTCCCAGCGTCAACAAGTATGCTTCCGACACAAAATCCTTGCGCTTCTCTGCGTGGCACAGCCGCTTCACCTCCCCCGAAAAGGCCTCGATGGCCTTGCGTTGGAAATACATAAAGTTCAGCAGCTTGTTCACTTCTGGGGCAAGCACTTCGACCGTCTTCTCATAGATCTCCACACGATTGGGCTGCTCGTTCGACTTGGGCTGTGGTATAGCCCGAGAGCAGCATCGCCAGGTGTAAAGCATGACTGCATGTTTCTGCCCCTCATCGAGCAAAACATTCTATGGGTGGGGGAGAGGAACGAGCGAATTGTTTACTGGTGATATAGTGCGGAATTTTGTGCGTCTTATCTTACCAAATTCGCGTGCGTTGTCGCTTCCTCTATGTACTTGGCAATTCCAGTGACAAATCCATTGCGATCTTCAAAGTTTGTATCGAAATTTGCCTTGTAGATAATGGAGCAGGGCTGCGCCTCTATACATGGCTGCTCATCGGGCAGCGACAGCTCGTCCAGCACCTCCACATTGGACAGTGCATCGGCAAGCGTAATCTTCTCCGTCATGTTGGGTTCTTTATCATAACTCTAACGAGTTGACTTGATTAAATTAAAAGTTAATAAGGCGGGGCACCAATGCCCGACTAAGATTTTTTTTTTTCGTCTGTCGTTGCCACAAATACACAAAACACAGTTTTTGCCATTCACCCAGCAGCGTTACAATATGGGTATCTCCCATTCTTATCAGGTGGCAGCACCACGAGGATAAATACCACCACCAAATAAAAATACGGATTGAGCAACATTTTGCATACCCTTGGAAATGGATATTATAGAACTGAGAGAATGTTTGTCATGTTTGGGCATGGCTGAAAGTTCTATCTGGCTAATAATATTCGATGGAATATCAAAATTGAGCAATATGGTTACCAATCCTTGACGTAGAACGATTAACCTATTATAAGCCAAGGAATTTCAATTTTCCACCGAAAATAATAATAATTTAATAATTTTAACGCAGTTCAAGTGAAATTTATCGTGGTTATTTTTAAGTATAGATGAAAGATGGCATGAATCTACAAGAAGAATTTAAAATCGTTAATATTTTCCGCCATTTACCTCAAGTAGTTGAACAATTTAAATAGAGGGGCTTAAGTGGGCTAAGTTCGGGTTTTCATCATACGAGACGCTATATGTTGTTTAAGAATCAAAATGGAGGCAAAAACAGTAAAAGTCAAGTCTTTAAAATAAGCCATTCAAGTATAAAATAGATTCATCAATTGGATAAAATTATGTGGGCATGGCTTAATATTCTATATAGCTAGTAATATTGCACGGAAGATAAAAAAAAAGGAATATGAATAATTCGTCGGTATATTTTGAAAATGAGACCGTATATTTCAGTATTTATTTGAATCGGGTATTGAATCGGTAATAGCCGCTTGACAGCAACCGTAGGGCATACCCTACGGAAGAGGACATTATAGAGTGTTTAGACATTATAGACATATAATCGTTACTTGTCAGTATCTGTTTAAAGGGTACTTCGGAGACCAAGAATTGGTATCGTGATTAGGATATATATACAGAAAAGCAATATTTGCATATTAAATTAACGAAATAGGGTATACAAATGCGAATACTTCGTTTGACAAGGATAATTCGTCAGTATATTTACGGTATATTTATGAAATGAGACGGTATATTTCTGAGGGACAGACGGTATATTTAAATGTGTGGTCACACTGTATACTGCCCGCGTCAGGCTTCTCTTGTAAAATAATTTCTTGACATTTAAGTTGTATTCCAGCAGAAAAAAGGAAAAAAAAATCAATATGTCGATGTTTTGGGGTAAGTTGGTCCTTTTTAATGATTTTAATGATTTGTATCCAGGGCCATAGTGGTCACGCATGGGCGCATGGGCATCGCAGCCGACGCTGTTGCACCGGCCACGTGCTTGCGACACGCCGGCAGCGTGGAACGCCACCATTTTAGAGACGAAATGTGTAACATGTTCTTATATCTTTTGATGCATTAGGATTGGTAATGAAGCCTAACCGCAAGTACACCCAGACGATTGTAAAGTCGTTCCATATTTCGGGTGTTGCTCTCGATAAGGGAGAGGAGGCCAAGTTGTATTTGACAGCCGAAAAGCAAAAGTATGTGGTCGCCACAGTCCGCAAAGATAATCCACAAGTCCCGCTGGACTTGAACTTTAGCAAGGGCGACCGAATCATATTCCAAACAACAGGTAAGCTGATTTTATGATTAATAGTGTGCACCCACAGGCATCCATAAAGCTTACATATTAATCGGTATTCAAAATTTTCTTCTAACTTCGCAGGCGACGCCACTGTTTCATTGCTGGGCTACTTGCATGACATTGATTCGGAAGATGAGGACGATGAGGAGTTTAATTTGAAGACTTTATTGAAGGGCAAGGCAGACAAGAATGGCCAGAAGGATGAGGACGAAGACGACGACGAGGAAGGCGATGAAGACGATGAAGACATTGAGGACAGTCAGATTATCGAAGAGTACGAGTCCTTGCTGGAAAATGGCGACGAAGAAGATGATGAGGAGGACGACGAAGATGAGAGTGAGGAAGAGGATGATTCTGAGGAGGAGGATGAGCAGCCCAAAGCCAAGGTTGCCAAGATAGCACCCAAAGCTAATGAGAAAGCAGGAAAAGATCAGAACGGTGTAGCCAAAAACCAGCCGGAGAAGCAGGCGAAGAAGGAAAAACCCGAGTCCAAGAAGGAGCAGCCGAAGGCCAAGGAGCAGGAGAAAAAGCCTGCCGGCGGCGAGCGCACCATCACGGGCGGTGTGAAAATTTTGGACCTGACCACTGGAAAAGGGCCAGAGGCCCAGAAGGGAAAACGTGCCACCGTATACTACATCGGTCGTCTCCAGAGCAACAACAAGACCTTTGACAGCATGCTACAGGGCAAGGGATTCCGCTTCCGCCTAGGAGGCGGTGAAGTCATCAAGGGCTGGGACACTGGCGTCATTGGCATGAAGGTTGGCGGCAAGCGTCGCATCACGTGCCCCCCGCACATGGCCTACGGTTCCCGTGGAGCTCCTCCAAATATTCCAGGCAACTCGACACTTGTCTTCGATGTGGAGTTGAAGGGAGTGAACTAAAAATAAACATCATATAGACTCTGTAATGTAGCATTTAAGGTAGTATTCCACATCGTACAACTTTTGAGCAACAATTGATGAAATGTTAAAATAAATATTCTTTGTTTTTCACGCTGTTCATAAATAAAACAGTTTTGTAACATATATTTTTATTGTTAACAGTTTAAGGTCTCTTTTTCAGGGGAACTAACATCCAGCAACGGCTCTGATGTCATTTTCCAGTGCTCCAGCACGTAGGGCAAACGTTCGCTTGGGTCCGTGCTCCAATGATGCAAGCGGCATTTGAGCGTGGCCTGCTCCAATTTATTGATTGTTACGATGCAGTAAAAGTCCTTGCTTTCCTTCTTAAGATCGGGTCCCTCAATGCGCTCCTTGGGCAGGGTAATGCAATCCTCTTTGCAATGGAAGCCGGCCTTGCGAAGCGAGGCTTTGATGTGCCACGGCTCGAGCACCCACGGCTCATCCTTGTTCATAATCACAGCCAAGACAATGGACTCCAGCATGTTGACCGTCCGTTGGGCATAAGCCGAGCTGTGCTTCACTGCCGACTTCTCGGCCTCTGTCTTCGCGTACTTGGCAATGTTCTCGGGCGTTTTGTAGGCCGCCAGTCCCGGCAGCAGCAATTTGTTGTAGACGAAATGGGGCTTCATGGACACAACGTCGCCCTTGTCGCCGACACCTTCGACAAAGGTCTTTAGGACTACTTCCATGTTGGGCCGCTTCTTCACTTGCGTGTCCTCTACCAGCTCATAGATGAAGTGTTTGGCCCGCATACGCCGGGGCTTCTCGTTGGTTTTGTGCAACAGCGGTTCATATTTTCGTTTCAGGATGAACGTGGTCTGCAAACGAAAAGTTTGAATGATGGTGGCCCTCCTCGATGTCGACATTACTTACCCGGACCTGCTGCTGCAGGCTGGTTGCACTTTTCAGCAGATTTAGCTGTGTTACGCAGATATTTTTCAGCATATTTCTCGTGTTTACAACTTAACAGTAGCGCGTTTTCTGGCAACGCCTTACGTAAGCTATTTGATAGATATGGCAGCCCTGCAGTTGCTCTATTTGGCGCGTAATTTGTTTATAAGATTTATTTACAATTTACAATTTAAATGTGGTTTACAATTACACTTACACAACATTTATGGCTCAATTGTATTTTGGATCCAGTCAACGTATTTTCCCACGAGCGTGTACACTCCTGGCCAGCCCGCCAGGCCGCAGGGCGTGGGCCCGAAGGAAACCACGCCCGCCAAGAAATAGTAAGTATTTACTTTGTTTGTGTCCAGGCCTATCAGCGGACCCCCGGAGTCACCGCGACACGAGTCGATGCCCTCTTTGCCGCCTGCACACATCTGTGTGTCCTCCAGCATTATGTCCTGACGGTTGTACACGGCCTGGCAGTCGTCCATTCTGGTCCCTTCCACGGCAGCCTTGAGCTTCAGATTGCTGGAGGACATCTCTTCCGTCTTTCCCCAGCCAGCCACATCCATGGTAATGCCATCAAACGTGGCTGAGCGCAGATTCACGTCCAGGGGCAAGCAAATGGGCCGCACAAAGTCGGTGTACTCCACTTGGTTGCCCAAACGTAGCAAAGCAATGTCGTTAACCTGGTTTTTAGAGCTGGGAATGTAGGAGGGATGTGGTATAGTCCGCTCGACAGGCACATCCAAGTGCGCAGGTGCACAGTCCTTCATGCCCCGTACGTCCAACTCGCAGTCGGGATCGGTGGCGGTGTCCCACTCGCCCAGGCGCACACCAGTCAGTCGCCAGTCGGCGGGCAGGGCCTTACCATTGACACAGTGCGAGGCCGTCACCACATACCGAGTGCTAATCAAGGAGCCACCGCAATGATGGCCCTTTTTGCCAGCGGCTGCGGAAAAGAATAAATGAAAAGGGAACAAGAAGTCGGACGTATCTTAGGCACTCACTCTTGGTGTATTCTATCAATGCCATCCAGGGGAACTCGTCGATTTTGGTTCGGACGCCACCGTAAATACGATTGGACAACAGATTGCCGCATTGGCCTGGCAGCGGCAGCAGATTGCTATTGGTGATGTTTGGTTGGACCGACTGCTGCATCGTGGTCGGGCTGGTGTCCCGGTACCTATCCAGGCAGCAGATCAATACCTTACCGTTCGTATAGCCACACTGGCTGCGACTGAGGTAGAGTCTGTCGGTGTCACGCAGAGGGCTCGTCGTCAGCACGCCATAGAGATATTTGCAATCCTCCAGATGGATGCACAGGGCCCGTTCCCGATTGGGCGTAATGCATCGCCCATAGTTGGGCACTTGGGTGGCCTCATTGGGGAAATAGAACTCTGGGGGGCAAATGATTAAACACTGTATGTAATTTAGTCTGAATTGAGCAAAAATGCATATCTAATTCCAAAAATAAACAAAAATTCCGTTTGGCAAACAGCCTCTGAATATCTAAAAACTATTAGCATTAGATTTAGATATATAGGCAATGGAACAGGTTTTGGGGTTTCAGAAGACATGTGAAGGCCCAGAGCACAAGCCAATCAGTATACCTTCTTCAATGTTTACTTACGACCTAACACGGCTGACAAGTTTGCTAAAATCCCACAAATAAAACAGATGTACTCTATTTTGAACATTTTTCATGTAGTGTCTGCCTCGCTTAATCCTTTCTCAAGACGTCGTCGATTGATATCGCAGCTTGGGGCAGCTGATATCAAAATAAACACCGCGATAATGGGGGCTGATCTTCAGCTGCGAATAAAAAGCGATGACTAAAACGGAATTCCCGTGGAGCAGTGCGGAGCGGCCCAAAGCGAAGCTTTGCGTGAGCTTTGATCGGAAGCTTTTGCTCTCGCTATCAAATTCGTATCAGGTATAAAGACAATTGATTTAATCTCGGTTTTTTATGATCGCTAAAATTACACTTCTACACTGTAGACTTTGGCATTGAAAGAAAGCTTTGGATGGACGCCTCCCATTGTTGCAGCTGGTCAGGTATTGGGCGTCCTGCTGATGCTCCTCTGAATCCAGTCCGAAAAGCTGCTGACCAGCGTGTAAACACCCGGAATTGTGGTAACACCACACAAAGTCGGTCCAAAGGCCACAATGCCAATGAGCGTATAGCGTCCATTGATGGCCAACAGGCCAGAGGTACCATCGTCCATGAACGGCCCGCCGCTGTCCCCACGGCACACGTCATTCATCGGCTGGCCCTGGGCACACAGGTGACTGGGTGTGATCACAATCGGCTGCTGGAAGTTCTCGCTGAGAGTGGCATACGCAATCGCACAGCTGGTGGTGTTCACTATGGGCAGCCGAATAAACCGCACCGTGGATGATGTCGAATTGGTAGAGATGTTACCTGAAATTACAAATATGCAGACGGATTTTTTTTTAATCATGGTAGGCTTTGCATTTTCCTGCTGTGGTACACCTATTCCAGTCAACTGGTAAATCCAGTCAAATCGAACGTGTGCCGTTCGATGCTAAAGCAACAATATCTCTATTGAAAAACGAACCCACACAGATACCAAAGCATATTACGACCTTGTTTCAAGACATACCTTCCGAATTCGCAGTGCTCCAGCCGGCGGCAACTCCCGTTTGCCCAATCAGCCTATTCCCGAGGGTCTCAGTGCTGGTCAAAGGTAAGCAAATGGGCGTAAAGGTACCTGAGGGGACGATAAAGTTAGTGGCGTGGCAGACATGGGGGATGGAATGGATGGATGCACTTACTAGCCGTACTGTTGAGCCGCAGCAGAGCAATGTCGTTGGCATATCTGGGCTGGTCGAAATTCGGGTGCACCAACACTTGGTCGATGGCAAACAGATTGGAGGAATCCTCCGCATTGGCCGGTGCATCGCCGAGCCGCACATGGGATCTGGGAGTGGGGTAATAGCTGCATTAGAATGGGCGGGAGTATTATCCCTTGCCAAAACACTTACACTTCCAGGTCGCCAACCAGGTTAACCACACAATGGGCGGCTGTCACAACATAGTTGCTGGCGATCAGCGATCCCGAGCAGCGGAAGCTGATGCGGTTGCTGCCTGAAATAGTTTTTGGAATGGATGATTCATGCGATTTCTTCTCATTCAACAGCGCCCTATCGATAATGGAGAAAAAAGGGTGTCCCTGTGCGCCAGACGGAAAACAGTCAGACGCTTGTAATGCTAATGGGCATCCTTCCCAAGGATCCGGACAACACGTTTCACAGAATGGCGGCCCACCCGCTGGCCGTCGTCCGCCATGCGGCCCAGGTCCACCCATGGGACGTCGGGGGCGGTGCGGACCAGACCCGTGTGGAGAAGAACTGTGTCCGATTAGCAAGCCAGGTGGTGCTGGAGGCGCTGGTGCTGGAGGTGCTGGTACCTCTGGCCGTAGAACACGTGGTCCTGCAGATGAGTCAGATGATGACCGGGTTGTTGCCTTTGGACCTGATGGTGGATATGGCGTTGGCCCGAACGGAGAGCGTTACGGTGATCCTGTCGGTGTTCGTGGCGGTGAACCTGGCACTGGTCCTGATGGTGGCAGCGGTGGATACGGCGGCGGTCCAACTGATGCTTCTGGCAAAGGCATTGACAGCGGATATGGCGCCGGTTCTGGCACTGGCGGTGCTCCTGGCAAAGGCTACAACAATGGTCGAGGCGGTGGCCCAGGCACAGGCACAGGCACTGGAAGCGGATATGGTGAAGCTCAGGGCTTCGGACAAGGCCCAAATCCCAAAAGAGAACAAACAGCATTACCTGGAGGCCGCTTGTCCATGGCCATAGCTGTGGGGCTCTTTGCCGCAGGAGTCGCTTCGACCATCAAGCTAGGAGCTGTGGCCAACGAGATGGGCTAGGATCGCTAGCAGGGGTTTATTATATTTACCAGTTTGCAACAAACACGAGGGCAAGGTCACCCAAATACTCATCTACACAATATCCCGGACACAATTAATCCAAGTATCACATACAAGCAGGCGCTTATGTTTGCCATTCAAATTCTAAATTAGAGCAGTTCCAAGGAGTCCACGTGTGTCCTTTACTTACTTCTGTTTCTGTAGGCGATCCTAGCCAACCATGGGTATTGTCCTGCAGTGGCCTGTTCTCCTCCAAGCAAACGGCTTTCGATGCTTATTCCGCAGGAGGACACTGTCGCAGGAACAGCAGTAGGAGAAGCAGACGTGGTGGTTGACGGCAGGGCCGTGGTAAAAGGTGCCAAGGGTGGACCTTGACTCACGTCTGTGCTGGTCTCCTGTTCCCCGCCATGTCGCAGGAAGCGCAAGTCCCCGGGAAACACGATAGGCTTGTCCTCTGGGGCAGGACGCGGCGAGTGCCAATCGTTGCTGCCATGGTCGATGTCGTAGTGGAATGAGTGACCGCTTCCACTGCCAAAGCGATGATCATAAAACTCTGGATCTACTGGCTGGGGACAGTTTCTTTGCTCCTTGAAGTCCCAGTAGTCGTGCAGATTCATTTCTGTTTCGTCCTGGCCAAAGGCTGGCGGAGACAGACGACTGTCGCCCCAAATCCAGCGCTCGTCCGGTGGGGCAAAACGTAGCATGCGCATGGGCCTGACCGTGGACTCATGGCGGTGTCGACTTTGGTGCTGGCTCTGAGGGCAGCAGACCAGGGGATCGATTCCTTCATAGCCACAGCCTGCCGCGTGTACCTTCGCAAAGACAGCGGCCCGCTCTTCCGGCTGATGATGCAGCAGAAGACGGGTGAAGGCAACGCACTCTTTGATCCGGATGCAGTTGCAAGCTCTCAAACTGGCACACCCGAAATCGGCTGAAACGAGAACAGGCTTACTCAACGCTTACTCCGGCCAAGGTCAATGTCGGCCAGCGCCAAACCAGAAGTGACCCGTCTCCCGCAGCACGGCGGCAATTACTCACACACTCACTTTTTGGCTACGTTTTCGCGGTTTATTGCCCTTCGTTTTGCGGCGCTGGCCGAGCACATTTGCTGCTGCTGGGAATTTCTAGCCATTGGCCGTGACCCACAAAGCGCGCTGTTCTTTAATTGGATTCAATTCCCTTTTCCGAACGAAAATGCGTTCGCTTCTAGAGTCTTTTATATAGCACGCACGCACGCACACGAAAACTTTAAATAGTTACTAAGATACTCACATCGGAGGAGGCACAGAATGCAGCACAATAGGCAGACGAGTTTCGCAAGGTGTTGCCGCATTTCGTATTTTTTGTCAATCACTGATCGGAATCGAATGAATCTGTGAGCTGCCGCGAACACAACGTTTCCCGTCGATGTGCGAAATTGAAATAAATTGGTTCAATCTGTGAGCTTACATATCTTATTTCCATTTTCATTTCCATTTCGATTTCAATGTGGGGCGACGAATCACAACAAAAAGAGAACACGAAAAAGCCAATTATCAAGCCATAAACTTAATTTAGACAAAAGAGCGGCCGCTGCCCAAAACATCGCGCGGCAGGCAGCCTGCAGCGGCGTCTGAAGCGGCGTCTGAAGCGGGCAAAGATATTGCCGGCAAAAGCTGAGTAACCAGAGCCAAGAGAACCGAACTAAACATGTTTCAGTGCGTTTCCCGCGCCAAACTTGGAACCAGATCTGCAGAATAGGATAGAATGCGTTCGCCATTGGCATTGGGGGGAGCTTCTCAAATGAGCTCTTCTCGTGTATTTGATCTGTATGTGTTTAGTTTACAGTTGATGGATGCGCTTAGGATAGTTGATGAAAAAAATACGCACAAAATTAGAAATGGAATGTGAGCAGGATTATGTGACCCCAAAGTCGTTGGTTAGCTTGTGCTTTAGAACAGTAGATGTTCGGATTAGTTTTGCTTATCTCATAGAATTCGCGAACGGCAGAACTTACATAACTAGAAATGCATGTTGTAGAATGGAATGTCATACGACTAAAAATACTTAACTACTCATTAGGCCTTCGCATTATTTGTTCTGGTTTGTCTCGGGAACAAGAAAGCACTCTGTGCATCTATGCCACCGGGGGTATCACCTCGGGAGAGGCTACCGAGACTGTAACGTTATTCTCGACCTGTTCTACAGGTTCGACGCTCGGCTGGAGTTGGGGCTGGGGTTGGGGCTGGGGCGATGGCGATGGAGATGTCGAGGGCGATGTATTCACCGCAGTTGTTGTCACCGTAGCCGATAAATAATGGCCATTTACATCAGCATTGCAATCGTCGCCAGCAGACGCACGCTGCTCATTGTCGTCCTCGTCGTCGTCATCAACTGGCGTTTCTTGACGCAATACCGCTGCTAAATGGTTATCATTATCTGCTTCTGCCTGCACCGCCTGGTTGGGGGCCGGAGCCTCGAGAGACTCCGCATCTGCTGCTGGAGCCGCTGCTGGAGGTGGCACAGCAGCTGCGACTGCAGCAGGCTGCTCCAGTTCGATGTCTTCGCCCGTTGCTGCTCCATTTTCATTTAAATGAACGGCTACGTCACCATTGTGCACGCCGCCATGGTGCCCCTTTAGCTCATTGATGATCTTTTCCCCCACTTTCGAGTCGATTTCGTTGATCTTTTCCTGCAGCTGGCATTTGAACTCGATCGGCCACTTGGGGCTCCATTCACGAAACAGCTTAATCTGTTGACAATGCACAGTTAGATTGGGCTGCTGGTCGCCGGGGCTGGGAACTTTCTAATACTTACACGACACTGGAACAAGCTCATGGGCTTGTCCTGCACGCCTGCGGTTGCCAGGGCGTTTACAATGCCATTCACATGTACACTGGAGCCTCTGGTTAGGTACTCCACAAACACATACACAAAGTCGTCGCGCTGCAGTTCGCTCCACTCGTGAAACCATTGAATAATGTAACGGAATTCCCCGTCTATTGATAGATTGCTCATGGACATCATTTACGTTTGATTACGCGTCTGTTTCCCACGATATTGCACCCCCGCACTCGCTCACAATCACGGGCTTGATACTTTTCAATTACAATGATGCGCTGGATTGAACTGAGCTGGGACTGTTTCTGGTGCTGCTTGCCACTGCAATGCCACACTCTACTATACTATACTCTGCTGCTCAGCGCCTCCAAAGTTTCTATACCAGCAATGAAACCCGTTTCCGTTTCTAAGTTTTCTCGCAGCTCCGCTTTGTATAAATCCGACTCAAGTCAGCTGTTTGCACGATATCGTTATCGACGAGCTGCACCTGTAGTGAGACGTCTCAAATAAGCATCAATCAACGAAATAAGAAAATATATATTAAATAAAACATTTATTCAAATGTTTAGCCGTTAGAGTTAGCATTGCTGACTAGATTATTGTTTTCGTCGTTTTCATATCGATATGATGTTTCGCAGAACCTGTGCTGTCGATTACGCTCTTTTACCGTCAGATCTGATTTTTTTACGACCAGATGCGGGAATTGTGGATTTTTGTATGTGTTTGGCTTTTTTTCAGCATTTGTTCTACAGATGCATAAAGTGGCCGGTTCATCATTTTTTTTTTTCACGATAGTTGCCAATACCACCACTAGTTTACCAGATTATTTCCAAATTCTAAAACCTGACTTTTTTTTACCTTTTTCCGTCAACAAAATCTTGTGCTCAAAGAAAAATGGAACTGGCAAAATTTTCGATTACCTTAAAGATGAAAATATTCATAAATTGAATGCAAGTATAGCGATATTAATTTAATTTAATAAAGGGGGAAAATATCAGTGACAGCACCATGTTTTCGAGGCTTACATCTAAAAAGATTCTGGTCAAAAAAAGCTGATTTTTTGACATGGCAGGTTAAGCCAGGTATTAAGCCAGGTTAATCCGGATAAGACAAAACTAAGGAAATCCGTGGAAGGATATTACACTAAATTCTGTTTTTACATGGTAATAATATGGTTAATGGTTAATATACGGTATGGCTTGCGAAGACTTGCAAAATGCTGTTTTGACTACGAAATGCCACATAATTATATAATCATGATTGGTACGATGCGAATCAGAAGCTAGCCCCCACAGAGCTCGATGGCTTAATGAAAATAATACAAAATTGTTAACAACATTGTTTACGTTTTTATTTTATTCTCTTTTAATTTTCAGCTTTTTTCGCTTTTTTCAAGTTAGAAACAGCTTCTATTTCTGATAGAAGTTGGCAGCACTGCACAGCACTAGCAGTATTCAACCTGTCGTTTGCCAACCCTTGAACATTTTCAGACAGTAAATAACTTTTAGAAAATCACTTATTACAACAAAAGATATGTCTTCGTCCAAGCTAGAAACACAGCAAGCGACTGGCGAAAGCTACCAAAAACAGCCGGGCGCACCTAACGCGGAGATTGCGGACAGCAAGGAACCAGAATCGGTATTAGAAGAGGGCGGCCCAAAAAATGATCAAGATTTTGCCGCGGCCGAGCAGTACAAAAATCAGGGAAATGATTTGCTCAAAAGTAAGTGACACACTTCAATTTATAACATACACCGTGCCATTCCCAGATTGCAGAGTGCATGGACATCCATATGCGTTGCAAAACCATACATTCCGAGTACCTTTTTCAACCTAACCTGAAAACAGGAACAAAAACTATCACTGTGCTATAATTTAAAAGTCCCCAAGTTCCAAGCGCCTAGCATATCATGAGAGAATAATTAGTAATCTTACTGACCCAATTTCCTTCGATTTCCCAACATGTGAACAGCCAAGGAATTTACAAAAGCCATCGACATGTATACCAAAGCCATAGACCTGTATCCCAACAGCGCGGTTTATTATGCCAACCGATCGTTGGCTCATCTGCGCCAGGAAAGCTTTGGCTATGCCCTGCAGGACGGTGTGTCGGCGGTGAAAGCAGATCCTGGATACCTGAAGGGATACTACCGTCGGGCAGCGGCGCATATGTCGCTGGGAAAGTTCAAGCAGGCGCTATGCGACTTTGAATTTGTAAGTAGAACCTCGCCAGCAAAGTTCAACATATGAACAGCCGTTGAATATATTTACAGGTAGCCAAGTGCCGACCCAATGACAAGGATGCTAAGCTCAAATTCACGGAGTGCACGAAGATTGTGAAAATGCGTGCCTTCGAGCGGGCCATTGCAGTTGACAAGCCCGAAAAAACACTCTCAGAGATGTACAGGGACATGGAAACCATAAGTAAGTAGCCACTATTAGTATTATGTAGCTTATGTATAATTATGTGGGCATTCCAGCTATTGAGGATGACTACAAAGGACCACAACTGGAGGATGGAAAAGTAACCTTGCAGTTTATGAAGGATCTGATGGAGCATTACAAGGGACAAAAGCGATTGCATCGCAAATTCGCCTACAAAGTGAGAATGCGTAAGCCAAGGCACATCGAAAACACGACATAAATCCCTCCCATTTTAGATACTCTGCGAAATTGATACTTACATGCGAGCCCAGCCTTCTCTGGTGGACATCACTGTGAAGGATGAGGATAAGTTTACGATTTGCGGTGACATACATGGCCAGTTCTATGATTTGATGAACATCTTCGATATAAATGGTCTGCCATCCGAGAAGAATCCCTATTTGTTCAATGGTGACTTTGTGGACAGAGGCTCCTTCTCTGTGGAATGCATTTTCACGTTGTTTGGCTTCAAACTGCTTTATCCCAATCATTTCTTCTTATCCCGCGGTAAGTTACAACTCACCAAAAAGTCAATTAAGTCCTCTGAACAATATCCTACTGATTCTAGGTAACCATGAGAGTATCAATATGAACCAAATGTACGGGTTCACGGGCGAGGTAACAGCTAAATACACTAGCACCATGGCGGACATATTCACGCAAGTGTTCAACTGGCTGCCACTGTGCCACTGCATCAATCAGAAGATACTGGTGATGCACGGCGGTCTCTTTTCCTCGGATAATGTCACACTGGACAACATCAGGAGAATCGAGCGAAACTGTCAGCCACCCGAGGAGGGACTCATGTGCGAATTGTTGTGGTCCGATCCACAGCAATGGATGGGCCGAGGGCCGTCCAAGCGGGGTGTCGGCATACAGTTTGGCCCAGATGTAACTGAAGCATTCTGTAAGCTGAATAACTTGGACTATATCATACGCAGCCACGAAGTCAAGGATATGGGCTACGAGGTGGCCCACAACGGACAATGCATCACCGTCTTCTCTGCCCCGAACTATTGGTAAGTAATCAACGGCTAACCTTTTTCCTAAAGACAAACTATGTTCTCATATTCTTTTTAGTGATACTATGGGCAATATGGGCGCATTTATTACAATTACGGGTAACGACATGAAACCAAATTACACATCATTCAAGGCTGTGGTAAGAATTGAAGCAAATGTTCTCAAAAAGTCGTTTTCTTGACAATATTTTTGTTTTGTTTATTTTGTTTAGCCACATCCCGATGTCAAGCCGATGGCCTATGCCAACAGCTTAATGCACTGGCTGGCGTAGTCATAGAAGTCGAGTCAGTTCCCAAATAACTACAATAGCTAAACACATACCCCTTCACACAGAAATACACACACACACATCTGCAAACAAACAGCTTGAGAACCCACACAACCACAGAGCAGTCAGACAGCTTGCAACGAACAAAGAAAATTCAGAAATAGGATGCAGAGGATTCTGGAGATGCTCAATAGACTTTTATGCACACACTGTAACGGGCTGATTCACTACTTAAGTGCGACGAGAGGCGTAAAAAGAATCACAATTACACAAAAGATTCAAACGGAAACAGAAACAGCAATCATTTTATAAAATTCAGCTATATTTGATACAGATACAGATCGAGGATGTTTTAGTGTATAGTGGCTTTAGAAGTCGGATGCTAAGTTTTATCGGTGCCAAGCATCTGCGCGGTTGCACGTACGAGTGTAAGTTGAGAAGGAAATGAGAAATGAAATTAAAATGTTTGTTCATGCATAGCATTTAGTCATTGGCCACCAAAATCCCAGTACAGTATACATATGCATACATAAATATACCATACAAACAAATATATTAAATACAATTCGGTTTTTGTTCTAAATGCTCCTCCTCCTTCCTCCTCCAACAACTGTGTATAAATTATTTTTTGTTTTTTTATCCTTGCCTTGTTTATATTATAAAAGTCACTTTAATAAACATATTCAAGTTACAGATATATCTCCAATCAAATCTTTTTCGATATTTTCCTCCTCCTTGCGCTTGAGAAGAGAGAATCAATCAATAATCCAAGAATATTATTACCATAATTAAATGTGTATCAAATATGTACTATCTGATCCGAAAACAATGCATTAAAAGACACTTAGCATTAAAGCCTGTAATGTTAATCGAGTGAACAGAATACAGAATAGAGCAATTGTGAAATAATATATTTAAAGTGTCCTGTTCTTTATTACTGCAAGTCTGCTCCGCTGGCTATGCTAAAGCCCATGGAAGCAAAGATCTGGCTGACATTTGTCTTGCTATCTTTGAGGTGCGCCCGCTGGAGCAACGTTACATATACAAAGGGGCCATTATAGACAGCCAGCTGAAGGAAAAATTCTCGTGCCAACGCCTGCAGCTCGGGGGGTTGGGCCTGGGACAGGTACAGCGCCACAGTGGTCAGCAGCTCGTGCAGATGTTTCCCTTCCAGCTGCAAGCCTAGTATAAGGTCTGCCAAGCTCTGCAGCAACAACAGTTGCAGCTTGTACTCCTGAGTTTGGGCTAGCGGGGTTTCGCTCTTGCTGTGCACGCTGGCTACCTTGAGGAACTGCTTCAGTTGAGGTATGACATCGCTAACAAGAGAATACACAATTTTGAGGATTGCTAATTTGAGACAAGCTTCTATTTTATGCTCACCTGAGACTTCGTTTCGCTATAAAATCCTTCGCATGGATCCCAAGCAGATGCAACAATGTGAAACAACGGTTCAGTACCAAGGCGTCCTTCTGCCGAAACTTCTCCACGAGCGGCCGCCAAATGAGATGTACAAGTGGCAGGAGTTCGTTCTCATAATCGGCCAGAAGGGGCACACCACTGGCAAAACATTCCAGGGCGACAATCTGCTGCGACTGCTCAGCAGTCGAGACAAACTTTATGACTTGTCCTAGAATATCTTTTATGATTTCAATATGTCGCGGTAGAACGGGCTTTATAGGTTCCGGCTCTGTATCGGACTCCGGCATGTCTTCCGCCACCGGTTCGTCCATGTTGATGTCGGCGTTTTCATCTTGTAGGAGCTGTGGCTTTTCAAGAACATGAAGCCAAGTGCTCAACACGCTCTGATCCTCATCAACCTGCATGGGTAGCTGCTCGGCATTAATCTCCGCCGCTGTGTCGCTATGCCAGTGGCTGACATGCTTTAGGAATGCATTAAATACGCGCAGATAAGACTGAACATTGCCCGTCTGATGAGACTTGGAACACTCCTCGCGAATGGTCTGGAAAATGCTGTCCAGATGAGGCACATTGCCCCGGCTGCTATATTGCAAGACCACGGTGAGTATGTCCACGGCAGCGGTGCTCTCTGGTGACTGGAAGTTCAAAAAATTAGACACATTTAAGAAGGCGATTGTCATCGATTACTCACCCTCTTGAGCAAAGCATTTAAATGAAAGGTGATATAGTCTGTCGAGCACTCTATGAAATGCGAGGGCTCTGCGTATTTTAGTGCCAACTGCATTGACACAAAGGCAAATGTGGCTGCATGGTGGACGAAGGTATTACTGCTGGCTAACTTCAGCAGCACTCTGTGCAAACTCAAGAATATATGACGGTCGAAGGTGTCGCCAATGAACTTTGCGCAATGTCCCACCGCATCCAGAATTAGGCAAGTGTGTAGCACATTAAATTGGGCATCCGCAATGCTCACACGACTGTGGACAACCTCAGTCTGCTCGTCATCCGAATCACAGTCTTGGGTACGCACCTCGACAGCGGACGAGTAGAGACCGGGTGTGCGGTCCTCAAACCATTGCGTGGGCTGAAGAAATTGACTTGTTATATTTTCTCTCGTTGTTTAAGACTGCACCTTGGTACCTACCTTGTCGACCTTGAGGCGCCAGGCCGCGTCCGGCTGCAGTGCCAAGCTCCAGTGTTCGTCGCGGAGGATCTGCTCAAGCAAAAGTTCAGCCAGAACTAGGCGACTTTCGCGTGCTGTCTTTGCTTGCGGCGACACCATCATTGTTAAGAGTAAAATAGACTCATTCATGGCCGAAGATCTCTGCAGTACTAGATCCTGGCAGTAATCGAAGATGATCCGATTTATGGCCGGCTCAGCGCCCAGCAACGCTGCAATGTCCGATAAAATATCCACAGTGCGCTTTGAGCTGACATGCTTGAACTGACGCCAAGGCAACTTCACGAATTCGGCAGCCAGCTCTTTGGATTTTCCGTCTTGGATGCGACGCAGTGAGTACTCCTCGTTCAAAAGATCGCGGGTTGTGCGCATATCGAGCGCTGTTAGCAAACATGTAACGAACATTTCAAGGTTTTTGGGAACCAGAAAAAACAACTGCAGCTTTTCCGCATTGACGTTGCGCAGAAATCCCTTCAAGAAAAGCAGCTCAGCGAACTGCTCGTTGTCTTCACCGCGGTGCAAGACGCGTGGCCATTTGTTGAGGTGGGCATCGAGCAGTAGCTCTGCATTCTCATCGAATATATGCTGGCTGTTGGGCTGCTGCTGCAGCTGCAAGATGGTGTCCTTACACAACTGGGATATCTTCCGGTCGTCGTCTTCGGAAAGGGCCAACACGCTCTCCAATATATGTATAAAGTTGCTTCGCAGATTGTGGGCACAGTCTCTGAGGAGCAGGCAGCACATTTCAGCATAGGTGCTGCGCACACTGGGCGACGTGTGGGCACGCAGGATGCTCGTTTCCACAAGAATAGGTCGAATGCGTCGCGAAGTGGCCATCACCCAAGAAAGAGAACGCCGGTCCTTCTGCATTTGATGCAGGCGCTCCTCTTTCTCTTCGGCCGAGGAACTCTTGTTGCCAAAATAGTTGTACTCGCAGGCCTCAGCCGGACAGTCCTTAGAGCTGTTGAACAGATTCCTGAAGGCATTTACGTCATAGCGCAGCTTTTTGAACTCCTCGGTAGTTTCTTCAAACATGATGCAGATGATTCGCCCCAATGCCTGAATAGACATCTACGAGGAAAAAATTGAATATTTATTCGTTTTTTTAGTGCCAGCGCATACTTACCGATTTAATGGTCTCGCCGACTTTTTCATCTTTTAAAGACGCTTTAAACAATACAATAAGAACTTTGGGTAGGAAAATGAATATTGTATTTGCCACCTGGCTGCGCAGCACCACATCGCAACGATCCGACTCATTGTGGACGTAAAAAAGGACCATCAGGCATTGCAGAGCTGCCTTGACTAGCTTACGATATTTCTCAGCCTCAATGATTTCGAGCAGCGTGAGCAATATCTGCCCAATGACCACCACCGTCTCCTTTGTGTAGAATGCCTCAAGCACATCCGTTGTACAGCGACTAAGTGCCTCGTGTATGCATAGAACTGCGGCCAGCTTAATTTCCTCGGAGAGATCTGGCCGCATGACGGCTCCTTTGGAGTCTCGTATTTGTTGTAGCACCACGACCAGTATGGAGCGCAGCCCCTTCTCATCGGCCAGATACGAGTGCGAGACTATGTTCCTCAAGCAGTTCATCAGGCCGGTGCGCAACTCCTGGCTCTCCCTATGGTGAGGAGTAAAGACTATATAACAATGCTTTGAAGCAGATGTGGATCACTTACCCGGTTAGATCATTGAGCTTGACCACCAGGGGAACCACGGTCTGAACCTGGTATATGCGCATTTCCCCAAAGTTGAATCCCTCGATTTCTCTTTCTACCAGCGACAACGTGTCCTTTCTGGGGTCGTTTATAAAGCCTTCTATTGCAGGCTTTATACGAGTCACATACCTCTCTAAGTGCATCATTTTGGACACTCGCAGTTGCAAATGCCATTAATTGGAACCGGCAAATCAAAACAAAAATCGCACAATTTTGAACAAACAGCTGATCTGTTCGCCATCGAACCCACGCCATTGCTATCGAAAGACAATCGCAATTTCGCGCCTTCCACCCAGACACCGGCGGGAACAATTTAAAAGTTTCAACGAATGCGCTATTCGCCAATTTATTATTATTGTTAATACATTTGGTTTTTAATTGTAAAACTCGTGCTGGGCCTCATCCTTGCGCACGCTTGCTTTGTAGCCTTTTTCCAAATCCTTTGCATTGACGACATAACGATTCTCACGAACGGCATGCATGCCGGCCTCCTGGCATATGGCATTAATGTCTGCGTTGGATATCTTGTCGGGACGTGCTATTATGTCCTCCAAGTCAATGTCCTCCCCCAGATTCATTTTGGAGGTTATGGTCGTGAAGACCAAACGCTTCTGACGACGATCTGGCAAGGGAAACTCTATCTTACGGTCCATGCGCCCCGGACGGAGCAGAGCCGGATCTAGAGTGTCAGCCCGGTTAGTGGCCATAATCACCTTAACGTTGGTTGTTTCATCGAAGCCGTCCATTTGGTTGAGAAGCTCTAGCAGTATGCGCTGAACTTCGCGATCTGCGCCCGTTTGTGCGTCAAAGCGCTTGGTGGCGATGGCATCGATTTCATCAATAAAGATGACCGACGGAGAATTCTGCTTTGCCAGGCGGAAAAGGTCGCGCACCATACGCGGCCCCTCGCCCAAGTACTTCTGAACAAACTCCGAGCCCACAACACTTATAAAGTTGGCGGTTGTGTGGTGTGCCACAGCCTTGGCCAGCATGGTCTTGCCGCATCCCGGCGGGCCGTAAAGTAGGACGCCACGAGGAGGGTCAATGCCTGAGGCGGACAATTCAAAAGTTAACCTACAAAATAAGTTATGATAGGTACCCACCAATTTGCTTATAAAGATGAGCATGCGTGAGTGGCAGCTCAACCGCCTCGCGAATCTCTTGCTTCTGCATGTCGAGACCACCAATGTCCGAGTAGCTCACATCGGGCTTCTCATCCGCCGATAGCATAGAGATGGTGCTGTCTGCCTCTGGCGGCACCAAATCCACCAAACAGTTGCTCTGCTTGTGGAGGGCCACCGATGCCGACGGCTTGAGTTGCTCTCTGTCAATGGTGGACAGAACACGGACATAGTAGTTTGAGCCAGTGGTAGAAGCTACGATGCCATTGTTTGCATCAACTGGCTCTAGAAACTGGCCAATAACCAAGGGTACTGCTTTTATACGCTTCACCTCCTCCTGGGCGTGTATGAATTCCTTCTTCAAATTACGTTGCTCCTCTATAATGTAATCTTCTTGCACCTGAATAAGCTCCAACTCCATCTGCAGTTTCTTGTATATCACATACAGATCCTTGATTTCTAAACCTGCGTAATTTTGCAAATTCTTGTTGTGAAACAATGCGAGGTCTTTCATCGTAATTTTTTTTTTTGCAGTTTCCAGAAACAAGATGAAGTAAAGAATGACTTGAATATTTGAAAACCATAATGGAGATAGTGGCGCCAATCGATAGTTTTGAATTGAATGATTCAAAAAATCGATAGTATCGATAGTAACTAGAAACGTTTGAAAAGCTATTTTTCAAGCAAAATTAGATAAATCCTTATTTTTTGTATCGGTGATCTATATGGTGACAAGGCTGATTGCTGAGCGATCTGCAAATATCAAAAGCCTATTTTTTATATTTCTCTTCCATAAAGAAACAGACCTGCCTGCCAACATTTGAACCTTGAACAATTTATATGCGAACGTGCTACTTTTAAAAAAGGTAACCATGCTCAGCCCAAACTTGAAATTTTCTTGGCTCAAGCAGTCTTGCACAGTTAAATTTAAGCAGTGGGCATAGGAGTAGGTGTCGTTTTTAAAGAATTGTCAGTTACAATAACACCCACTTGACCAGATCCTTTCGCAATGAGTTGGCTATGTTTTCTGATAAAGGGATCTTTAAGTTTTTCGGTTGACATCACTGCACTTTTTAAAATCAAAGTAGAGGTGGGGTATCATTAATAGTAGCGAAACCATCGATACTATCGATAGTGCCACCGATAGTTTGACACCTCTAAGCTGTATCACGGACCTGTTGTTTTGTTCTTGTTCTTGTTGTGGTTGCCGTTTCGTCTTCTATTTATATATTTCGATTTATTTTGGAACATTTGGAACAATTCCATATAAGCCATATATGTATTTAAATGCTGGTTCTTTGCGAATGCCCTGTAGAATAGTCGGTGAAGTGTAGTTTGTTCAAAACAAAGAGCGTGCGATACCGGCCGGAACTTTGGCTTGGTTGATAGAATCATCATAACAAGACAAGTCCAAATATATATATCTATAAATTGATGTCAAAACAAACATGGCCATTATGTAATGGTCCAATACTGACTCCAGCTTTTAAGCATTTTTGATACACCAACGACGATACCGAAAGATGGGCGTGGATATGCTGGTGCTTCTGACGGCGGCGGCCCATCTGGTCTACACGCCCTTTACCAAAGTGGAGGAGAGCTTTAACTTGCAGGCCATGCATGACATTTTGTACTTGCGCAGCAATTTCACTCAGGTAATCAAACGTAAAAGCCACTTAATACCCCATTCGAATCACTAATATACGTTCTGCATCTCTAATCTATCAGTATGATCACCATGAGTATCCTGGCGTAGTACCCCGCACCTTTATTGGCCCGCTGGTGGTGTCAATGCTGTCGGCACCATTTGTGCTGCTCTTCGAGACTCTGAGGCTCAATAAGTTCTGGGCACAATATGTAGGTAAAAGCATTTTGTACATTAAAATGTCGCCTCTTTTAATTCTCGTTCCTATTCCAGTGCGCCTTGTGTTAGCTGGAGCTATTTCCCTAGCTTGGAACAACCTGCGTCAGGCTGTGACAAAGATCTACGGGGTGGAGGTGCGTCTGTGGTTCACGGCCATAACAATAACGCAGTTTCATTTCATGTTCTACATGACGCGTCCACTGCCCAACATATTTGCTCTGCCCATAGGTAAGTATTCAAAGTGCCTGTATGACCAATTAACTAAAAAATGTTGATGTTACAGTGCTCTATGCTATTGCTTATTGGATGCGCGGCCAACAGAAGCCATTCATTGTGTGCTCTGGCATTGCCATACTGGTCTTCCGATCGGAGTTGGCCATTTTTTTGGGACTACTGCTGGCCATTAACTTACTGCAGCGGCAGCTGTCCATTGATAGGTGTGTTGATGAATATCTATATCCCTAACTATTGACCATCTGACTATTCGCATTATCCTAAGGCTGTTGAAGATTGCTTTGCCAGCGGGCGTTTGCATTTTGGCCGCCTCAGTGCTTGTGGACTCGTTCTTCTGGCGGCGCCTGCTCTGGCCCGAGGGTGAGGTACTATGGTATAATACCATTCTTAATAAGAGCTCAAACTGGGGCACGTCACCGTTCCTTTGGTACTTCTACTCGGCCCTGCCTCGGGCTATGGGAGCATCGTTATTATTTGTGCCAATCGGTTGTGTCCTAGAGCCCAGAATTCGTCCCTTGGCTTTGTCAGCGCTGGCCTTTGTACTGCTCTACTCTGTACTTCCCCACAAAGAGCTGCGTTTCATCATATATGTATTTCCTGTGCTGAACATAGCCGCAGCTTGCGCCTGCCAACGCATGTAAGTGAGAAAAACTACTGGAACATTAACAGATTCATTATTCTTCTTCCCTCAGATGGATGAACTGTGCCAAGTCGACGTGGCATAGCTGCCTGGCTTTGGGGTCCGTCGGTCATCTTCTACTAAATGTCTTTGTGACCGTGTTTTTGCTTGTCATTTCGGGAACAAACTATCCGGGCGGAGCGGCCCTGTCTCGGCTGCATCGCTTGGAGAGCGCAACCCCTAATGTGTCGGTACACATTGCCAACTTGGCTGCCCAAAGTGGAGTGTCCCGTTTCATGGAAATTCGTGATGAATGGACCTACAGCAAGGATGAGTCTATGAATTACACCCAAGCTGAAATAGCCAGATATACCCATCTTTTGGTGGAAGCCAAAAACAAGCATAACACGGAGCTATGGTCATCGCTGCAGGATGATTTCGACACCTTGGAGTTTGTCGATTGCTTCAACAGCATCGGCATACAATACAATTCCCTGTTGCCGGTTCGAGTTAAGACAAAGCCTTGCATAGGCATCCTCAAGAAACGGGCAACGACGCCGCCGGCAATACTGAAAGAGAAAACCAAAACAAAAGTAAAAAAGACAAAAGTGCTGGAGCCTAAACCAGTAACAGCAGATCCAGTGCCTACAGTGGAGATCCCCAAGGAAAATAAAGTGCCTGAAGCCAAGGAGGACCAGTTTCTAGATCTGGATGATGATGACGGCATTGTGGCGACTGTGGAAGAGACCTCCATTGAGCTCAATGCCAACATTGATCCTGAGGTTGACGCACCCGATGCTCCAACTAAGGAGATCAATTTTCTGGAACTACGAAACCTGGCCCTGGGACAAGCCTCGCGAACATCGCGGGCGGCAACCAAGCTGAAGATACGCCAGATTATCGAGCAGCACTATCGCGCCAAGGGCAAGGATATCGAAAACGACTCCTCGGAGACGACGCCAAAGACCACAGGTGCCACTGGCGGGCGACCAGGAATAAGACAGTCTGTAAAATCAATAATTAAGCAGGAAAAAATCAAAGAGATGATTGAGCAGATTGCAACAATGGACCTCACGCGCATCTGCGATTTGGAAAAGACGTCAACGAAGGACTGTTTAAAACAGGTAATAGACAAAATAGACGACGAGAACACGAAAACCAAATGATCGACGATCGTGCTGTAATAGATCTAAATAAAAGTTTATAATTGTGTGTGTTGGACTTATAAAAAATAAAAAGTTAAATCTTAATTCAAAATTCGATAGCATTAACAGTTTCTAGGTAGTTTTTTGTTTTTTTTTTTTTAAATGAATAATGTGGCAACTCTTAAATAAGTGGGCTGCCAGAGGGTTTGTTTACTTATCTAACAAAATTATATATTTTCGGCAAAATTCAAGTTTTTTTTATATCGCTTTTTAGACCTTGGGTTTTTCTGATAAGCCGGGTAAGTAATTAATTACGGTAGCAGTGATTAGCACAGAAATCGTGAAGCTCCCACGCGGCCACAATAAACGTCATACGCGTTTTTCGTGTGTTTCCTTATCACCATCAGGTTGACCTTAGTTGAGCGGCAGCTGCTGGGAGGAAAACACAGTCAGGGCACACGAAAATGGAGCTAACTGGATGGGTAAAAAACTATGATTGGGGACGCAAGGGGATCAACTCGGCCGTCGCCCAACTGGCCATGGCCAACGATCCGGACTTTACGCTGAATGAGGAGGAGAGCTATGCGGAAATGTGGATGGGCACACACATCTGTGGGGTGTCTGTGGTGAAGGAAACTGGCGAGACTTTGGATCGGGTGCTGAAAAAGGACTTGCCGTACCTGTTCAAGGTGCTGAGCATAAGCAAAGCCCTGAGCATACAAGTTCATCCAAATAAATGCGAGGCCGAACGCTTGCACAAGGAACGTCCAGAGATCTACAAGGACGACAATCACAAGCCAGAGTTGGCCATAGCTTTGACCCCGTTTGTGGCTCTAGTTGGATTCCAGCCCGTCGAGGACATTCGAGACTTTATTGACGAGTTCCAGCCCCTTTCAAAGCTCATCGGCAAGGAGGCTGTGGATAAACTGCATCAAAGTCCCAGTTCCGAGACCCTTAAACTGTGCTACGAGAAGCTGATGAATTCTAAAGAGGCTGACGTGGCCAAGTGCATTAAAGATATAGCCAAAAACTATCAGAGAGGTAAGTTCAACTAAATCCAGGTAGACCCCCATGTAAACCTTTTTTTTTACAGAACTGAAATTCAATGAGCTTCTGAACGTGTTCAACAAGGTAAACGCGGACTTTCCTGGGGATGTGGGCGTGCTATCGCTTTTCTTCTTGAATCTGGTACACTTGCAACCGGGCCAAGCCATTTACCTGGGTGCCAATGAGATCCACGCGTATCTGGACGGCGACTGCGTCGAGTGTATGGCCTGCTCGGACAATGTGATACGCGCTGGGCTCACGCCAAAGTATAAAGACGTAGAGCAGTTGATAGCCTCTGTCATCTTTGAGGGCGCAGACGCTGGCCGCAAGCTCTTCTTGCCCTATCACATTGACGAAAACGTCCAGGTGTACGTCCCACCCGTGGACGACTTTGCGGTGATTCATGTGGCCATTAAGCATACCGTTGAGAACTATAAGTTGCAAATTCAGCCATACGGGTCCATTCTAATAACGCTTGAGGGCTCGCGCACATTGCGGGTAAACACCAGTGCCGGCCCCAAAGAGATTGTGTTGACGCGCGGCAGCATTGTCTACATTCCAGTGGAGGCAGCGCCGGAAATCGAATTTGCCCCAGCCGAAGATTGTGGCGAAAACTTCACCTGCTATATAGCGACATACAACTATTTTCGAGTGGCATAATTGTAATCCAAATCTTCTGTAAAGTGCAATAAATTCATTTGATTTCATATAATTGCTATTTAACAGCTATGAATGTAAGCTATGTGGCAATAATAGAAGCAATAAAATAAGTTATCTAATCAGTATACAATACGGACATTCATAATACATACATTAATTAACGAGCAATATCTTGCGCACAAACAGCTTGGTTCAGCATATTTCTTGAGACAATTCAAAACAACAATTTCCATTTACTTAAACTAGTTGGTTGAAACTGGGCTGATGTCTATGTTTATTTGGGAAATAATTAAACTATATAATTGTACGATTTCCGCGAAGTTCAAATCTCAATTCGTATTCATTCAATATAACGTTTTGGACCAAACATTTCAAGTGATCAATTCAATAAACAAGGGGTCCCATAAGCTAGATACATGTATAACAAACGATTCATAAAATTGGCTACGATATGACACCCACCACCCCTTAAATTTGCTTCATATCCTCCGCATGAGAGCAAGTGACTTCAGATGCCGTGCCTGTGGGTGGGATATCGGGGACTCGGTTCGGGTCTACGGGTTGTACATAAATACATTCATATTTATCTCAATAGTTACATTTATAGTATAGTATGTGTAGGTTTGATTATTCCACAAGTTCCATAGGTAAAATGCCTCAAAAAGTGTGTACCAAAAACAGAGTACATTATAAGGTAAATCTCAGTAAAATTGGGCTCCGCAACGCTCGGGTCGGTTGCTTTTGTTTGTACACATGTATAGTAATAGTAACAGTAGTAATTGGGCTTTGCTTTTCGCATAAATGTACATTTAGTAGTCGAACGTAAGTAATTGGTACCTTCAGTTGGTTGTACAAAAGAGTGCTTGTATAGTGTATAGATGGGTTTGTTGCACAGTATAGTCCAGTTTTTCTTCTTCTACTTGTATATGTATATAATATATAGTATAAATATCGGGGTAGCAACCACTGGCTTCTACAACTGCTATAGTTTTGTGCCCATAACATTTGCTTTTCTTCCCATAAGGGCAGAAGTAAAGAGGGGTTCGAATTAATCCGGGGGATTGGGTTATCGGCTTGGTTATTGATTTGAGATACGAGTCCATTTTCTTAGTGCATATTTAACTCTTGAGCAGGTTGTTTGCGCGCTTGTTCACGCCATCCATGCGAACGTTGTTGGCATCGCCCTTGGCGTTGATACGATCGACTTGCTTGTTTTGATTCTCCAGCTCAGATCCCATGTCCAGGGCCATGTTGCGCAAGTTGCCCAGCATTGAATTCACTTGGCCCAGATTCTCGTCCATTTCATCCTCGCGTGCATCGTTGGTTATTCGTGCCACATAGCCAGACTGTGCAGGTGCGCCCATGCCACCGCGCTCGCGCTCATCGATCACTCTTTGGGGCTGACTGGCCACAACTTTGCCATCATCGTTGCCCTTCCAGGCGCTGTCTCCATCGTCTTTGATGTTCACCTTCTTCCAGGGTATTACGCAGATGCCACAGCACTTCTCCATGCCGCTGAGATTCTTTTCGGCCTCTCGCATGTCAGCATTGATGCGGTCCATTCCCTCCTCGATGCGATCCAGCTGCTCTCCTTGATCATCAAGGGCTACCAGGGTACGAATGCCCGCCTCCTTGCTTTCGTCCATGAGACTCAGCATGCGGCGGGTGCTTTCCAGCGATTCATCTGCCACTGTAGCTGACTTCAGCTGCAGCTCCTGGAGCTCTGTGCGCGGTTCGTTCTCCACAGCAGCCATTTTTAGACTTGATTGCCTCAAACTGATGACTTAACAAGTGGGTGCGACTTCGACGTTGTCTAGTGTTTGGGGGAAATCTGTGTTCCCAGTGAGTCACACACAATCAAAAAATCCCGGATGCTTGTGTCGACTGTCTCTGTACTGGTGCGCAGATATGTGGTTCAGTAGGTTTAAGCTCGTTTGTGGACTTACAGGAACTTGTTATCAAAATTCAGCAACAGTATTTACTTGTAATAGATTTTGGCAAATAAGATTTTTCTCCTCCAACGCGAATTTTTGTATATACATCAACAGTGGATTTATCGGTATATCGGTCTGACCACCCGTCTGAAAAAAACGAGCTTAGCCCACTTAAACCCCATTTATTTAAACATGGGTTAAGCCGACGAAAATAATACTAATAATAATTCTCCATCCTATCATTCATCTTTACTTAAAAAAGGACCATGATATCTTTCAACTGAACTGCGCTAAAAGTATTAAATTGTCATTATTTTCGGTCATATATGAAGATACCTCTTGGCCAACAAAGGGTTAATCGTTCTCCGTCAAGGATTGAAACCATATTCCTTGATTTGAATATTCGATTTGATATTACCAAAGACTATACAATACAATACAATATTGTTTAGTCTTTGATATTGCTAGCTAAATAGGACTCTCAGCGCTGTGCTATGTGCACAGATTCCTACAAGATTGATTAATTTAAAGTACTTATTTTTAAAATAAGGTTTAAGCAAACAGGTAAGTGTGTAACGTAGTGTGTATGGAACTTTACGTCTTTGCTGGCATCAGGCATCCGCTCTGAATATGGCCATTGGATCCACGGATGACAACCATTTCCTAAATCCTATAATACCCGCTGCCCTAGGGTATGCGCAATGGCCATTTTGTGAAAAAGAGAACAAGGATCAAATATACTGAAATATACTTAAAATATACCGTCGCATTTTCAAAAATACGGTAAATATACCGGACGCTCGTATTTTATGTAATTTTATTCAATCAAAGAAGGCGACGAAATGTAAAACTTTCAAGTGCTGAATTAGTTTATTTTACCATATTCAGTATATAGTTGTGCCGTGTCGAGTGTGTCTCGGAAAATAAATGTTAAGAAAATTATTGATATTTATTGCATTTTTCGAATGACTAGTGTTGGAAAATCTTTTTTAAATATTAGCGGCTTTGTTTTTGGTACAGCGTCGGTTCTGGCGTTCGCAAATTGTTTTTCATTGTTAGTGGCGTTTCTTTTAGACAAATCAAATTTACTTTGAGTAGCCAATTGGGCAAATTATTAACCAGACGAAACTAAATAACGAGGACAGTAATGGACGACTCCCGTCGCTCGATCGCGGCCAACGAGGAAAGTATTTCCATGTACTTGTCCTTTGATGCTGACGACACGCTGTCCAATGTCAGCAAATGGCAATCTGCAGTGGTCAGCCACAACAGTCAATATATGGAGGTGCACAGCTCCAAGATGGAAGCCAATTTGGACAAGACTATAGAAGATAAGGAGATGAAACGGGCTGTCCTCCAGGATCTACACCACTCGGCACTCATTAATTCTGAGCCGAACTCGCCATTGAAACCATTCGACTACTGCTTGTTGAACAAGCACAACGCCTTAAGCTCAACTCCCTCAAAGAAAATCATGGCAGCAGAGTCGCTGGCAATGCCTGTCGAAGTGGATAATGCGGAGAACAAGGAGAACTCACTGCCCGATGAGAATCCAGGCGGCAATAATTCAACAATTTCCAGCTCCTTGGAACTGACGGGTACCACCGTGAAATTCAATACTTTGAAGACTGAAGACTGCACCACGGATGAAGTCTCAATGCAGGAGGTTGCTAAGCCGAATATCCTCAACACCGTTTACCCATTAAGTGCAAATGTAGTCCTAGAGAACATTACCGAAGGTGAGTCTTGTCCCTATCCCCAGTATTCCCGTAATTCTGTATTAAACCGATCCGGTTTTCAGTGTCCAATGAGGATACGTCGGTTCTCGCTTGTTCTCCAGAAGTTAAAGATGTAAAAGAGACTCCTCCAGTCACTGATGTTGTCAAGGAAGTCTCCGAGCTGCTTGCCAAGGCTCTAAAGATATCCAGCACGATGAATCCGTCGACCTCGAAACCATTAACTTTCGAACCCACCAAAAAGCGAGTATCGTTACTTCCTAAAGCTTCTGGGACCTTGCCGCGTCCACGACGCTCAATCTTGCCGACAGGCGCTGTCGAAACGCGCACCTACTCCTTCAAACAACGCATGTCCGTTGTAGTGAAAACTACGCTGAACAGTCCATCCCGCAAGATGGGCGCAGGCGGCGGGCTACCAGTAAGCCGCCGGAGCGTTTTGCCTATACCCAAGACCAAATCTGGCATTTCGCGCATGTCCATATCCACCACAGGGATCAGTTGTCCCAAAAATATCATTCCAGCCGCTTCGAAGGCCCCAACTCAGCCCGCATCTGATGCAGTCTTCAATTGCAAGTCTTGCGGAGCCACTTTCCGTGTGAAGAGCCTGCACGATAAGCATGTTCGCATGCACGACATGGTAGAGAATGGACCCAAGACCCTAAAGAAACTAAACGGCAATCCGAGTGCCACTGGCGGGAGCAAGAATCGTTGCAAGTTCTGCGACAAGAACTTCGCCCTGGAGCGTGCTCTGCACATTCATCTGATGCAGAACTGTGACAAAATACCACCAGCCGAAAAGCGCAAGCTGGAGTTCACAGAACTTAATCATGTGAAGAAGGCGCAGCTACCTAAAATAGCTACTGTAGGTGGCGGTGGTCCACCAGTTTTGAGTGTACACAAGGCACCGCCACTTCAAATTACAACACCAATTGGAAAGGGTAAGCTTTAAGTTATCTAAAGGCAGGATGGAGCTGTTCTAACGCCGATTTATCTACCATTCTAGCTGTCCCTAATGGAGCCAAGGACATGGGACCGCCGTCCGTAAAAAAGGCGCCAAAGAACGTTGCCCATGCTGGTGTTTACCGTACGCCCACAAAGACTGTGCCATGCAACATCTGCAAGCAGCCGTTCAAGAGTATACTAGAGTACACCAACCACTGCATGACGATGCACTCGAAGAGTCAGACCCTGAAGGTCGCCACTGAAGATGAAGCACCGAGTGCTAAGGATTAAATCAAACATTTTGTCTTTACTCTAGCTAAGTCTTAGTTCCAGTGTACTTTAATATCCAACAACCGACGAACAAAAATACACACTAACAGAATCACTTGGACTTCTTTTCGGGTGGGGGTTTCATGTCCACACCCTCTGTCTTTATATCCAGCGGCCCCGTGGCATTGTTCATATCGGTTGCATTGATACCGCCGGGTGTCATTTCATCCCCCGCTGCCAAGGGCTGCTGCTGGAGATTCTGTAGCATGGGAGGGATGGGCGGTGGAAACTTGCGTAACAATTCGGCCAGCAGCATGTCCACACGTTGCTTCTGGAACAGAGTGCCGCTATTTTCATCCTTCACAGCGCTGGCATCTTTTTTGTCCGACTTGGACTTGTCGGACACTGCAGAAAATATTCTAATTAAACAGGAAACAGAGAATTTGCAAACACGTATTGATGCTTACAAACTTTGTTGGAGGAAAAATCCCAAGTGTATCCTTTGTTGGGGTGATACCGGGCATAGCTGCTGGCCTCCTCGAAGGCAGACTGAAGATTGACGACTGTGTTGAGCTGAAAGCAAATGGGCTTAGCTTAGCCTTGGGTTGCTCTAAATAGTACATTAATGGAGTACATACTATGCGTGCATTGATGACGTTTGCCAAATCGGGCGCCTTGTAAACAGTGCCTCCAATTATATAGTAGTCGGCAATGGGTGTCGCTTCCGAGGGATTGTGACGATGCTGTTTGCGTATCACATACAGAATGGGTTCGGCCACATGCAGTAAGATGTACTCCAGTCCAATCATGTTGCTGCGAATAAAGTTATCATTAGCCAAGTGGATTAGTGGATGAAGAGCGAGCCTACTGCAAATGCTCGGGACCCAGCCGCTGCATCCGTATCGTCTCGTTGTTGCACAAATGGTCGTAGAACGGATTGGACTTGCGGCAGAAGTAGTCCATGACAGTCTGGGGGCTCAGCGTGGCCATCATCTGGGTGTCATGCCAGGATAGCCGCAGATGGTTCTCTGGCGCATTGGCATTGGCTTGGGCCATTTGTCGGTTCGCCATGGCTGCCAAACTGCACGTGTTCCTGCTACTGAAGATGTTACAACAGCTCTTGCACTTGGATTCGGTTTGCTTTGAGAGGCAACAAAGATAGCGCGTTCTTTCGCCGGCGACGACAACGACGTTGTCAATGACAGAGGTAATTTAGTGGGTCAATGACGCAGAGCGCGCTTCTTTCCTAATTCTCGGTTTGTTTACAACCTATTTTTAGCAGAACGCTGCCACTTTTAAACGTTTAGCAGTACGCTGATGCCTTTTTTGATTTATTTGTTGTGTAATAAATAATTTAGTCCCACTGTCGCGTATATTTTCGCTACTGTGTCTGCTCCGAAAAACTCCGCGAGAATATTGTAAGTGAACCAACAAACTGGGAATCGAGTGTTTTCCGCTATCTGCATGCTCCATGCCATGCCATCCGTATGCACTTTTCTACCAACAAACAAATACACTGTTTTTGTTTCGATTTTGTTTATACTCTGTTTTTGCTTGTGCCGAGTGGGCAGCACTCGCCGCTCAGCCGAGTGGGCAGCGCCGGTCTGTTTGGAACGGGATGGCAGCGCCGTCTGTTCGGACCGAGATGGCAGGCCAGGCCAAGAAGAAGCAGAGCGCAGCTACATATATAAATGAGTTTAAAAATAAAAACATTCCGTTTTAAATCAAACTGATATTCAATTTTCCGGGCGCGCAAATTACTATACGCGCCACACACACACACACACACACTTTTTGGTCAAACAGCTGGCTGACCGAGAAAAACACACAGTACCCGATGTCGCTGCTGCTACAAATACAAGCAAATAATAAGCACTCATATTAAAGTTTGTTTGCCGCTCACACGCTCTATAAACGGTCAGAGAACTTGGCCCATTTCATCCTCAATATTGGGAACCATATCAGTTTGTTCTGTTCACTTCGTCGTGGCGCACGGGAGGAATCAAAGACACAGCAGCGACGAGCTCTCGCAATGGTAACCTATCATAAAATCAATACCAATTGTTAAACAAAGTGTGTGTACTGGTGCGTGCCCAGGTTGGAGGGCACCCACTTCCACTTCATTTGTACATAGGCGACTCTTGGCGCCACAGCAACAGTCATAGCCTTGATCATCTGCACACATCCATTATTATTAGTTGATTCCATATATTTGTGTACATATGTACGTATGTTTTTGTAGGCGGCCAGTCAATGCCGCAACGCACATAGTCTCGCACATACATACATACATGTATGAGAACGTTCTTTTTTTTACGCCTCACCTTGATTTTCGAAAAATATTGTATAGATATGTACATATATATACACACATACGTATGTTTCGTGTGCGTGTGTGTGTGCTGTTTCAGTGGCAATACGTTTTGTATTCTTTGATGCTGATTATTCCAAATTCCTGCACTTCTTGTCCTGCGTCGATAGCACTGCCAGCATTTTAGCCCTGAGTCCCAGTGGACGGTAAACTGCTGGCAGTGTGGGCATGTTTCTTTTTCTGATGCTGTCCTAACCCATACCATATATTATGTGTATTTCCTGTGTATATTACCCATAAATATGTTCAGTGTGCTTAAAGTTGGCCAGCGAAAAGAAACAATTCTGTTCTATTCTCTTCTAGATTGTTGCACCCTTTCATACCTTAAGCGGGCACAACGACAGTAGGTCCGGCCCAGCCCAGTCTCATTGTCAGTTTCAGCGATATGCGCTACATAAAACCGGAGCCGTATTATGAAGTAAACGATCAGCAGCACCGAATCTATTACAGCATCCACTCTCCGTCCGCCACGAGTATCGGATATACTAACACTATCTTACTTACAGGGGCTTCCACCGTTCAACGTTACTGGCAGCCCGTTCAATGTGGTGCCCATACACAACTATCCGGAGCTGATGAAGGACACCTGTGCTCTGATCAATGCCGAATGGCCCAGATCCGAGACGGCGCGAATGAGGTCCTTGGAGGCTTCCTGCGACACATTGCCATGTAGTTTGGTCCTCACCACAGAGGGCATGTGCCGGGTTATAGCGCACCTCAAGCTCAGCCCGATCACGGCCAAGAAGAAGGCCTGCTTTGTAGAGTCTGTTGTTGTAGACAAGAGCTACCGCGGCCAGGGATTCGGAAAACTGATCATGAAGTTTGCCGAGGACTATTGTCGAGTTGTGCTCGACCTGAAGACAATATATCTATCAACCATCGATCAGGATGGCTTCTACGAACGCATCGGCTATGAATATTGTGCGCCCGTCTCCATGTACGGGCCGCGTCACTGCGAGTTGCCCAGCTTACAAAATGCCAAAAAGAAATACATGAAGAAGGTCTTATAGACATCAACGCCAGTAGTAGTAGTGAGATTGGCTACGTTGAACAGTGCCGAGCAGGAACAGCAGCAGTCTGTGGCCGTTAACTAGTCAAATTTGGTAAAAGGTTCACCTGCCAGCAGCTGTGCCGTAGTCTGATCGCATTTTACCAATTTAGGGGAATGTGCCACAATGCCACACGCGCATTGGTAGTTGCAGCATAAGCTTTTGATTCCATTACACCGATAAGCAATATTCATTTCATGATACGCTTGTGTTGATTTTTGAATAATACTTTCCGCGTGTATTTTGTAAACTTTTTGGTTCTTTTTGTATGACAAAAGTCAAACCGATTTGTTTTGTTTTTATTTTAGTAATCCGTTTGTTTAAGGCATGGTACTACAGATGTTATCCTAATCCTAAATGAGGTATTTGTATGTAAAATAAGTTGTGTGAACTTCTGATGATGTGTTACTAGTGTTTGCTCAAGCGTGTGCATAATTGCTTTCTAGACGAATAACTACCTGCCTATGATGATAATAAGCTAAGAAAATAGCTCAAGTATCTTCCAAACGAAACATAGCATAGAAACATATCGAAGCCCTAGCATTAAGCACTCAACGAAGGCAATAACTTATAATAAAGATATGTACGTAGAAATTGTAAATGCCAAAAAGCCTCAAGTCTGTTCCTGGTCGGAAGTCTCCGTCTCACGGCGGAAGCATCTGCCTGTATAATGAATTATGTATGCACATCAGACCATCATCTGTTCAGACAAGTTCAAGTTCACGGTTGCGACATCTATGAATTGATGGTCTGCTGGTGTGCGGCGTTATTTTTATGCAGCTATATTTGACGGGGGCCCGCTAGCATGTCGGTCGGCTGCCCAGCGAGCGTCATGCAAAATTCTTACACAAAAATAAACACCAGCATGATGTAAGGGGCGAAGAGAGATCTCGACTGCCAGAAAACTGTCGCGAGTCCCTCTCTCTCTCTCTCTGTGGCGTACGCCAATTTGTTCTTGGCATTTCTCTGAAAGCGGAAGCTGTTTTGGCCTGGGGTTCTACGGGTTTTTTATGGTTACACATTTTTTAAATACCTGCCTGTCGTTTAATGCGACAGGTGCTAATGTTTTCAAATTCTAAGCGTTCGATGCCAACTGACACGATATTGCACGTAATTTCAATTAAATTATTCAGAATGGAAAGTTTTATTGTGCGTTCGCTCACATTACATAAAGGTATGTACTTATATAGATGGTTAGTTTGACTTAACAGGCTTGAATATGAATATTCTAGAAATCCGAAATGATTTCGCATTTATATGCACAGCAGTCGGATTTGTTTTTGATAATTTATGATGGATTGCTTTAGGCACTTTTTGGGCTTTTGCCAATGCCGCAAACCTTTCCATAATGCTCCGGCTGGTCCAGGCTATCAACAATGAACTTTCCTAGATCGTATTTGGAAACTAGACGTCCTGGTGCCTCGTCGTAAACCACGGTATACCCACTGGCCGGTTCGTCGGCAATGTGCGGTGGCAGAATGGCAATCCAATCCAATCCCGAGGCCTTTGTCAAATCCAGCATGCGCTTATGTTCCTCGTTCAGGCGGTGAAATACAGCGGGCACCTCGTTAAGGGGACGCCACAAGAACGAAGACATGACAATGGAGAACTTGGTGAGCTTTTCCTCCTTCATTGCCTTAATGAGGTTCTCCGTGCCACGTGATAGTTCGGTGGTGGCCTCCAGTTTGTTACGGGTGCCCAGAACAACACAGACGCCATCCACGCCGTCAATCAAGCGCTTTACATCATCGTAATTGGTGGCATCGCCTTTCACCAGTTGAACTTTGGATTTGAAACGTTCGGGCACAGTGGCCTCTGTACGATAAAGTAGGCGCACCGTCAGACCTGCAAGAATTGATTCGTTTAGGGTCAAAGCTCTGAAGAATAAGAATACCTACCTTTCTCTATGGCGTGGTCTACGGCACACTCTCCGGTCATGCCGGTGCCACCAATAACTGCAATGCGTTGCATAATTCAGACTCCGTACTTCCCAATGGCACTCTGCGCGTTTTCCCAAGTCCACACTTGTTGCAATTCACTATCAAAACTGCGCAAATGCTAGTTATCCAGCAAGAAAGCAAATCAGAAATAATTCCAGTAGTTTCGTGTTCCCAGAGGGACCGGCGTCAGCTGATTGTGGCTTTGCACACAAGCAAAAAACAACGGACATACGAGACTTTTTTTTACGAGTATGTGTGCTTATGAAGAATCAAGTCTGAAATAACACAGATATGCCCTATCCTATCATGGAAGTCATATTTATTTACAAAGGTTTCATTTGTCATGGTTATTTGTATTTAAAACTTAAAATTGTTAATATGGCAGCCTTGTATTTCGTCCAGTGCTGTAAAGTGTGGCGGCGGCCACAATTAAATATTTAACGGCTATGCTTGTGATTCATCGGAATATGGATTTTCGGCCGGATTCTTTGTACGTCTCAGCGTAAGTCCAAGCTTCAGTTCACTCATGAAATCCATTGCTGGTGGTGCTGCTTTTCGTTCAGGTCGTGGTTTAATGCCGCTTATTGTAGCTGCCTTTGTATCAACCTTCTGCAAGTGCAAGTGTGAGTGGGATGTGAGAAATTAGATCGTCAATTTGCAATCAATTTATTACCTTTAGTGCTACTCCATTCCGTATACTCTCCAGGAACGCATCACGATCTCCGCCCGCAGAAGCCGTGGGTGCAGCTTTAGGCAGATCTGACTTTGGGATTGCCCTGGGAGGTCCGCCCGCGGTTAAAGCTGGCATCGGCGGCGGTGGTGGTGGTGGTGGACCACCAGATGTAGTTGCAGCCGGCATTGGGGGTGGCGGCGGAGGAATGCTTGATGCAACTGGACTCGGCCTTTGCTGCGGAGGTGGAGGAGGCGCATAGACCGCAGCTGGTGCCTTGATCGAAGGTGCTGGTTTGATTGGAGGTGCAGGCGGTGGTGGCTTAGAACCCGTTGCGTATTGCACGGCCATCATCGAGCTGGTGTTGGGCAAAATCGTTGGCTTCGGAGGCGCTGGTGGTGGGATGCGCATTGTGCCTGCTTTTCTTTGTGGCGCAATCGTGGCGTACGTTTCGGTCGCTGATTTTTGAGGACCAGAGGGTCGCACTTGACGCATGTCAATGGCGGCCGGATACGCGTACGTATTGTTAGCTGTCACAGCCGATGGCGGCGGAGGCACTTTCGGCCTGATGACTTGATGTGGCTGAGACTGAACCTGGACGGGAACAACTGAACCAACCTCCTGCTGTCTGAATGGCGTCTGAGCTGCTGGCTTCACCACAGAAGGCATATCCATATCCGAGATGTCCACAAAGCGTGATGTGAGCGAGGCGTAGTTGGCGAAACTCGGTGTGGGACCTGGCTTCAAAATCAGTGGTGTTGGCGGAGGTGATGGCGGCGGAGTGATCTTATTGTTTGTTGAAATTGTGGCATAGAGGAGTGGCCGTGGCTGGTGTTCCTGAACTTTCGGCTGAGCCTGAAAATCCTGCTTTTTGGGCTGCGTGAGTAGAAGATTGATCAATAAGTATTGCACTTTTCTGTTCAGCTCGATCCCACTTACCATCCAGGTGAAGTTCGAATGGACAATCTTCTTGATGACATCCTGGCGCCGCATGTCCGCTATGTCCGCCTCCGTAATACCCCGCTCCATCATGTACTTCCTCAGGACGTTGTCGTTTGCATCGGCGTTCAGGTCGAAGGCGTTTCTTGTGCGATCCCGCGTTACGTCGCCGGACACATGCTGAAAGTTTACGGGGCCGCTGATCTCATACTTGGAGCCCTTGTTGCTGACCAGGACGCTTGTGCCGAAGCTGGGTCCTGCAATGGCAGTTGATGGCGGGGCGCCGAGGTAGCGGTCCAAGCTGTTCGATGAGGAAGAGCTCTTCATGCTGTACAGACTGGCGTTGTCGGCGTAGGGCGTGGTTCTGGCTGTGGCAGCGGGAGGTGGGCGTACGGCAGGTGGCGGATGGGCAAAGACGTCGCTACTCACTTGCATGGACGGCGGCTGAAACGACAGAGAACAGCAGCATTCAAGTCAAATGTATGTGACATGGCGAGATGATTGCGGAGTGCACTATTTTGTTGTTGTTCGCCATTACCACCCAATAACCTGGCCCTTTATGGCTCCTAATTATGTCATAGACATAGGCCCGTCTCAGAATTGCCGGCAGACGGTCAAGGTCGTCGGACAGGTTGGCCTTCCGTAGGTATAGCTGGAGCATTTCGTCGGTGCCACGACCCCGCACATCGAACGTCTTGCGGAAGTCGAGGGCCTTGCCCTCCACATGTCTAAACTCCACGGGCTCGGAGATGTACGCGTACGAGTAACCGTCCATGCTGCGCCCAACACTAAAAGAATCGGATACGGATACGAGTTGGATACTGCGTTAATACGGTTCCAATAAGACGGCCGCCCCATCCACTGACTTGGCACACAGCCCACTCGGAACAAACTCACGGACTCCCTCCCCTGCCCGTTTCCACAGTGCGCTATGGGCATTATCTTGTAGCCAATTTACAGATAAGAAGTTTATCAATTTGGGGATTCGGATTGGTGTTTGGTCGCGTGACTCATAGCTGTCTCATCAGTCACCAGGGAAATTCACAGAGCCTCTCAAACGCAGTTGGTAGAGGCAGCAGCAGCATGCAGCTCGTGTCCAAGACCCCTCGTAATTACCGTTGACTCGTACACCGAAAATGTCCGTCCAAGGTTTCTCCAGAGCTCGGGAAGATCGCAGACGTAAGGAAGCCGTAACCGCAGCCGGAGCAAGTTTGAACAGCAGAAGGCAGTTGGTCGGACTGATTAACGGCAGTGGTATGTCATGTTAGGCCCTGGCGTTTACTCATTTTGCAAAGCGCCTTATCTAGAGTCACTGATAACTGGGGACCAGGTAATCACCTAGAGCAGCGTCGACATCGACAGGCCAGAGCCAAAAGAAAATATAAACAATGAGCATGAGCTTTGTTTCGGTAGTGGTACTCCACCTGTCATTTTGCCTAGTATGTGACTAATGTCTGCAGAGAGCGGAAACTGGTTCGAGAATATTGGGTTTGGACTGATCTTAACATGAAGGCACAACCCCCAGTGAGGTCTCTTGAATCGGAAATAAAGGAGCATATACTATTTTTAAGGCAGGCATGTAATTTTTGTCTGATCTGACCATCATGTACTAAGTAGACCATTATTAGACATATTAAAAATATATATCAATTTTTTAACACAATGAATAGCAAAGTCGAATTTTATGCTTACTTATCTTCTACTAAGTAGAATCAATATATATAGGGCAAAGCAAAAGATTAATGAAGCACGTATTGCTGGCAAATCTCAGGACTTGCGGCTATATGTCCTGAATTTTCCATCTAAAGTGATGCAAATAGAAAAGTTTTATTTTATTGCATTAATATCATAGTTTATCGAACTAATTCGATTAAAAATATCTTCGATTTTGAGGTTAGGCTTTGATTCTTTCACTACTATCGTTCAAAAATATTTATCCTCATGCCTGGCATTAATTGTCAAATCATTTAGTTTTCGGATTTGGGGCTAGGCCAAAATCATTCTCTAATTTGTCGGCAAAGTCGTTGTAATTTTAATCCGAAAAAAAATTGAAACTTGTTCGAACTCGGAATTTTTGGAAAGTGCAAAAAAAAAAAAATATTTATTGGTCCGAAAACTTTGAAACTTCTTGCAGAGCCATGGCTGACGAGAATTTTGAGAGCTTGGAGCTCAACGAGGGGGTGCCCGGTGAGTATACGCTGGCGGAGATTGAAGTTGGCGACAAGTCGCAGCTGCATTTCAGCCACCTGCCGGATGCCACAGTCCTGGCACCCAGCGAGGGGAACAGCCAAGTGAAGCGAGTTCTCGGCCAGGAGGAACTGGTCCAGCTCTTTACCAGGCCACCGCCACCGCCACCCATCATCCAGATGTCCACTGAGGTGGTTCTTCAGCGCACTCTGGAGCATCCTGCGCTGAAGCAGATACTCCAGGAAGCCGACGGCCAGCCAGATTTTGATCCGGCAGCAGAGCAAATGAAAATACGCGAATTCTTGGCAGGCGTCACCAACAGTAAGATGACCACAGAGGAGTCGGTCTTTCAAGGTAGACAACTGCAGTCCCATTCCCTCTCATCCCTCATATCAGAAGATTGCGTTCTCGTTGCTCTTTCCCCCAGCACAACGCATGAGCACGGGATCGACTGGGTCCCGCATCTACAAGTGCCGTCACTGCGGTGGCAAGTACGACGCTGTGTACTTCTCCAGTCACATTTGTTCATGCGAAGACGTCGCAAAGCCCGTCTATGAGACATTCGGACATCAGGATAAGCCACGAGCAGTGAAGACGGCGATGGAAATGGGACTGGTCCCGGCGCCACGTTATGTTCGAGGCACCGAGCGCATCATCTTGGAAAATCAAGTACGCCTACGCCGCTACATGAAGGACGAACTGAAGTACGATGTCACCACGGGCGTAGACAGTTCGGTGCCCAGAAAGACGGGCAAGCAGATCAACGAGTGCGGTATATGCGATCGGCAGTTCGTGCATCCCTCCGGCCTGGTGCGCCACATGGAGAAGCATGCCCTGAACCTGATCGCCCCACAGGCCAATGCGCCATCGAACCCGGCTCCGCCTGCCCCCGGCCTGGCCGTAGTGATAAAGTGCAACGACTGTGGCCGCATCTTCTATGACAGCAAGCAGGCCATGGAGCATGCCCGTGTCCATTATCCCGATCAACCGAAGTTATTCGAACCACTGACGTCTGAGAACGAATCCGAAAAGAAAGATTTCTGTAAGCGTATGCTGAAGGGGGACTGGCTTTTCTTTTGTGTGCAGTCAAAGAAACGAAGTGTCGATCAGAAGCAAGAGAAGCGAGCGTTTGAGGCCGGGCTATCTAGCACCCTGATCCTCGGCAGTGTACTGCAATGCGAGTTTTGCGAGTACGTATTTGCGGATATTGAGAAGCTGCTTGTCCACTCGGCCGCTCACGTGGCGGAGAGGCGCTTCGAGTGCACCGCCTGCGGCATTACAATGAACACGACCAAGGAGGCCAGTGTGCATTTCCAGACGGAATGTATATTCATGCGCGAGGAACTCAAGCGGCTGGATGTCTCTCTGTTTCGGTACTTTGTGTGCAATGTGTGCGAGCAGAAGTTCTCCACTGCAGACCTGCTGCAGGAGCACCGGTAGATGTCGATCCACTTCCCTATCTCATTCCATTCCCTTTCATATCAAATTGTCCTTCTCTCCAAACTCCTAGATACATCTACTACCATTACTTTCCACGCCTCACCGCCGATGGCAGTACACTTGTGCTGCCCTGCGAATATTGCGATGCCAACTTCACGCATGCCCACGAGGTGGAGGAGCATAACCAGGAGAAGCATCTGAACAGGAAGAGGCGCGAAAAGGAGACGCGCACCAACGGCCCCAGCTATGGCAACGGCCGCCTTCGCCATTACCTGTGCGACGTCTGTGGAAAGTCGTACACTCAGTCCAGCCATCTGTGGCAGCACTTGCGCTTCCACCAGGGTAAGTGTCAGCTGTGTCAGCGTAGTCCCTGGCCGATCACCAGCTCTCCCGTGGGCCTGACAGGTGTCAAGCCCTTCGCCTGCCAAGAGGCCAATTGCGATAGGAAGTTCACCATCCGTCCGGACCTCAACGATCACATCCGCAAGTGTCATACTGGAGAGCGACCGTATCATTGCTTGGTGTGTGGAAAGCGCTTCCTCACCGGCTCCGTCTTCTATCAGCACCGTCTTATACATCGCGGGGAGCGGCGCTACGAGTGCGATGAGTGCGGCAAGCGGTTCTACCGAGCCGATGCCCTGAAGAACCACCAGAGGATCCACACTGGCGAGAAACCATATAGCTGCCTCTTCTGCACAAAGACATTTCGCCAACGCGGAGACCGGGACAAGCATATACGTGCACGGCATTCCCATTTGGACGCCAACTCGCGTCTTATGATGCAGATGCAGAAGTTTCAGCTGGAGTCGGCGCAAGCAGCAAAGGCCAGAATCCAGCTGGAGCAAATGGGCGATGGTGACAGCTACTCGGCGGAAGCATCAGGATCTCATGTCGGTCCTGAGGAAGATGGTCCAAACAACTTCGCTACGGAAGAACAAGATGGAATGTATTGCGATCCAATGGATGGATTCACTCCAAGCCAATTTGAGATTCAGCAGTGTGTGGAGGAGGCTGAGCCCACGCCCATGAATGAAGACGTAGATCAAGAAATAATTGTGTACGAGAGCCCAGAGCCGACTATGACAATTTCTTATGAACCAAAGCCAGAACCACAGCAAATGGAACAGGAGATTCCAGTGAAACCCGAAAGACCAAAGCGTAAAATTGTAGTGGTTAAGAATAATCCATCTCTACCGTTTTATCCAAATTCATACATGTAAAATTGTGTAAATATGTTTATATATGCTTTTTATTTAAAATAAGCCGCCAAATCGTTCTGCGGCTCGAAATATAAGTGCATGCGCTTATCGCACAAAAATACCGATATGATTTTAGCAACTACCCTGTCCATCGCCGATTTGATCCGAACTGTGAAAAACAAATCTGTGGATGATAAATCCCACAAATATATCCATATTCATATCGCCAGACAAAAAATATCACCTACAATTTTAGTATCAGCTAAAATATATATTTATCCTTCGTTCTTTTAATTTTTCATCGGTATATTTTGAAAATGAGACGGTATATTTCGGTATATTTCTAACGGTCGGACCGTATTCCTAACGATAACTCGGCACAGTTGACACCTCTAGTTCCTTCTTTCTTTTCGATTTTTCTCGTATAGACGCCAACATGGGTTTCGCTACTCTCTGGTACTCTCATCCACGCAAATACGGCCAAGGCTCCCGATGCTGGTAAGATTTGGGTAGCCCGTGATCTAGCGCATCGAATAGTGCATAACTTGTTTAAATGCTTGCCCCGACTCCCCGTATTTTTATGATTTTCGCATGCCTGTAGAAAGTGAGGTTAATCACGCCCAGTTCTTGTTGCACGCATGGCACTACCATATTTGCTATATTTTGTATTGAATGTGAATTCGTTGCTGAATTAAATGCTAAATGGTATTTGCCCCCGGTTGAGTACGGAAATATGTGTTTAAACATGTTGGACTGTTTCCTTAATTAAGGGTGGCCAAAGTAAAGTTGCATGCGGCACGGCGTCATTCCTTTATAGAAATGGTGCAGCCGACTGCAGCGATAGCTGTGCTATTAACTTTTGCCAAATCTCAAACAATCTATACAAGCATAGAATCTACTTATGACTTGTTTAATTCCAGCCGTGCCTGCTCTAACCGTCACGGTCTCATCCGCAAGTACGGTCTGAACATCTGCCGTCAGTGCTTCAGGGAGTACGCCAACGACATTGGCTTCAAGAAGGTGAGCATTCTATTACAATAACGTTTGCTTTTATCAAAAAACTAATCTCTGTTTTCTTACAGCTGGACTAAGCGTCACTTCTTATTTTAGCGCGCACTAAGCATGTCTAAAAACAACATTCGTTATATTAATATAATCAGTCGCCATCAGTGCGGAGGGGACTGCGTAAATTAATATGCCAGTATGCTGCACCACATAATTTGATCATTTGGAGATTTAAAGAACAAGAAAGCTGTCAGCGTGTGCACTGTGAATAATTGGAGACAACTGATTCCACAACATCATTTTCAACAAGTACAACTACGCACGAACACGTATTTTTACATTCAACACTTTATAGAAAGGGTCTTTGTTCAAATACTAGTTGTTTAAATCGCCGTCTGATTATACCATAACAAGAACCGAAAACCACTGTGTTATATTTTGACTCGGCTGTGATACACTCCAAGGTAGCAGCAGCTTTAACCAACGTAATCAGAACACGCAATCGACTAGGAGATCCAAGATGAGCTAACTGCGGGCCGCCAGTTCCAAGCGCTCGTACTTATCAATCCACGATCTTTAAATCAGGTGCCACCAATTCAAAGCATGAACTGAGCCGATTGTCTGAAATGAAGCTGCTGTCTGTTATCTGTTTCGGGAATATCATGTTGATTAATAGCTGAGGTGAAGAATCGAAAGAGCATTGAAGGAAAGCTAGTTAAGCAGGACACCATCCTTTCTGGAAAGCCGGAAGCAATATCGTGCTCTGAAGCCTACATTTCCTTGTTAGTGGGCTATTGGCATCCATACCGTCTCACCAGCAATAGCTGCATTCACCGCCAAGCGACTGCACATTAGCCCAAAAGCAAAACAAAATCCCAAAACCAGTTTCGTTTTGGCCGCCCCACTGCGGTGCTAAAGAGCGGGTCAGCCCCACAGCTTTGGCTCTCTTAGCTGTGCTAGCAGCGCGATCTCAGCTGGTTTTGTTGTCGGAGCTGCCGAAAATTACAATTTTTGCACATTCGCCAATTGGGGTTTTTGAGTCTGACGCCGTTGCTCGGTGTCTAAACAACGTTGCGCGCTGTGTTACCCGTAGTTTACACAATTCCGATTTGCGTTTGGCCGAGAAATGTGCGTTTAGCGCCTCATTTAGATTTAGACACCAAAGGGTGCGACACTTTGAAGAAACTCGCATCGAGAGGTCGTTGCCAGCTTCGTGACCTGCTTATCCGAGATGAGATTGCTTGTGCTGCTGTGGCTGCCGCTGCCATTTCTAAGCAGCCTCTACCTGTGCATCGGTTATGCAACTGCCACCAAGGTATCTACCCCTCGAGGGGTTGCACAATACAGGCTCCCGCAACCCGCGCCTGCACTAGTGCTGTCAGACAGTGAAGCTGTACAAATGAGGGCGGGAGGAGCAGCTGGGCGGAATGATACGAGCCAGGCAAGATCTCAGACGGCATCGGACCAGCGTAGGCGCACACAGATTGTCCGGCGACGCAGGCCGGTCAATCGAAACTCCAGCACGTCGACCACCACATCAACGACGTCCACAACAACCACGTCGACCACGACGAGTACAACAAGTGAGTGGGATTGGCGAAAACTGCAGCTGGACTTTAGCACTGGTGTCCAAATGCAACTAACCATTGGCCATTCGTCAAGAAAACTAGTCGAAGATGCTGGCACTGACCTAGCTTTCGGTGTCGGTATGGGTTTCGCTTTTAAATTGAAATTGGCAACGACAAGAGCGAAACAGAAGTGGTCAGAGGTTGGGTTGAGGCTGGGGGACACTGACAGCCCGCATACTCTCGGTGGATAATCATTCTGTTGCCTAGAGAGGGGAGCAATCCAAGCCGTATGCAAAACCTGATATACCCGTTCGAATGAGCCATAACTAGTTGAGTTGTTGGTGCTGGTGTCTGGTGCATAGGTTAAGTGCCGTGCCATAGCCAATAACTGGAGCAGCGATGCTTTCGAATTTGCTTTACTGCTGCAGCAGGAGACCTTGATAGCTTCGCGAGAGACAAGGCCGCGGATTGTTGGGGCCTAAGGCCTTTGATAATTTGCCTGAACGCGACCAGCAGCATATTTCGACTTTAGAACTTTTGTAAGTGCAATGCCTCAGCGCCTTAGTTTCCCTTCAGCCTAATGGATGACGCCCTGAACTTGCCACGCAATTAAAGTGTTTTTATTTTACGGAAACTGTGGGCTCGTAAAGTGTCGTTGGGCGCTGATGCTCGTAAAACTAATCGAGGCAAACGCCCTGCTCCTCGGGTCACTTCCCATCCGATTCGTTCGAGTCTAAATTGTTGCAATGGCAGGCCACGTAATTGCAATGGGAATGGGACTGTTGCGAGTGGGGTGGGTGGGAATCCATAGATACGATTCGTTGGCCAACAGGCCACCATGCAATTGTTCACGAATCGTGGCGGTGGCGGAGCATGGGGAAGCAGGCGGGGGGAAGAGGCAACCAAACAAAATAGTAGGTATATTAAAACGCTCTTTATGACTGGCGGGAACTGCGCTTTACTTGGCCTATAGTACGAATAATGTCTGCTATTTGGAGCAGAAATACTACTACGGAATGGCCATTGAGCACATGTGAAATCACCTTTCCATATCTCTCCACCTCTCTCTCTCTCTCTCTCTGTGTGTCTCTTGCACAGCGGCCCGTCCCAGCTTGGCCAATGGCTTCAATTTCTTCAATCCGAGCTTCTGGAGCTTTGGACAGCAGAGTCTGGTTGCAGTTCGGCCGCCAACCAAGCAACCCCATCCGCCCAAGAAGTTCAGTTCCAAGGAGGAAAAGATCAGCTATCGAAAGCCGCCCAAGACCACCATTAAACCCAGATCCAGCCCGACCACAAGGACAGCCACAACCACAACTACAACTGTGAGGCCATCCACAGATGGACCATTCCGTATTGCTCTGCCCACCCTGACATTTTCCAGCGGCGAGGGCAAGGAGCGGGATAGGGAGAAGGAGAAACGAGCTGCCGCCGAGCTACGGCTGCGCTTCAACTGTCCGCGGGAAAACGAGGTGCGCTTCCAGCTATTCCCGAAGATCTGCAAGACGGACAAGGACTGCGCTGTCTGGCAGCGGGACGAGCTGTGCTGCGACATCTTTGGTGCCAGCAGCTGTGTTTCTGGAGTGGCGAAGCCCCTGGAAGAGGCGGTCCATGCACGTGAGCTCAAGGCTTCCTTCGGTGTACGCCCAGCCATTAAACGAACTGTTTCCTTTAGCCATACTCGGCCTGATACCTCGCAAGTGCCCTACCAGGCCGCTGGCCGAGCTGTGGTGGGATGTCCAGGAATGCAGCACGGATATGGACTGCTGGCCAAGAGTCTGCTGCCCCGACGGACGAAGACGGTACTGTCGCACCTCTCAGCCAGAGCTGGAGACGGCGCCGGCGCCAGTCAAGCGTTCTTTTGACTATCGTGAGTGTTGGACTAATCCCAGAGTGATCTTCCGAGTATCCGATAATTATGAATCTTCTTTGTTGCAGTCACCGAGTATCTGGAGTGCACTGCCCCGCCGCCACCAATCTTTGATCTCCACCCAAAGGCGTGTACCTCAACGCTGGACTGTTTCCCGAACGTGTGCTGCCAGGAGGCGGGTCTCCGGCACTGTCGTCCGCCCAAGAAGTCGGTGCTCACACTGATGGCCAATTTTCTCAATGTGGACTTCGTGAAGCGACTCACACAGAACATTGTTATCAAATAAGCCCGGCACTTTACACCCAGTGCCACCAATCGTATATGTACCTTATGTACGACGTATGTACATTGTTGTATATACAGTCGGATCTGCTCTGTGTGAGTGCACCTTCGTTTCAACAATTTCAGAACTGCCGCCGTGATATCTCGCTCGTATTTGTTTACCTAAGTTGATAAACAGAACGAATCATATGTACATATGTACACACAATATACATATGTAGACATACTGCGCATTATGTATACCGAACAGTTCAGTTCCATTCCCCGTCTAAGCCTGTACCGAGGCGTCCTAGTATTAGATGTAGCACATACACACTTCTTAAGTTTCTTTCGTAGGCTTATACAAAATAAAACACCATTATTCGTACACTACAAATGTGGTTAGGGTTGGGGAGGGTCTTTGGTTACCATCGTACCCGTACACCCGGGTCAATTTCAAACGAATTACTCTACAGGTTCTTTGAGTTGAGTGAATTTGATGAGTCTATTGCACTGTCTTGGTATTGGAGGCTTAACTTGAACACTTCTAAAGTGTCGTTAAAGAGCTCGACAACGAGAGAGGCTCGAGAAGATTGGGGCCACCGAGCACTCAAACCCCCCTTAAACATCTTACGGATTTCCACTTAAAAATAGTACATACATATGTACGTCTGTTTATCCTAAGAAAGAGAGAACAAACAGAGAAATGATTTCGCAACTGAAAAACCAGACACGACGACACTGACACCGCTCAAGTTTCAATTGGGTTTATTGGACATTATGCAAAGCGAGGAACAAATTATAAAATAGGTGCTGCATGACGTTTGGAGAGTGCAAAAAATAATACAACGTTATCGGTGCGGGTATGTGGATGGATGCCAGTAGGCTTGGGCGGGCTTGGGATACCCCTCACTTGGAGCAGCCGCACTTGGCTTTGTTGTCGCCACCGCACTTGCAGTCAGTGCCGCAGTTGCAGGCTCCCTTGGGTGTCTGGGTGGCGCATTTGCAACCTGGAGATGCGAAGAAGGACTCAATTAGTTCACAGGATGACACTGGATATTCTTGTCTTCAAACTTACCGGATCCGCATGGGCAAGGCATCTTGAGTTTGGTTTTTGGTGGTTAGTTCACTTGAGGAAGAGTAGAGAAGGTGATTGGATTGTTCACTTGACTGATGCACATCTGCCGGATGCGCCCTGCTTTATACACCGTCGAAACGCGGCTTTCCACACGGCCGGCGGAAAATTTCAATTCCGATTCCCGTTTTGCACACGCCGGCCGGCCGGCTGTGTGGGTGTGGGGCCGTGCGCAAGAGCTTCCGCGCGTTGGGGTTCGTGTCGGGGCTAAAGCTTTCGTAAACGGGTCCGTGGCAATGCGCAGACGCTTGAAAATCTGGCCACCGTTGGATACTGGTGGGGGCAGCAGTAGCAGCAGCAGGGTAGCGTGGCTGGTGGGCGGGACTCGTATGGGATCCATTGGACGATTTCACAGTGCGGCCTGCAGCAAAGACCACGGGCAGAGTTACGGCGGCGGCAGCGACAACGACAACGTTAACAACAAATTCTGCAACGAATCGAAGTGCAACGAAATGCAAGTAACAATTGCGACGCAATTGAAGCTCTCCTCAGATCCTGCAAGCGGCAGGCCACTTTCCCGCAGCTACTATCGCGGCTTCTAGGCGCCCTCGCCTTCGCCATCGCCCCAATGTCTGTGTGAGTAGGCGGAACTGCAGCACAGATAAAATCGATAAAACCAAGCCAAAATAAAATAGGGGAAAATCACCAGCAAAGTGCGTGAGTGTGTAGTGCGTGTGCGTGTGCGTGTGCTGTTTGTGCATGTGTTTGTGTGCGGAGAAGGAAAACAATAAGTGCGAAACAACAAAACGAAACGGGACCCGGACCCGGACCCGGACGCGGACGCGGATACGGACACGGGGTCGCAGGACAATCATGCGGAAGTAAGCAGTTGGAACTTGGGCGGAAACAGACCGACCCCACTGTGCAAGCAAGCTGCTACTGTGGCTTGTCCACCAGCAATCGCCCTGCATTTCCCCCGCACATCAAAGCGTCGCTATTTATACGGGCCCGGCCATCATGCGATACCTGAGCGAACCGCCAACGCAATAATAATAGTATGTAACCCTAATCATAATGATAATGATGAGGTTGATGCCGATGCCGATGCCGATGCCAATGCCGATCTGTCGCGTTGACAACAAAGTCACAAAAAGTAAAAAAAAAATCAATACCCTTCCTTAAACTGGATGGCACATGGCTAAAATTAGCGCAACACTCACGCAGCGTAGTGTTTTTTCCCCTATTTGTGGTTGGGAACCCTGAAGCAGTGCGTCCCACAGCCCACAGCCCACACCCGCACCCACCCCACCCCTTAAACACCCATCGCACACCCGCAAAACCCACAGACGACGAAAAGGTTGTGTTGTGCGTGCGTGGGCGTTATGACCAACTGATTTGCTCTTAATCGTTACAGATAAACGAAAGTATGGCGCTCAAGTAGAACATTCCACAAGCGGTCGACAGCAAGCAAACAAGCCAGCTCCGCTTCCGCCTCCGCATCCGCCTCTGCTGTTGCCAGCTCCTGTGTGGAGGAGCCAACCAATATCGAAACGATATACCACCCACCTCAATTCGCAGCGAGAGATGACGGAGCAAAAGAACCAGGTGACGCGTGCTGCACCGGAGCAGAGCAACGACTACCGAGTGGTGGTCTTTGGTGCCGGCGGCGTAGGGAAAAGCTCCTTGGTGCTGAGATTCATCAAAGGCACATTCCGGGAAAGCTACATTCCGACCATTGAGGACACCTACAGACAGGTGAGTGCTTCGCTGAGCTGAGCTTCTGGGTTCCCATTATCCCATTAATCGCAATCATGATCACTCGGCAGGTCATCAGCTGCAATAAGAATATTTGCACGCTGCAAATAACAGACACAACGGGATCGCATCAGTTCCCAGCCATGCAGCGACTGTCCATATCGAAGGGACACGCTTTCATCCTGGTCTACTCGGTGTGCTCCAAGCAAAGTCTGGAGGAGCTACGGCCCATCTGGGCGCTAATAAAAGAGCTCAAGGTAGGACAGTGCCACAGATCCTAGAGCATCACTTACCTTCCTTTCCTCCATGCAGGGCGCCGACATACCCAACATTCCCGTCATGCTGGTGGGCAACAAGTGTGATGAGACCGCCGAGCTGCGGGAGGTAGGTGCACAGGAGCATGGTCCGGACCATTCTCACTCATACAAATTTACTTCGCAGGTGTCGCAGATTGAGGGCCAGGCGCAGGCCACCACCTGGAGCATATCGTTCATGGAGACATCGGCCAAAACCAACCACAATGTAACCGAGCTGTTTCAGGAGCTCCTCAATATGGAGAAAACGCGTACTGTCTCACTGCAATTGGATACGAAGAAGCAAAAGAAACAGAAGAAGGAGAAAAAGGCAAAGGAAACGAATGGCGCCATACCAGAGAACGGGGAGGCCAGCGCCAGTGCCAGCGGCGGTGCCAAAGAGAAGTGTCGGGTTATGTAAGAATTATCGGATTACATTACAAATGGAGTGATTCGAGTCGATACGAAATGAAATGGTGACAGACAAATACTCGCTTTGGGGCAGTAGCGTTGGGTTGAGGCGGTCTTAACGTTAACGCACACCCCCATCTAGATTTAAACCCGTGCATCCACCCCCCCCCCCCCCCCCCCCCCCCCCCCCACACACACACACAAGCATTAAATCCATACAGTATGTATTTAAGAACACACTACGATTACAATTACAACTACGATTACGGCTATATTTTGCATAGGTTTTATTCAAGCAAAGAATTTTCTAGTCGCACAGTATACACCATATGTGTACGAGTACTATACTAAACAATATGATACTATCCATACTACACGAACATAAAATACAGAACAGAACAGTACACGAACACGTACAGACCCGGCACATCCATGAATGGTAGTAGCCCTATGTTGACACATAATTGCATCTGAAACGCAACGGCATACATATCAAATATTTACACCACACTTGCATGATGCACCACCAATCCAATACGAGTTCGCGATGGGAGAAGACTAGCACAAGTGCCCAGTAATCTGTAGCCCATCCCATGCCACACGTAACCAGGTATAATTGAAAGCTATACCACTACATATATCGTATCTCTAATGAAAGCCAAAGTACCTACTTAAAAGACATAAATCTGTATCTACTTACGATATAAAAGTACTTACTATATTTACATACTTAAACAATCCATTAACAGAAGACTTCTCTATGTAAGTAGTCGACACGGAGACAATTGTGGGGTTGCTCTAGCAGCAAACTATCTAAGAACCGATCCCCCATTACCGCCGTATGCCTCCCCAGACTATCATTGCTGTTTAACTATTTACCACCAAAAAAAAATATAACACAAATAATGAATGAATGAATGTAGTACGAACCAAACCCTGATCGCCACATAAGTAAGCTAATGTATAAAATACTCAAAGCCATGCCACAGTCGTCCCCACACCACATGATCCAGAAAACAAACAGACACGAAATGTTCATAGAAATCGTCTGCTAATCTGCTATTTGTTAATTCTTTGAGCAAATTCCAGATTCCAAATAACGTTGTTTGTGTATTATATTGAATATGTACAATTTTACAATTATTTGCTGTAAGTTATTGACGACCCGAGAGCATTTTAACAATAACAGTAACAAACACAGAAGAAGTGCAAAAATGTGAAAGAAAACCTAAGTCTAAACCTAAGTCTAAGTACAATTGCATCCGTTGAGCCGTAATATGTGGAAGTGAGGCAAAAGAACACGCGTACATCGAAGGATATTTGAGGAGGCATTTTTGCAGCACAGCACCGGAAATGAGAATAAGTTGCCTGTTTTTAAAAAACACAAACACACAAACACACACACACATGTAGTAACTTATGTATAACTTAATACAAACAATTCCAATTATGGCATTCGTTTTCTTAATAATAATTCAATTTGAGATTGGCTTGTGCATAGGCGTAGGAGTTTGCTGCTGTTTGATATTAGGTGGCATTAGTTTTTTAAATTATACGATTACGATTACGATTACGAGTACGAGTACCAATCAGACGTAAGAGAGGTGAGGAGAGACATATATGCTTTAATTGCTGCGAAACCATACTACTATCTGGTTGAAGATGGGCAAACGCAAATGCGAACCAGCGGAAAGTAATTACATTAATTATGATGTTGCTCAGTTGTTACGACCGTTCAAAACAGAATAGAACAGAACAGAACAAAACAGAAAAGCAGACACAAATCGAGAGATGAAAATTACATACTAGAACTAAAAATAAATTGTTGAATTCGAGTAGTGAAATTATTAATCAAGATTATCATAGCGGACCAATTTGCGTATAAGATTTGTGAAATCAATTAGATAATTCTCTCAGTTTGCCATAGAAATGGATGATCGATCGATCTGTATCGGTATCGATATGTATGCCAGCCAGCCTTAGTTATGTTGTCATTTATTGGTAGCCTGCCGTGCTTTAGGTTTTTTGCTTAATGTTTCCTAGTTTTAGGTATGTTAAACGCTAGAGCGAGCAAACTGTTTTTGGTCTTGGCTAGGGCTATAAGAGTGTAGTATGTGCCGTGGATTGGAATTTGCATATAAATTGCGCATGAAACAGGCCAGGCAATTGTGTAAAAGAACACCTAGTTGCATAGTTATTATTATTATATTTATAACAATGAAGTGTAATTAAAGTATAATACAATTTAAGTGCAGTGCATGATTTAAAATACAACGAATAAATATATTTACACCGAAATTCTAATTTTTTTCCTACGAATATATATACACACACCATATAATAGATCTATATACATAGATATTTAAATACGAGTATGTAAATCAAATATATTAGTTGTATACATATTGAACTAGTTTTACACGATTCGAAAACACCGAATACATATATAAATTTCGCTTACATTCAATTAATATGCAACTCCACACAGTGCGACAGAGCGACCACTGCGAATAAGTAAAATGAACGGAAACGAAACGGCTCAGCGCCGCATTGTAAATACGAAATGTTCAACAAATTACATTGAAAGTATATCCAATTTTTGGGAGTGGCCGGCCGGCAGCATAATAAAAACATGCAATAATATATAGACGATTTGGTGGCCTACTTAAAACGATCTTATTGTTGAAGATTAATACTTAACCACACTTATCGTGAACAGGCGAATAAGAACACGCAAAATAATTTAAATAAAGAAACTTTAACTACGACAAATCAACTGCAAATTGAATTATTCTTAGGCACTAGGTTCCAATATAAAATTGGGTAAAGATGATCACGGACAATACGCTTAAAATATAAACTAAGGTTTGCAGCTTACTGCTAGATATTATGTATCGCATCTTCCTCGTGGTCATCCACCACTGTGAATCCATCTTCTTCGGTGATACTATGGCTTTTTCTGTCGCTGCTGCTGCTGCTGTTGTTGCTGACATCTAGTTTTGGTTTTTTATCTTCTGCGGAAGGAGCTTCCAGAGGTCCCATTAGCTCCTGGACTCCCGATACAGCCGGTAGTTGTTGTTTGACACTCTTTTGAGTGTCGCCTATCACGTTCAACAGCATTTTCAGATTCTCTCCTGATATACAATCTCCAACAGTTTCTCTCCCAGCGATCGAAGCCTGAGACTGAAGCATAGGCGGAGTGTCGGTATGGCCTGGTCTAGTGTGAAGTAGTGTACCCCACGCTCTGGGACTAATGATGTATTTGAATGTTAACTTGATAATGTACCCCACCAAAGCTACCAAAAATATGGGAGCAATAAGGTTGTAGGGGAAAGATAATCCAGCTGTGGGTACAATAAATAAATGGTGGTTATCCAGGCACATTTTTCTCTGGCGGAAGGTACTTACAGGACAGCTTCGTCATAGTTTTCGAAACCTTCTCCAAAAGCAGTTCCAATTGCTTAAGAAACAAGTCGTTTATATACATAATGAAGACATGATCTGGTAGGCAGTATGTAAGGTTGAGTTTTGAAGATTTTCTAAAAGACGAAATCAATTTTGTATCTACTGATACCTCTAAGAGCGATCGGTATACCTCAGTCTCTCCTTTTGTTCGGCCTCCGTTGATGGCCTGACCACAAAATTCCTCAGTCGTTGAATCCAAGACATTTCATCGTAGCTTAGCGGTTCCTGGTGACTGTTGATAACATCCAACATAGCGTCAACTTCCAATTTCTGAGGGGAGGTGGTAAGATTAGCAAAGTGTCATTGGAGGGCGTCCTTTTACCCACTCTATTGCACTCCAAATATGTGTGGAAGTATCCACATAGAAGCACGCCTCCTAAAATAACACTGATTAGCCGGAATCGGAAGCGTTTGTGCACAATGCAGACAGCCAAGGCAGCCAGCGCCGCTAAAACCATAAATTGCACCTGTGGGACATGTTTTCGTTGAGCAAATGCTACTTCTCCATAAACAATGCAATAGTCACCTCGGATATTTTCAACAGTTGTGTAAAATCCTTGAGAATATCAGTAACTAAAGCCCACACGCCCATCCCCTGATGTGTATAGTCGCATCCGAAGGCGCCTTCAACGAGTGGCGCTGCTTCCGCCCTCTCCAGTATCCTGGTGAGCAAAATGTCTAGATCGCGAGCATCTTGCACGTGTTCTAGCTCTTCTATTTGTGACGGAAGCAACGAGAACAGCAGCGATCGCTTGTAGAGCGTTGCGGTGGCATCATACTATTTACAAACAAACCATGGTCATGACGTCATGCCAGCCAAATTTGATCTTCAAAAGCAAACTTACCTGCAAACTTTTCCGTTGAAATAGTAGGTTTACAAACTTCTTAAAATACACTAGGGAGAGTGCATCCTCAATGGCAGCCGGAGACCTATGCGGCATTTCCGGGCACTCGCACTGGGGGCAGGATTCGCCAAGGGTCTGATCGAAATCCATGACGAAATTCGACCAGCCGTCATGAGGGTCTATCGGTTTTTGTTCACTACCACTCTGGCAGCACACATTATTAAATATCAATAAGCAACAACTGATTATTGTGCCTGTTTTCATTGCTCTTTTTTTCCAGATGGACGGCGCGGATTAAATAAATATAAGTTTTGTGGCACAGATGGAAATGGCGCGGTAGTGGTATCAAACCATCGAGGGCACTATCGATAGGTTCGATATTTTTGTGCTTTCCGCTGAAATGCGCGAATGAAAAATTGTATATTTGGAAAACTAGATGACTGCGCCTAACAATCACTAATCAAATTATAAAATAAAATCTAATATATCTTAGGAAACAAGCAAAACTGATGTGCGAAACCTCCCTCTGAATCAAAAGATTCAAAACTATCGAGTGGCGCCACTATTAACCAGTTAGTGCTGCCAACTTTCTAGAACAAAAATAGCTGTTTTTGTCGATAACATGAAATATGTATGATAAGATAACAATTTTTTAATCAGCCAGGCTCCGGTTTTCACTTACTTTTGCGGAATACATTTTTAGCCAAAACCTTTGGTTTTCGTTTTTAGTCCCGTTTTCACAAATTTCTTGTATGGAAATATTTCATTCTCTCATCGATTCTGGCAAATAAAAACAGTTGAAGTGGTTATTTTTCACTTTCCTGTTTTGAAGCCAAACGACGGCAGAAAGTGCGCGATTAAAGAAGATGAAGACTTTTTAGATGCAACAGCTGTGTATTTAACATGTCTGACGGTCGTACTGAGGTTATGCGCAAAAATGTATTTCGTCGAGGAAAATGTTTTCGTTAAAAGAGAATTTATTCAAATGAATTCAAAAGAAAATCTGAATACTTCTGTGAGAAGAACAAGCTATAAAATAGCTGATTTGGCATCAGTGGTACTAAAAGTCCCGGCATTCGCTTCGAAGCAAGTTGGCAGATCTAAATAACTGTTTGGCCAGGTCAGCAGCAAAAAAATTGCATGTGCAATTCAAAACGGAAGTCAATACAATTATGCATAGTTTTGGGCAACTTGGTTTGGTGCTTGCACTGGCCTTACTTATAACATGCGTGGATGCTGATAAAAAGCAGAGTAAGAAGTACAGCCGGGAGGCCAACGACCCGCATTTCCAGCAAGTGGCTGACGAAAAGTACGATCCGGATTTTAAGAAAATCCAGCGACCCTTCCGAATGGCCAAATTGAATCTCGTGTGGTCTAAGGCGCAGAATGTGAGTGAGAAATTACAACAAAGATAATGTTAATTAAATGGCGTGTATTTGTAGCGTTTAACGGAGCCTAAGCTAAAGTCATTGTATATGGAGTTGAAAATCCACGATAAAGAAGAGATCGCTTGGAAGCAGCTTAACTCGCAGCACAAGGACAAGGATGGTTTGAAGGAAAACGAACTGCGCCGAAAGCTGATTGGCATAATGAGCAGCTACGATCTTTTGGAGCACTTTGACGAAACTGAAGATGCTGAGAAAATCAAACCCTTCAAAGTACGTCTCTTTTCGAGTTCAAAAGGTTGATTCATTGCTCTTACCACTCACAGAAATTCCACGACCCCGAGGAACGCCATAAAAATAAAAGTCTCTTTAAGGACAAGAAACTTAACAGGCTGTGGGAAAAAGCGGAAGTTTCCGGCTTCACTTCGGAGGAATTGAAGTCCCTGAAGCAGGAGTTTGAGCATCATCAGGACAAAGTAGATGTCTACTACAGCTTGCTGGAAAACATTGGTTCTGTGGACACCGATAAGCACGAGAGTAAGTTTAGACACAGTATGTGAGAACAAGAAGTGTTACACAAATTATTTCCTCCATCTAGATGCCATTAACACTGAAGACCTTGACACGTACAATCTCATTTCGAACAATGATGCCAACGAAAACGAGATAAAGACGCATGATCAGAATGTGAAAAAGTTTGAGAACGACCTGAACACTCTACGGGGCCATCATGTTGGAATCAAGGATCACTACGACCGGCTGGAACGCCTGGTGTCGTCCGGACCGCATAGCCAAGATTTTATCGAGCCCAAGGTTCAGGGCTTGTGGCGCGTCGCTCAGGCAAGCAATTTCACGGTTAAGGAACTGGCTTCCATTAAGACCGAACTCAATCATTTTGAAAGTCGCTTGCTGAAGTTGCGACATCTGCATGCCGAGCATGCTCTGCACAAGGAGAAGTACAAGGTATGAAGGCCAGGAGTCTACCAAAACAGATCGATTTAATAATTTTAAATTTTCTTCTTCTAGGATGAGAAGCACAAGGACAAAAGCAACCGCTTCGAAGATATGGAGGATCAATTGAAAAAACAAGCACGCAAGGTGGAAAAATTGCAGGAGAACATTGAGAAAACTATCTTCAAGCATTCAGAGCTATGATCAAAACGAATCATTAAACGTGCCAAGCGAATAAATTAGATTTAAGACTAAGCTGTTGCTTAGCATAGAAATAAGTATAGTTTTGAGACCAAATATTTGTATGAAATGAAAACTTATGAACATATGCGCAAAAAGAGCACTCTTTTCGGGGTATTACTTTTGATGAGTACGGCTAAAAAAAATCGGGAGTGGAGCAAAATAAGAGAGAGATCGAATAGGGGCTCGCCTCTTCTAGCTTTGTTCGTTCCCTGGAAAAACGGGGACAGGAAAAGAAAGCATGCTCCGCGTCTTCGTATATTCCGGGCCCGCAGTAGCTGCAGTATGGGTCGTCGGCATGCTTGAATCGTTGTAAATGAAGCAGCCATGCCCCGTTAGCAATTGGACGAGGTAGTGGTCTATCTGGCCTCTGGTATGACGGCACCCTCATTGCTGGTGCCACACAACTGACCCATTGAGGATTATGGAGGTGTCTGCTGCGATGTCTTGGGCCTCCAGTGTTGGCCATCATCCTACTAATGGCCGCTGTTGCTGCGGCTGCCTTCGCGCTTGCGTACTCAAGGTGCGCCTTGAATATGAGTCGCGGGTCAACCACTAACCCTAGGTATTTTAGGGCGGGCTTGGTCATGATGGCAGTGCTGCCAACCATTACGCACGCCTGCCCGACCACCTTCCTGCTGCTTATGAGCACAGCCTCCATTTTCTTCACCGACAGGTACAGTCCATTCGCTGCTAGCCAGGATTTCATGCTTCCAACTGCTTCGTTGCGTCAGACCTCTGCTCCTTTTTTTAGTTTTGCTACCGTGACCAGTGCGAACCAACCTTCCGGTTGGTTCAGGCGCGGGATGTCATCGTACATCGCGTTCCATAGGATCGGCCCTAAGACCGAACCCTGCGGGACGCCCCCGGTGATCGTCTGCGGCTTCGCTCCCTCTCCCTCCTCTTCAGGGCATCGAGGATGCTGCTCCAGCTGGCCGATTTGAAGTCGTTCCACAAGTCTAGCTTACTAGCTTACAGTACTCCTTCGTGCCTCCCGCCCATCGCGTACCTGCTATGGCTTCTCTGGCTATGCTCGTGACCTTCTGTAGTGGTGTCTGTGGTGCTTCTCTGCTTCCTGAACCCAAATTGGAGGGTAGAGAGGCCATGTCGCTGCGTCAGCTCGGCCTCGAGTCGGTTGCATACCGTCCTCTCAAAGATCTTACCCACACCAACTAGCATGCATAGTGGTTGGTATGCCGATGGGTCGCTTAGGTCCTTGCCTGGCTTGGGTACCAGAAAAAGGCTCTGGCGTTTCCATGCTATTGGTACGATCCGCTCCTGGGTGCACTCACACATCCGTGTGAAGGCTTCTGGGTTGGCACTGACCACTGAGATCTAACTGGAGCGTTGATACCATCTAGTTGCATAGTTATTATTATTATATTTATTACAATGAAGTGTTATTAAAGTATAATACAATTTAAGAGCAGTGCATGTTTTAAAATACAGCGAATAAATATATTTACACCGAAATTCTAATTTTTTCCCTACGAATATATATACACACACCATATAATAGATCTATATACATAGATATTTAAATACGAGTATGTAAATCAAATATATTAGTTGTATACATATTGAACTAGTTTTACACGATTCGAAAACACCGAATACATATATAAATTTCGCTTACATTCAATTAATATGCAACTCCACACAGTGCGACAGAGCGACCACTGCGAATAAGTAAAATGAACGGAAACGAAACGGCTCAGCGCCGCATTGTAAATACGAAATGTTCAACAAATTACATTGAAAGTATATCCAATTTTTTTGAGTGGCCGGCCGGCAGCATAATAAAAACATGCAATAATATATAGACGATTTGGAGGCCTACTTAAAACGATCTTATTGTTGAAGATTTATACTTAACCACACTTATCGTGAACAGGCGAATAAGAACACGAAAAATAATTTAAATAAAGAAACTTTAACTACGACAAATCAACTGCAAATTGAATTATTCTTAGGCACTAGGTTCCAATATAAAATTGGGTAAAGATGATCACGGACAATACGCTTAAAATATAAACTAAGGTTTGCAGCTTACTGCTAGATATTATGTATCGCATCTTCCTCGTGGTCATCCACCACTGTGAATCCATCTTCTTCGGTGATACTACGGCTTTTGCTGTCGCTGCTGCTGTTGTTGCTGACATCTAGTTTTGGTTTTTTATCTTCTGCGGAAGGAGCTTCCAGAGGTCCCATTAGCTCCTGGACTCCCGATACAGCCGGTAGTTGTTGTTTGACACTCTTTTGAGTGTCGCCTATCACGTTCAACAGCATTTTCAGATTCTCTCCTGATATACAATCTCCAACAGTTTCTCTCCCAGCGATCGAAGCCTGAGACTGAAGCATAGGCGGAGTGTCGGTATGGCCTGGTCTAGTGTGAAGTAGTGTACCCCACGCTCTGGGACTAATGATGTATTTGAATGTTAACTTGATAATGTACCCCACCAAAGCTACCAAAAATATGGGAGCAATAAGGTTGTAGGGGAAAGATAATCCAGCTGTGGGTACAATAAATAAATGGTGGTTATCCAGGCACATTTTTCTCTGGCGGAAGGTACTTACAGGACAGCTTCGTCATAGTTTTCGAAACCTTCTCCAAAAGCAGTTCCAATTGCTTAAGAAACAAGTCGTTTATATACATAATGAAGACATGATCTGGTAGGCAGTATGTAAGGTTGAGTTTTGAAGATTTTCTAAAAGACGAAATCAATTTTGTATCTACTGATACCTCTAAGAGCGATCGGTATACCTCAGTCTCTCCTTTTGTTCGGCCTCCGTTGATGGCCTGACCACAAAATTCCTCAGTCGTTGAATCCAAGACATTTCATCGTAGCTTAGCGGTTCCTGGTGACTGTTGATAACATCCAACATAGCGTCAACTTCCAATTTCTGAGGGGAGGTGGTAAGATTAGCAAAGTGTCATTGGAGGGCGTCCTTTTACCCACTCTATTGCACTCCAAATATGTGTGGAAGTATCCACATAGAAGCACGCCTCCTAAAATAACACTGATTAGCCGGAATCGGAAGCGTTTGTGCACAATGCAGACAGCCAAGGCAGCCAGCGCCGCTAAAACCATAAATTGCACCTGTGGGACATGTTTTCGTTGAGCAAATGCTACTTCTCCATAAACAATGCAATAGTCACCTCGGATATTTTCAACAGTTGTGTAAAATCCTTGAGAATATCAGTAACTAAAGCCCACACGCCCATCCCCTGATGTGTATAGTCGCATCCGAAGGCGCCTTCAACGAGTGGCGCTGCTTCCGCCCTCTCCAGTATCCTGGTGAGCAAAATGTCTAGATCGCGAGCATCTTGCACGTGTTCTAGCTCTTCTATTTGTGACGGAAGCAACGAGAACAGCAGCGATCGCTTGTAGAGCGTTGCGGTGGCATCATACTATTTACAAACAAACCATGGTCATGACGTCATGCCAGCCAAATTTGATCTTCAAAAGCAAACTTACCTGCAAACTTTTCCGTTGAAATAGTAGGTTTACAAACTTCTTAAAATACACTAGGGAGAGTGCATCCTCAATGGCAGCCGGAGACCTATGCGGCATTTCCGGGCACTCGCACTGGGGGCAGGATTCGCCAAGGGTCTGATCGAAATCCATGACGAAATTCGACCAGCCGTCATGAGGGTCTATCGGTTTTTGTTCACTACCACTCTGGCAGCACACATTATTAAATATCAATAAGCAACAACTGATTATTGTGCCTGTTTTCATTGCTCTTTTTTTCCAGATGGACGGCGCGGATTAAATAAATATAAGTTTTGTGGCACAGATGGAAATGGCGCGGTAGTGGTATCAAACCATCGAGGGCACTATCGATAGTATCGATATTTTGGTTCGGATGGAACGCCTGGTGTCGTCCTGACCACATAGCCAAGATTTTATCGAGCCCAAGGTTCGGCTTGTGGCGCGTCGCTCAGGCAAGCAATTTCACGGTTAAGGTACTGGCTTCCATTAAGACCGAACTCAATCATTTTGAAAGTCGCTTGCTGAAGTTGCGACATCTGCATGCCGAGCATGCTCTGCACAAGGAGAAGTACAAGGTATGAAGGCCAGGAGTCTACCAAAACAGATCGATTTAATAATTTTAAATTTTCTTCTTCTAGGATGAGAAGCACAAGGACAAAAGCAACCGCTTCGAAGATATGGAGGATCAATTGAATAAACAAGCACGCAAGGTGGAAAAATTGCAGGAGAACATTGAGAAAACTATCTTCAAGCATTCAGAGCTATGATCAAAACGAATCATTAAATGTGCCAAGCGAATAAATTAGATTTAAGAACGACCTATTGTGTCAAGCACAAATGTTAAGCTATCGCTTAGCATAGAAAAAGGTATAGTTTTGAGACCAAATATTTGTATGAAATGAAAACTCATGAACATATGTGTGTCTTTTCTATTCCTTTTTCTTATAACAAGTTGGTGTGCTAAAAGCGCTCCCTTTTCGGGGTATTATTTTTGCTGAGTACGCCAAAAAATATCGGGAGTGTGGCATAATAAGAGAGAGATCGAATACACCACCTTGTTATAACTTCATCATGATCTATTAATTGGTATTTTGGCATATACTACATATGGTCATACAGATTTAAGGGATAAATATCTTGCACAGTATGACCGCATTTCAGTCGCGTTGTTGTTGTTGTTTCGAGTCGACTACAAAAAAACAAGAAGAAAAAGTCTTAACGTAACAAAAAGTATTAGCATTGATGTATAGTAAATAGTGGAAAAGTGTTTAATGGGTACATAGTGCATATGTATAGATACGGACATAGGTATAAGCATGGGCATGGTCGAGACGGCGACGTCGGAGTATCGCTTGGAAGCCAACACCTCCTACACGTACCTCCTGGTGACGCTCAACTTGACGCTGACTCTCATTGTAATGTTAGGCGCGTGTCTCTGCTGCAAAAAGAAAATACCAAAGTAAGTCAGTCGTGCATCGGGTGCAGGAGCGGAGCCCCCGAATGCTCAGAGAGCTCGAGTTGCCACCGCGAGAGAGTGAAAGTCGGATCTCTCTGCCGCCCAGTTACAGTTGGATGCACTCATGCCACTAATTCCTCATTTTCCCCCCCACTCTCAACTCTACGCTCTCAGAAATGATTTGCTCGGACTCGAGGGTATGGTCAAGCTGAAGAATCCGGATGAGGTCATTGTGGTAACCAGCCTGGTAGGCAACAGTGAGTCGCAGGCGGAGCTGAATGCCTCCACTGTCTCGAATGCTGACTCGGAAAAGCGGTAAGTCCCGTATTATTTATTTACTATGTAGAAATAAAATTATCATGAACTCAATTTCAGATCAAGTACAGCGGCGCATCGTAGTTTGCCTGATATTCCTGTGGCCGAAAGCAACGATAATGGCTCCGAATTATACGAAACTGTTGCGGATAAACAGCTTGTGGATGCACGCAATGCACGTAGTCAAAGTCGTATGTGGAAACCCCGCTTGCAAAATGTTTTGCACTTCTACTATCTTGCCTTTGTCCCCACAGCCCAGCCCAGCCTTAAGAAGCAGACAAGCGTTTCGCAGCACAGCTCGATAAGCCAGGCGGATGATGTCAGCTCGCCATATTCGCGTGTCAAGGGACTACCGCATGATTATGCCAAAGTTCGAGGCACTGAGCATCCCTATGCCCAGCTAAATGCACCGTCCACATCCCATTCGGCGCAAGGTGCTGCTGCAGCGGCGGCTGCGGTCGTAGCAGGCTCATCAAGTGAGGGCGCCGATCACCTGCATCGGAGCTCCCAGCACAGCGACGGCTCGAGGGACCACAATGACTCTGCTCCAGCGCAAGTGGAAATTCCGGCAGCTTCGGCCATTGCGGGCATGATATCAGCCAGCCAAGATCTGCCCTATATGACGCCGCCCATTGCTAACCAGCACTTTAGTGGTGATTCCCAGGACTCGTCAAGTAAGTGTGCAGCACTTCCTAAAAAGTACATAAGTATTTGAATGATCTTTAACCACTTCACAGAGGGATACACAAGCATTAGCGTGCGTGAGCCGCTGGCCAATATACTGGCGCAACAGCCACCGGGCAAGCCTCCTAACAGAAATGCCTCCCTAGCACGAGATGGAAATGACTCTCATTATGCCACCGTATCCGATGATTCAGGTGGGTATTATTTAAAAAATGTGTTGATGGAAGTAAAAACAGTCTTGGGATTTACTAGATGAAACGTATGCCGCTATTGAGGATCCCAACAATCGTCACCCAACGAATGCCGCCGATATTTATACCAGCGGCTCGGAGACCTACGCACAAATCCAGCCCATGCAGATCAATCCCATAGTGGTGGCCGTTGAGATCAACAACAGCAGCAGCCTGCCAACAACGAACTCAGCCGCGGGCGTGGTCAGTGGAGGCATCCAGAGTGGAGCTCTCAGGCAGACTAACACCAACATTGGACCAACTGATCATGCCGTGCCCGTCCCCCCGCCTGTGGATAGCTTACGAGCGCAAATGCACTCACGACAGGCATCGTCCTCGTCGAATAATAGCACTTCTGTGTGTAATCTGGGCTCGCCCAAGCCGGAGAAGCGGCAGGCGAACTCGCCGCTGCCACCGACGCCCAAGTCAAGTGCCCATCTGCATGCGAGCAGCATTAGCAACCTCGCCTCTGCCCGTAATTCTGTAATTTCGGTGATTGAAGCTAGCGGCGATGGTCACGAAGTTGAGGCACCCGCCGAGGCATCTCCACAGCGCAAGCACAGCAAAAGTCTCAGTCCCTCAAAGGATGGCGGCGGCGAGGGCAATAAAAACATTGAGGGCATGTATGCCAAGGTAAACGTCATTGAATCCTCAACAGCTACAGCCAGTACTCGACTCTAACTTATTTTCATTCCGCCCTGCTTTTAGGTCATGAAGAAACACAAATTCTCTCGCAATTCTCCCTCGTCGCAGAACAGCTCGCCCATTCTCACGCGCAAGCAGCAGCAAGATACTTTGGGAGTGAGCCCCTTAGACAGTGCGGCAGCGTTGCTTGTGGACCCACAGAAGGGTGCTCGCGTGCGTAGCAACAGCTACTCGGCCAAGGATCATGGCTATGAGACGATCCCAGCAGATGGCCAGCTTATGCACGAGAATCGCAAATCGGATTGCTATGCAGCCAATATGCTGCAGAAGGAGCGCCAACACGAAGGAGGTAACAACACGGAGAGCTACCAGACCTCTGACCCTGCTATTTATCCTTGCCTAATCTCTAACCTGCGGCTAATCTCATCTCTTCCTAATACCTAATCTGCCTAACTATCTATGTATCTATCTGTCTCTCCTTGTGCCTTCCCCACTTAGTCGAATTGCCAAAATGAGAAATTTTCGTATTTGTTCAGTTGAAACGACGAAAATTTCATGAGTTTTTATTTGGAAATAGCCGTGGTTAGTATCGCATCCAGGATACCCATCGAACAATCCACAAAAGACATTAATTATATTCTATTGAAAACCGGCCCACTTACTGTTGTCGTTTCCCGCCACCATTTCAGCGATTGCCCCCCAGCCTGTGACGAAAGCGACAGCGACTGGGATCAGCGGCGCCAGCACAAAGCACTATGAGACTATTAGCCAGCCAACGCCACCGCCGCCGCCTCCGTCAAAATGCAACAACGATCCAGGCTACGAGCAACTGCAGCTGCATCCCGTCCAAACTGAAGATGATGCCAAGAAATCTGACTATGATCCCAACTATGAGGTGCTCAAGAGTCGCGCCCACTCGGACGACGGATATGCCAAGGTGCTGGAGAAGAAACGGGCACCCACTGCGGATGCTGGGGGCTACAGCACTATTCCAGGTGCCGATGCCAATCACAACTATGCCAGCATTCTGGAAACGAAGGCCACCGCGGAAACGGACCACTATGCGAGAATAGCCGAAAATGTAGCTGCCAGCACACCGGGAAGCACTTCGAACAGCAGTCGCTTAACCCTGACATCGCCCACCTCCACTTCCACATCCAATTCCCTGTCGCTCAACTCGTCAACAGTGGCAACCAGCACGCCGATATCCTCCCAGTACGAGTCTTTAACAGGAACGGGCAGCGAAACGGATCCCAACTATGAGTCGGTGTGCTACCTAACCACAGGAGCCACAGCAACGACCACAACGACTACTAGCACGAGTAGCGGGGGCGGTTTCGTGGAGCATGCTTATGAGCCGCTTCAGGCTGATTTGGAGTCGGACACGCAGGCGAGCAGTCCAATGAGCGGAGCCACGGCCACTTCCACGCCCAGTGAGCAGTTGCTAGTAGATGACTACTTCCACGTATAGTCAGTAGGAGCCCCATTAGCTGGATCGAGCTGGATCTCCCCCCTCCCCATCATAATCAGTTTTTTTGCTTAGCAATCTTTCACGCACATATCATTCATTTGATGCACACTCATAAGAAGAAACGCATAAATCGTAGATACATACAGCGCTCGCTCAGCGACAGTCTTTAGATTAGGCTGCAGGTCCGTTGACCCATGGTACGTGGACTTGCAGGCCAAGTAGTAACCAAGTACTATCTACCCAATATGGCACACAGCTTCATATCGGTTTGCTCTTTAGTACATAGCATAGTCCCGTAGTCTTAAGTTAACTTTGTGTACAAACTATTTGTATGTCTCCGGTTCGACAATTATTGTGTACTTCCAGCAGTCGCGAGAGGGTATATCGCTCCCTATACATACACTCCACAATATCTACAATATGGATTATTCTATCTAAGTACCAGTGCGTCCTATTTTAGGTAAATTGAATGCGAATTGTAAGCAGAACAAAGAACAAAGAGCTACGCGCCACTTGACGCGGCATTTTTTTAAATTGATAAGCACAAGCGTCGGGTTGGTTTGGATTCGGTGGGTTGTTATTTAAAGCAATGATATTTAGACGGATATAGGGGGGAAGAGTACACACCTACCTACCTACTAATACATTTACATATATGTATATATTATATATATTTTTATATGTTTTGGCGTTTTTGCTGCTTTTTACTTTACTAAAACAGATACGAAGACGGAACGACGAGCCAAGTATTGTGTATTTGTATTTGTATTTGTATTTATAAATGTTAAAGAAACAAGACACTTCCAAGTATTCAAGCAACAAGAAACTAAGATAAAACGTTCAATAAATTATTGATGACTCACAAAAATGATATCTGTATTTTATAGTTATTCTTTATTGCATATGTATATGGTTTAAGGATTACAACAGGACCGTCTGCACACAGGTAACACGGCAGATCAATATTCTATATCAAGTGAATGCATACCTAACCCGCGCACAAAAACAAAGTGCATTCGTCGGGTGCAAAAGATAAAGATACGACACTTGACAAAATTAAAAAAAATCACAAATTATAATCTAGGGAAAAGATTGCCAAATTAAGACGGTGCCACAAAGGAGGAGACCGAAAGTATTCTATATTATATACTGAATGCCCTTCGTTCCAATGAACAACATAACGCATCGTGAGAACACCTCCATTGTGGACAACCTTAGGAGTTGGGCTCTATAGGTCGCTTGCAGAAGTCTTATACTCTGATTTATATTGTTTTAACTATGGGGGGATAGGATTTAACTAATTCGAATAATTTTAGCTAGAACAAAGGCCTATTACAATTCCTTAGTGTACTTATAATGCGCAGGACATAACAGGGGATACACACTTGCCATTGCAACATCCACATCGAGCACATAAAATGGAGATTATTTGAGTTAAAAGTTAAATGCCGGGATGCCGTCAATTTCTGGCTGTAGCGGCCTGCATGAGTCGCGTCACCCACATGTAGATGAGGACGCAGAGTATAAACTGCAGGAATACAAATTGAAAGTCGAAGATCATGCTACACCTATGAAATGTGAACGATGAAACGCGCCCGACAAGCGCCGAACAAGCAGCCGCTTCCACGTTTCATTCATTGTTGGCATCGGGCATCGGAAGGATCACTGGCTCAGGTGCACCAGCACCAGCACCAGCACCAGCAGCAGCAGCAGCTGCTACTGCCGCGACTCCTCCAGCTGGCACTCCCGCCGCCTGTGGTGGCGGCGGCATGGGTTGCACTTGTGGCGATGGAGGCGGTGCGACGACCGGCTCACGATTCAGCAAGGCAATATTGCTGGCCTTCATGCGAGCTATAGAGGAGGCCATTCCAGTGCCGTTGCCCACAACTGATAGACACGGTGACATACAAGGCGTTGAGCATGATGAATTGCTGATTTCACACTGGTCAAGTAGGCGGAGAAGCTCGTTAGTGTCGGGTCCGCCGTTGGTTTTCTGCCGGGGCTCATCCTTGGAAATCAGCGACAGTGCGGTGGTCAGATCCCACATCTGAATGGCGCCGTTGCAGTGGCCAGTGAGTATAAATCGTGATCCCATGCGCGACGAGACTTCGCACTCGTGTACGCAAAATGCTGATATGGTAGAGCTGTCCACGGACCGGATGACACAGACGCGATCCCCATTCGAGGCCAGGCGCACGTAAAGCTGGTCCGTCTCGGGCACGACCTTCTGGACAAAGATCATGTCGTCAAAGTCGCCGTAGGGACCAAAATCATTGCCAGCCGCATAGCTGTAGTTCGAGTCGGTGGCCTCCAGCGAGACAATTTTGAACGAGGCCTCCGGCGTGGAGCCCGGCTGGGTGGAGAGCATTCCCCGGAATCGGGTAAGGCCCCAGGTGCGCACATGATGATATTCGCTGCACACCGACACGAGATACTTCTCAGAGAGCATTACCTTGGTGACGGGGCTCTGGTGGACAAAGAAGGTTTCGAACAGGTGGGGTCCGTGACCAGCTGTCTCCGGATGTTGAACAATAATGCGCACCGCTCCCGATTTGGTGCCATAGGCGATCTCGATCCAATTACCACTGATGCTTGACGTCTTCGGAGTTAGATAGACGGAGATGGCGGTAATGGGGTCCAGCGTCACATCCTTGTAAAGTTCGGTGACCAACAGATCGTTATCCTTCATTCGGAGTGGAAATTTCTGCATGTCTATGTAGTAGATGGAGCCGTTGTTGCATCCAAGCAGCAGAAAGGATCCAGCGGAGTCAAACGAGAGTACGGGAACCAAGTCCTGAATTTGCCAGTGCTGGGTCATGGCATGCCAGACGCCAATCTTGCCGGAGGAGGACAGGGCCACCAGCTGGCTGCCAATGAAGAACAGGTACTCTACCCTCACATTGAGATTAAAGGTACCCACGTCCGTCTTCTGGCCACCCTCCTGTATGCTCCACAGTCTTATCTGGCTGCCATACGAGATGGCCACCATTTTGCTCGGAATGGGCTCCGCCGTCGATGTGTTTACCTTTGAGTTGATCGCTATCCGCTCAATCGTGGCATCAATGTGTGGCGATGTAAAAACCTGCTGCCATCCGTTTGAGTCTTTCACGCGGTAGCAGGTCACAAAGTGGGCATAGGCCACGGCTATCCAGTTCTGATGAGCCTTGATAATCTGCACTCTTAGAGGATCCACCCAATGGGAACTCTGGGTGGGGCTGAACACCATGCCAACCTCGTTTTTAAACACTTTGTTCAGATCCGCCGATGAGTTGCGAGAGTGTCGCATAAAATCTAAGGAAGGATTCCGGGAGTGCAGCATGGGAGCGGGGGGGTTAGAGCTGCCGCTGCCGTTTCCACTACCCGTTCGGGCCAGGCGTAGATCCCACGAAGAGTTTCGCGAATGTGAGGCTCGGGACGGCTCCGGCACCCGCACCATTGATCCAGGTCGCCCCCCCGCATTTCCCGATGTGGATGGCAGAACTTCGTCGACGGCTGCCTGCACAGTCTCATTAGAGGGCATCGGCGGAGCCGCCAGGAATCCGTAGAAGATCACATCGCCACAGGATGAGTGATTCAGATCCTCGCAGAGAGCCAGACGCTTGGTCAGGGGTGTTATCCCATAGTATTCGGCCTCATGTCGCAGGGCGCGTATCTCGCAATTCTTGATATCGATGTCCTTTGTCCGCAAATAGTTGAGAATGATGGAAAAGAGGGTCGGATCGCGGTCAATAAAGATGGCATTGTACTCGTCTCTCAGGCTGGAGATGCGCCCACTGAGAAGAGCCGTGAAGAATGTATCTGGTATCCACGTAAGCGTTTGCCGTGACGTAGAGAATCTACGGGAAACGGAACGTTAAATATTGCATGCGTCATCAGCGTCATTCACATCTCGCATCGAGCATCGTAATATAGACTTTGGGTTCTTACCGTTGACCACCCACATTGAGATTGACCAAGTCACTGATAGCAGTATGCATAAAGTAGGACATCCCCTTGTCCGAAGCTGCCGCAGCAGCGGAGAAATGTTTTTAATTTGCTTCTATTTGTGTGGCTTCCTCTCAGCGTTGGCCCCCAACTGCAACTGAACGAACGGACAGCAGCCACAAACAGCGACAAAGATAACTACGCGACGGGAATTTAGTGTCACTTGAGAGCTCTGCTGGGTGCAATTTAGTCGTTTAATGTAATTATGCTTTATTTATTTTTATTTATACTCTGCACCAGCCGATTTTCGATAACTCTGACCCTCAGAAATATACCGTCTCAGTTTTATAATATACCGTAAATATACCGATGAAAAATTGTAATATAAATAGTAAGTAACGGCCATACAATTCAATTGTTATATGCAGCGAGGTTTTTGAAAACGACAAAATCCGCGCCATCTCGATCGCGAACACACAGGGGAGAACACACAGGTGACCCTTCTAAATACAGCCATGAGGTAGAGCAACATTTTTATCGCCCTCCACAAAGACGAAAATCTGTGGCAAAACGTATGTATGAGAATCGTAAATTCATGAGAATCGTGTTACAGTTAAATCTCTGCCTCATGTAGACAACGAGAGAGCTGCTGGATTTTGAGCGCTCTTTCGCGCTATTCCACATGAAATTATATATTATAATTATATATATATATATAACCGTGGGAATATAGATATTCTTTATGGCTAGTGGTATTCCCCATCTCTAGTGTGCCATAAACGCCCTAGCACGTTTCTGTTAAAAAATACTGTATCTACCAAATGAATTTCTGGTATGTACTGTCTGGTTAAGGCGCCAAATTTTAAAACGAAACTGTACAAATAACAATGATTTAGCTGTCTATTAATCATTTATAAAACAACATTCAAAATTAATTGTAGTTGCCCCAATAGCAGAAATCCTTAGAAATGCCGGCCAAAAATTGTGGGTGCCGCAAGAAGAAGGAAGTCCGCGTACATGTCATCTATACGGGTGGGACAATCGGGATGATGCGGAATTCATCGGGAGGTATACGAGTATAATCAATGTAAACTATATTCCTTACAAGTGCACATCTTCTTTGGCTAGTGCTGGCCCCTGCCCGCAAGGAATTGACGGCACGGTTGCGCGAATATCCCAACTGTCATGATAAACAATATAAGTCCGTCCAGCCAGAGAATTCGTCGCTTATGGTGCTGCCCATGGTGGAGGGTGCACCTTGTCGTATCCTGTATGATCTGGTGGAGTACTGTCCCTTGTTGGATTCCAGTTGCATGGGCTTTGACGAGTGGAAGCAAATAGCCAAGGACGTGTTTGTAAGTTTTGTATGTCTTTCCTTTCTCCCTTCTTAGACAACACATCTGTCTGTAGAATGCTTACAAGTCCTATGACGGCTTTGTCATACTTCATGGCACGGATACGTTGGCATACACGGCCTCTGCTCTAGCTTTCATGTTGGAGAATCTCAACAAACCCGTTGTGTTGACGGGGGCACAAATCCCCATTTTCGAGACCCGCACCGATGGCCGGGACAATTTTCTGGGATCTCTGCTCTTGGCGGGCCAATATAACATTCCGGAAGTCCTTGTTTTCTTTGGCAATAAGATCCTGCGGGGCTGTCGCACCTCCAAGATCAACGCCGACTCCTTCCATGCCTTCGACTCGCCAAATCAGCCACCACTGGGCCAGTCGGGCATTAAATTTGAGATCAACAACCGCCAAATATTCCGTCCCTGCAACATCGGGGAGTTTTCGGTGCACTGCTGCTTGGAGAGGAATGTGGGCATATTGCGCATGTATCCAGGCATAACTACCGCCGTGATGTGTGCCTTCCTCAGGGAGCCCATGAAGGGTGTGGTCCTGCAGAGTTTCGGGGCCGGCAACATCCCAGCGAATCGTGAGGAAATCCTAGACGTTCTGCGCGAGGCGGTCGGCAGGGGTGTCCTAGTGGTCAATATTACGCAGTGTTCCGTCGGAATCGTTGCCCCCATTTACGAGTCCGGCAGTGTTCTCACGGAAATAGGTGTGATTCCTGGCTATGATATGACTCCAGAGGCAGCTCTCACCAAGTTGGCCTACGTGCTGGGCAAGTGCGAATGGGATCTGGCGAACAAGAAGAAGGTGATGCACCTGAGCCTCCGCGGGGAGCTGACCACCAATAAGCTGGCCAAAATCAACGATATCGACCTGATTGAGGGCGTGGCACGCACTCTGCACATGTCCTCCTCGGTCGAGCGGGAACAGATGTGCTCGATCTTCTATCCCGCACTGGTGTCCGCTGCCGTCATGAGCGGCGATGTGGAAAAGCTGGGGGATCTCAAGCAGTATGGGGCTGATCTGTGTGACGAAAACTGTGACGGTCGCACCGCCCTGCACCTGGCCTGCTATCTGGGCAAGCTGAACTGCGTGAGCTTTTTGCTGTCCGTTGGCTGTGCGGTGAATGTCCACGATCGGTTTAACCGCACGCCGCTGCACGAGGCCGTCGACACGGACAATCATGACGTGATAAAGGCTCTGCTCTGCCAAGGGGCTGTCCTCAGCGACCCTCCGGAGGTGCAGGCGGAACTGCTGCGCGCCCTGACGGAGCGCGGCAAGATCAAACGCATGGAGTCCTATCGGCTGGCCGGCGCCGATTTAACCCTGGCGGATCGCACGGGACGCACGGCTATGCATTATGCCTGCCAGTTGGGCAACCACGAAGTGGTCGACTATCTCCTGCCCTTCTACAAGAATCCCTATGTGAAGGACGAGCTGGGCATGACGCCTATAGATTACGCCAAGGCCGCCCATCATGACCACATCGTGACGTTGCTGCGCTTCAGGGAGAACAACTACAAGAAGGATCCATGTGGCTGTATAAATTAGAAAGATCAATTAAAATGATTCCATACTCGTTTTGTTTTTGTTGTTTTTTTTGTCAAATTTCAAATATTATTAGCTTATACCTTGTTTATATATATATATATATATATATAAATATACATATATATATTTATATGTTTAATTAGTGGTTTGTCCAAGTCAAGGGCGACGACCATGACGATATTAGCTGCATAGGTAACACATTAAAATAAATCTCTACGTAGTATAAGTGTCTTATATGTATATAGTATATGCATTTATGTGTGATTGGGTTTGGGCTTGATTCAATCTTCGAATGGAAACTCAAATTTAAAACCAAAGTACAAGAACAGACGAAACAAGGATACAAACAAGAAACGGGAGGCTATGCGATAAAAACAAAAATACTTAATACGACACGCAGGGCTAAAGGTTAAAGGTTAATGGTTAATGGTAAATTGTTAATGATAAAGGGTTCTCTCTACTACTCTTGTATGCATATATGTATGTAGTTGCTGTTCACTTAGGCTACAGACTTAAATAATAAGTGATTTGCATAATTCGAATACTCGGAACTTACTTGGCTAAGATGACACATGGCTTTTGTTTCTATTGTATGTTATGTTTTTTGCGCTACAAATTTTGATCTACAACATTTAGACATGAAATATTGCTTGGTATTTTACGCACGGTAAAGGCTTTTTGATTTGTATCTTGTCTGAGTGCTAGTTTAGTTTTAGTTTTAGTTTTAGATATCGCATAGAGTTATATGTGTACGTACGAGTATATATGTACTATATATTGTGTGTTCTGTGTGTTTTGTGTGTGTGTGGAGAGTGTCTACTATACTCGTACGATATATGTATGTAAATAATTATATATAAGTTAGTTTTGCTGAAGCATTGCCTGCCGCTAATCTAGTTTGTTGTTAATACTTAGAATTGCTTTCTTCGAATTGTTGTTAATCAGTGGCCAAATACGCACACCCATGTATCTCTCTCTCTCTCAATCGTCGATCGTCTATGGTATGGCTTAATGTATAGAATTTATTTTAGTTTTTTGTTTTTTTTTTTGTTTTGTAAATTTAAAATCTCTACTAATCTACATTACAAAAATTGTTCTTCACTGGGTTCAAACGGGGCTTCGCTGCAATCGTTTGCTTCCTCCCCTACGTTTACAACATTTTCCGTCGTACAAAAACAAATGCATATAGTGTGTGTGGTGTGGTAAAAATGTTTCTCCTTTTTCCTTCCTTCGTTGTGACATACATTGATAGAAAAATTCCAGTTTTCTTTGCGAATTGTTTAGATTTTCGATTGTTTTTTTTGTTTTGTTTCCTTTTCATGATTTCATTTCAATTAAAAAGTTATAAACTTTGCGAGTGAGTTATTCTTGTGTGTTAAACTAAATTGCACATTGAGTTAAATTTCGAACGAAAGAATAATTAAGTATTATTTACATACAACAAGAATTGTATTATTGGGGGGCTTGGCTTTTGTTTCTTTCTGAATATTTACAGCAGCACTTGTGAGATGTGCGGGAAAATTGAGAGCTTGGTTGGGGCTTAACGACTTAAAGGAGATACAGACTTAGCTTAGAGGATGATACACTGACACTGACTGTCTTTCTTTCTAGTTGACCATCAGCGTGTGCGACTCCATGGGCGCCGCCGAGTCGTACAGCGTGTCCGTGTCCTGCGTGGGCTCACCCTGCAGCTGACACTGGTTGGACAGGGTGCCAGCACCACAGTCGCAGAAGAAGCTGTTGGAGATTTTGAATATTTGGTTGTAACAAGGCACTCCACAATGCAGTCCACTGCAAACAAATGGGGCTACTCACCGATCGTGTCGTATGAACTCGACATCATGGCCTGCATGACAATTCTTGATGCAATTGACACAGATGGCATTCCGGTCGGTGGTGTTGCAGGTCTGACAGCGATAGAAGTCGTGCATGGGAAAGGATGTGTAGCTGCTGATTTTGTAGAGGCACTGGCCACTGGAGACGGCCTTCTCCACCTCATCCTCATTGTTGAAGATGTTATTGCCGCGTGTGATGGGCTGAACGCCGCTGGCGAGGCACAGCCCACCGAACTTGTTCTTGAATATCTGATTGTGCTCCAGCGTTGCCGTGGCATTGTTGGTGATCTCCACACCAGCCGCCTGGCCATCGTAGATCCGATTGCGTCGCAGTATCGGATGGGATTGCGTTGAGATCAGCACACCGGCTTGTGTGTTCCGGAAAATGTCGTTCTCCTCAAGGATCCCTTTGCCGCCATTGAATATACAGATGCCACCATCTCTGCCATCGTAGATCTTGTTCCGCTTGAGGGTGGGATTCGAGTCGGTTTTTATCCAAACGCCCGCCATGGCATTGTCGAAGATCTCGTTCTGCTCCAGCAGCCCCAGACCACCGTTGTAGACGAGGACACCGCCATTCTGGCCACCCCAGATCTTATTTCCGCGTATCACTGGATTGCTGCCCGTCCGGATCTGCACGCCCGAGTACAGATGATTGAAGATGTCGTTGTCCTCCAGCTTGCCATGACCGTTGTCATAGAAATAGACGCCGACCTGTTTGCCCGAATGGATTCGATTGCGCCGCAAGACTGGAGTGCTGCCAGTGGTTATCCAGACACCAGCCAACGTATTCGAGTACACCTCGTTCTCCTCTATCAGGCCCTGGCCCTTCTCGTGCACATAGATCCCACCGTGCTGGCCATGATGGATCTTGTTGTGGCGCACTATGGGATCGCTGTTGGTGCGTATTTGGATGCCGGCCAGGGCGTTTCCATAGATATTGTTGTGCTCGATCAGGCCACGACCCTCGCCAAAGATATACACACCGCCCTGATGGCCGTTGTATATCTCGTTCTTGCGTATGGTGGGATTGCTGTTGGAGGTTATCCAGACGCCTTTAAGAATAAGATTTCAAGTTAGAAATAGTCACTCGGTGACTGGGGATTGCTTTATCTACTTACCTGCAAAGTTATTCGAGTGAATGCGGTTCTCTATGAACTGCCCCAGACCGTTTTCGTGCACATAGATGCCCCCCGTCTGGCCGTGGTGAATCTCACACTTGACCACGGTGGGATTGGCACCAGCCTTCACCTCGAAGCCGGCAATGCGATTGTTGTGTATATCGTTCTTCTCGAAATAGCCCTGCAAAAGACACATAGAGACGTATAGAGATCCCTGACAGAGGAGAAGAAGCTGCCTCTTACCATTCCATTTTCGAAGGTGAATATGCCCACATCGCGGCCATGGTGTATGTGATTCTCGCGCATGATGGGACTGGCAAAGTTCTTCACCCAAATGCCGGCCAAGGCATTCCTACTGATCTCGTTGTGCTCGTACGTGCCCTGGGCATAGTCGGTGACATAGAGACCCACATTCTCGCAGTCGCTGATGTCACAGTTGCGGATCACGGGATTGGCGTTGACGCCGCCGACGCAGACGGCAGCGCCCACCACAGAGGTGGACCGGATGATGCAATTGTCCACTGTGGGAGAGCAGTTTTCGCCAATGTCGAGGCAATAGTGCTTGTGGTGGGACACGGTTGACGTGACCTCCGGCGAGAACTTGAGTGTGAGATATCCCACGTAGGCGTACTTGGCCCCCTCCACGAACATCACAGTGGAGCCGGCCTCCCGTTCGAGGATTACAGATTCGGCAACATTGCCGGGTGCAGCTCCCACCAGTGCCACATCGGAGTCGATGAACAAATACTCGGCCTTGTAGTGGCCAGCATGTAGGAATATCAGTGGTCCGGGATGCTCCGTCGGGGCCACTGGCTCCTCGTAAATGTTGACCAGAGCATTAACACTTGCACCAGCACCGCCACCCGCGGCACTGGTGTTGGATAGGCCGGCAGAGACGACATTACCAGCGCCAGCGCCGGCACCAGACACGAACACTCCCCCCGCGGCAGCCCGTTCCTCGGGATAGTCCAGGGCCGCCTGGATGGTGTTGAAGAAAACTATGCTGCGGCCAGAAGAGCGCTTCTCCTGGTAGCCGGGGCGCACATGCACACCTCGGTACAGCTGGTGAAAGCTCTCCTTCCACGGATTCGCAAACTCCGACTCCTCGGGCTTTTCGAACACGAACTTGCACAGCTCCGGATTGAACAGGGGCAAGTCGTACTCGAAGACAGACTGGTAGAGTCGCTTCCACAGCTCGCTATCGTTGGCGATTGTGTTGAAACGCTTGCAGACCAACGCCAAGCGGCAGAGGTCCTGCTCCATCAGATAGGAGAAGATGGCCAGAAGCACTTCATCGGCCAACTCGTACTGCAGATACTGGGCAGCCGTGGGGGAGCCGCTGCCGCCTGCTGTGGCTGTGCCACCACCAGTTACCTCTGTAGCGGGCGCTGGACCCGCATCGCCGCTTTGGGTGTACAGGCGTCGCGAACGTTTTCTGGCCGGAAGCATGTAGTTGTTGTCCTCTATGGCGGCGCCGACTGGCAGGGCGCCGCAGTGCTGCTGCGGCACGGAACTGTGCACATTGGGTGGCTGGGCGAGAGTGGCTCCGGTGGTGGGGGCATTGTTCACCGGGAATGTGGCGCTCGTAGAGGGCGCCTGCACGATGGCGGAGGATGAGGACGACGAAGAAGTGGATGATGACGAAGACGACGAAGTGGAAGATGACGACGACGAGCTGGATGGTGAGGAGCTGGGATTCACCAGGGGCGGTGAACTACTGGATGGCCCGACGAGTATAGCGGAAGAGGAGGGTCCCGTGGAGCACCATTGCTCGTGGCTGCTGGCAGAGATCTTGCGCCGCAAATCATACGGCGACTGATGACTGGAGGCGGCGGCAGCAGCCGCAGCGGCGGTGGAGGACGACGTGGCGGCTGAACTGGACCCCGACGTAGATGTGGCGCAGGTGGACTTCGATGAGGATCCCCCAGGCGCTGCTGATCCTGCTGCTGCCGTCGGTGTTGAGCTAGAGGATGTCGAAGCGGTACCAGCGCCAACGCCACTGGAACCGGCGCCCGAACTCTCCGTGGTGTCCATCATCTGTAGTGCATTGTAAAAGTTGCCAGAGAACCCAGAACCACTGGCTCCGCCCCCTCCACCCGAACCACTTGTGCCTTGTCCGCTGTCAAAGTACTCGGACGAGCCCGAAGTAGAAGCTGCAGCAGCAGCTGCCCCTCCGCCTGCCCCTGCACCAGCACTGGTGCTGTTGGAGGAGCTGGCGGCGGCCGATGATGACGATGATCCACTGGCAACGTTCTGCTGCAGCATGGGATCCATGATGTTGCCCGTGGGACGGTTGGGCATGGCGATGCGGTTGGCTCCTTTCCGTCGCGAGCGGCGCACGTAGGTGCGTGATGAGGTAAACGAGGCGCTCGGCATTTTCTTTACCTGCTCCTGCTCCTGCTGCTGCTGCTAGAAAAGATCTCGATGAGTGGTCTGGACCAAGTCTTTTGCGTTTATCACTTCCGTATTCGTCGAGTTTTCACAGTTTTCCAACCCCATATGCATACGCACTCACACTTGCATACACACCGAAAGACACACAGAGGCACTCATTTATAATTCAGCGAAGAATTTTTCCATTCACTCTTTTACGGCGGACGGCGGATACCTATCGACACTGGATCACATATAATTTATTTATGGATTGATTTAATTCCGGCCAAGGGATTCCATTCTTGTTGTAATTTATCTGTCGCTCTGCTTCATCATCATCTGCTTCTTCTTATTGTAAATGCGAGTGTGTGTGTGTCTGCTTGTGGAGTTTTTCGGGGTTTCTATCCTTTGTTTCTCCTTTGTTTTGTTTTATTTGGTTAGAAGAGCTACACTAGCGAACGCACTTGCCTACTGCTATCTCGCTCGCGCATTGTTACTTTTGTTTCCTCTTTGCTTCGTGTTCGTATTGCTTCACGTTCAGCTTTCTTTGTACGATTTTCTTGTGTATCACTTTCATTAATTGGACCACCACTGAGCTAACTTTGTTGAGCACTACTGCACTACTCGACACAATTTTAATTACTTTATTTTATTTCTTTATGGCAAAAAATTAAAATTAATTCGAGAGCCGTAAGCAGTGTGACCGCGGACTTATCGTTAAAATATACCGTCCGACCCTCAGAAATATACCAAAATATACCGTCTCATTTTAAAAATATACCGTACATATACTGACAAATTCAAGTTCCATATTGGACGATTTTGATATTCCGTGGAATATTACTAGCTATCTATATCTCTCAGCTCTGCCCATATAATTTTATCCAAATAATGAATATATTTTACACTTGAATGGCTTATTTTAAAGACTTGACGTTTACTGTTTTTGCCTCCATTTTGATTCTTCAACAACATATAGCGTCTCGCATGATGAAAAACCGAAGTTAGCCCACTTAAGCCCCTCTATTGAAATAGTTCACCCCCTTGAGGTAAATGGCGGAAAATACTAACGATTTTAAATTCTTCTTGTAGATTCATGCCATCTTTCATCTATACTTAAAAATAACCACGATAAATTTCACTTGAACTGCGTTAAAATTATTAAATTATTATTATTTTCGGTATAAAATTGAAATTCCCCCTTGGCTTATAATAGGTTAATCGTTCTACGTCAAGGATTGGTAACCATATTGCTCAATTTTGATATTCCATCGAATATTATTAGCTAGATAGAACTTTCAGCCATGCCCACATATATTTATCCGATTAGTGAATCTATTTTCTGATTGACTGGCTTATTTTAAACACTTGCTTTTATTGGATCTTGTCTAAAAAAAGCGAAATAGGTAAAAACAAAAAACGAAAGGATAGTCATTCATATTACTTAATTTAGAGGTTCCGTTGAATAATGCTGGCTAACTAAACCCCTTAGTTCTGCCCACATAATGGTACGCCGTTGATGAATACATTTTCTACAAGATTGGCTAGTTTTTAGTCCTGGCTTTTATTGTATTTTGACCAAAACAAGGCTTAAACAAAATATTTCAACAAACAAAACAGCCCAATGTTGCTGGTATTTGAAGACATGATGCGTGTATAGGCCTTCGTATACCCTATTTCGTTAATTTAATATGAAGACATTGTTCAAACTTTTTTTAAATCGTAATTAATAAATACATGTTCTCAGATTGATATGCTTTAGACATATTCATGCATTTGATTCGTTTTCTGTACATACATACATAAATCCTGATCCTGATATCAATTCTTGGTCTCTGAAGTACCTTTTAAACAGATACTGACAAGTTTGATATTCAGTTTCTAGCTAGCTGAGACACTCAGCTCTGAACACATAATTTCATTCGATTATTTCATCAATTTCCTAAAGGACTGAATTTTAATTTAATTTTTAAATTTAAATTTAAGTTTTCCTCTTTATCTTATTGCCCATAAAATAAGGCTTAGGCCAAAACAATTTCCACTTAATACATTTATTTTCTTTTTTATTTTCCACAGGGATCTAAAATCAAGCGAAAAATGTATATTTTTTTCTAAAAAATTGTTTGTTAACGAAATTTTGTTGTCTTCATTTAATTACGGGATACAGTGTCTTCGGGGAGCTCATATTACTTAATTTAGAGGTTCCGTTGAATAATGCTGGCTAACTAAACCCCTTAGTTCTGCCCACATAATGGTACGCCGTTGATGAATACATTTTCTACAAGATTGGCTAGTTTTTAGTCCTTGCTTTTATTGTATTTTGACCAAAACAAGGCTTAAACAAAATATTTCAACAAACAAAACAGCCCAATGTTGCTGGTATTTGAAGACATGATGCGTGTATAGGCCTTCGTATACCCTATTTCGTTAATTTAATATGAAGACATTGTTCAAACTTTTTTTAAATCGTAATTAATAAATACATGTTCTCAGATTGATATGCTTTAGACATATTCATGCATTTGATTCGTTTTCTGTACATACATAAATCCTGATATCAATTCTTGGTCTCTGAAGTACCTTTTAAACAGATACTGACAAGTTTGATATTCAGTTTCTAGCTAGCTGAGACACTCAGCTCTGAACACATAATTTCATTCGATTATTTCATCAATTTCCTAAAGGACTGAATTTTAATTTAATTTTTAAATTTAAATTTAAGTTTTCCTCTTTATCTTATTGCCCATAAAATAAGGCTTAGGCCAAAACAATTTCCACTTAACACATTTCTTTTCGTTTTTATTTTCCACAGGGAGCTAAAATCAAGCGAAAATTTTATATTTTTTTCTAAAAAATTGTTTGTTAACGAAATTTTGTTGTCTTCATTTAATTACGGGATACAGTGTCTTCGTGTCGAAAGATTCACAGCCTCAGGGAGCTCTTGCTGTTCTTTCCAGAGCGAATAAAGTGCATTCCTGTAAGATGATCTCAAATTGCAATGCGGCTGTGGTGAAAGCCGGCCTGAAGGCATACCGTTATTTCCAGCCACCGACCCCTTAGCCACCGGTCGTCATCGTCTCGCCTTCCCACTGCGCCCACTGGGTGGGGGTCCTGGCTGGGCCCATCATACTCGCGCTTCTTTTCAAGCGTACCTACGACATCTTAAAAATACGACGCGAAATAAATGTTGGACTGGATCCGGCAGAAAAACGGAAGCCTGCCGAAGGGGAAGGACTGCTGCCCACAGAGCAGGCCATAGAGCGACCTGCTGCTGAAGGGCCAGCCCGTCAGGAAGGTATTGGGATGCCGACGTATGGTATTGGGATCGATTCGAGGACTTAATCTAAATTGATTTTGTTGCTATTTTTGATATTGCTGCGCGAGGAATCGGAAACGGCGGCACTGCTTGTGCTGAGCCAGCTCAGCTCATCCCAACTGAAGCCCGAGTCCTCGGATGCCTCGCTTGTGTAAAGTCTGACGCTCGGCCCAAGGATTGATCCACAAAAAGCAGAAGAGCTAGTCGTCGCTGGTCCGCCAAAAATGACTAGCTGTCACTATCAGCAGAACAGAAAGTTACAGCACCTATTAAAATGGGAGGGAATAAGCCAAATAAGACAAACAAAATTTTATAAATTAACATTTAGTTAACCTTTTCAGATTCGTCGAACATGGGCTATCGCTCAGCAGGATGTTCCACAGCGCGGTTCACAGCAGGGACTGCAAAAGGGGCCGCAAGGGCCACAGGACCTACAAAACGTTTTTTTTTTACAAATTTTTTTACTTTTTAACTGGAATCCAAAAACACAAAACTAAAAATTAAACAATAAATTTTAATGTTCACTCTACTGCTCCTGGTTTCAGACTGACGAGATTCGTAAAACAAACATGTATTCCATTTTTTCCAAGAGTTTGAACTGACTCAAGGCTAATGTGATGATATTAATTTAAACAGTTCAACGACTTGAGTCCTGAACTGAGCTTAAATTATTCAATGGTCATTATTTTCGGTGGCATATTTAAATACCCCCTCGGTCTACAATAGTATAATAGTTAAAAAAAGTTTTTAGCGAAATAGGTCCAACAAAAAGAGAACATAATTTAAAAGTATGGAATAGGACTCATTGTCGCGGTTATTACCGATTCAAATAAATATCAAAATATACTGTCTCAATTTAAAAATATACCGCAAATATACTGACGCAAATATACCGCAAAGTACTATTATACATATTTCTCGTTTTTGATATTCCGTGGAATATTACTAGCTGACTAAGACCCTAAGTCCTAAACAAATCATTTTATCCGATTTTATAATCAATTTCCTACAGGACTGGTTAAATGAAAGCTCTAATTTCTACCGCACTGCCTATAAAATAGGGTTTGAGCAATTCCACTAAATTAATTTTCTTGCATGGTAATTGCGTCGCTGCCAGATCGGCATGTTTTATCTAAGCAACTCTATCTAAGGGTGACAGTTCAAAAAACTAGTTCACCGTAACGGACGCTTTTGGTCCATTTGAAATGTCAAAATATTCGGTGTTGTTTTGGAATTTCTGAGAAAATAAAATTATTTTGGAATGTGTCCACACGCTGTCCGGGAATGGCTGGTGCTTCTTACCATGGAGATGTATATGGATAGGTTTATGAAAAATGGCTACGACACCATTGCCCAATGTAAGCTAATTGTTCCGCGGGATCTTAAAATATTGGGCATTTACCATCCAGGCCATCGTAAGTTGCTGGTAGATGGTGTTCAACTAATGAATAACGCGCCAGAGCGCTTTATATGTGTCGCGCCTTGTCAGGAATACCATCACAGCACCACATTCGAGAAGCAAGAAAGGTTTCACTGTGAGCCCAAGAGTTCCGAAGGCTCTACTGATAGTGACGATGAAGTGGATAACAATATATCTGTACGCACTGTTGATGACCGTATATCACGATGCGTGCCAGTACCTACACCATCTCAAAGCGTCACTCCCAATACATCGAAAAACGCCTACGAGGTCTCAGAAACGACTCTGATGCCAGCTATCAGTTTTAGTGTCTCCTACACTTGCGTTGCTTGTCCAGACTTGGCTTTCAGGAGTACTTCAGAATTTCCGGAGCACATAGTCCAGGCCGAGGATGGGAACTCTCATAAAATTGCACCACCTTCGAGAGAGGCGGCTATATAGCTGCACGATAGCGGCAAGATGGAAGATTCCATGTAGTAAATCGATTTCAATAAAACTAGTAATACACTTGTGATCATTGGTTAAGAGAATCGCCGTACCCAGCTCTGGGGACTTACATTCTCCGGAGTGTATCCGGGAGTGTATCCGCAAGTGATGGAGTGTGCCGTGAAAAACACAGTTCGTATCGGTTATACTTATCGGAGCAATTCTGCAATGCTGCCAGGCCACGGCAAGCCATTGAGGTGGAAGGGAGATCCATTATTCCAAATATCGTGAACATTTCGCCATTATCACCAGGAGCACGGGAATCAAGAGGTACAAGGCTGTGCGACAGTTCAGACAGAACTCAATGCCGTTGCCAATCACAAAGGTCGAGAAGGTGTGCTTACGCAGCTCCAATTATATCCTTGCGCCTTCCAGTTGCTGTTCAAGTTTGACCCCGAAATTATTTTGCGAAACGTTTGCATCTGAGTGTCCTTTAGTTGGCTGCCAAGCAACAATTTAAGGTCGTAGCTTTCGACTTCCCTCTGCAACCAGAGTGGGTGGGGTAGTGAGGACTCTGCATGGTGTTTTGTCATTGTCATTGTACGAAATGTTTAAACGGCTTTATTCAATTGTCAGCATTGAACTTTGAACACGCGATCTTTAACGCTACCAATACCAGCTGACCGTCAAACTGAAACTCAAACTCAATGCAAAACTATCCGAAATTCTGACGTTTCTGTGAACTTCCAAAACTACTACACTTAGATGAAAGTTCATGTCTCAACTTTAAATCATGTTACGCCAATTCTTTGACGAGTACTATTCCCCTACTGTCTATTTGGGTTCCAGTGGCAGCTGTGCAAATATTCACCCACTGACCCAGACCCACATGACTAAAGGCCCGCATCTATCTATCATATTTTTCATGCTAATAATGGGGAAAGTGTACTCCAAAAGGTCTCCTCTCCCAACTAAAATTATGAACCGTACTGCAGCGGACAAGTATCCATCTCCAATGGCATTTGCCCTGATATCTTTTTGAAGCCATTACCCATATCAGACCCTTGGTAAGGACATTTTGTATTCGGCGTGTTTGGCATTACGTTGTTTTATTTTTCTTCCTTTTGAGCTTGCTTTTCTGTGTATTGTTTTGGTGTGTTGTGCTTTGTGCTCTCCGTTTAGTGCCTGGGCTTCATTTTTCTCGCTCTGTCGGCAGTGATAATGGTATACGCATCCCTTTGACACGCCACCCCTAGAACTAGGAGAAAGAGACAGAAGAGGAGCAGCAGCAAGGACTAGCCCTAGCTCTGGCCATATGTTCTCTACGGGCCCCCGGATACCGGGTGCCCGCCTTGCCAGTGACCTCAATAATAATTTCGTCTAATTGCTTCGTAATTATGCCGCGCACATGGTTTTCTTGATTCGCCCGCTGTCGGTAATTCACTTCGCCCCTCGCCACCACACCACCACACCACTAGCTCTCTTCCTCTCCGCGCTCTCTTTACCTATCTCCGGTTGTGCGTGCCCTCCCTGGATGGCTGAGCAGGATGTGCTTGGCGGTGGGGCGGTGCAAGTGAGGTGGCGCTTGCTGCCCAGAGTCCGTACCGACCCGAGGCGGCCATTTTGGTATGCTATTATTTGTCTCTTTTGTTTTGCGCAATTTTTCGTCATTTGCTTCATTTTCTGTCATTAGAAGCATTTAACTTTTTGCTGTTTTGCCTCTTTCCGATTTGCCTTCATTATTCATGCGGCACTGGCTACGGCTATGGCCACGATTTCAGGCAGGCAGTCAGGTCTATTACGTACCAGCAGGGTCTCTGAGAATGGACTCTCGTTTATGGGTTTTGCAGTCATGTCTGGTCGGGTTCACCGTAAAAGTTGACAAAGTTTAAGCATATATTAAGGAAAAACCACAACACACCCATATTTAAATTAATATTTGATTATTAGATTATATAGAATTCACTTAGTGGGAAATATAATTAACATAATTATAAAATATATTTATTTTAAATATGAAATATCAATCAAATTAAAGACCACTTTCAAGGCAAGTCTAATGGCATACATATTTAAATCTGAGTGGGGGCCTTTCTCTCGGTGTAGGGTAAATAGTAGGCACCTCAGTTTATGACTCTGACTGGAATCTTTCGTTCGATGGTAAACCAATTATTTCCAAGTCTCTATTTTCTTAGATCCCCCAAACTACTCCATTGAGATGTCACATTCATTAAAGGTCTTCCCTCCATCTCGGGTTGCGCCGTAGCCTGCGTATATCCGGAGCTAAGAGGCGTATCAATGTGTGTCAATGGGTTGTTGGCTTCAATTGAATTCACATGCCTGCTGGGATCTGGCCAAGGACCGCGGCCCGAGCGAACTTTCATCCCATTCAGGTGTGCACCACATGTCAAGTCATTTAGATCGTATCACTCACATTTTTAATGACAACTAAATGCGAATGTCATTTCGAGAGGAACGGACCTCCTTTCCTTCCCAGCACAGCATATACATATGCATATATGTACGGATATATATGCATAATGATGGAGTGGGGTGAGTGGGGTGAGTGGGGTCTTGTGTCAAATGTGTGTCTCGCTCTTTGGGCACAAGTACGTCTAATGCGAAAAACTTTTAATTGAGTTTAAAATTGTATGAAGAAAGCGAAAAGGACGACCGAACTGAACAGAACAGAGCAGTACAGAAGGACCTTTGGAAATCGGCAACCGTAATTATGCTCCAGTGTGTGCGTATACGTACGCAGTTTTTGAAGTGTGTCGGTTTCAATCTCGGTAAATTGCCCATGAAATATTAACTTTACCATAATGAGACGCCATTTTTATGCCTCCCAATTTGGCTACCCAAAAATGTGGCAGGCAGGGATGCGAGTGTGTGCCGTGCCCCTCCCTCCAACCCCTTTTTCCGGGGCCATATAAATTGTCGGTTTTATGTCCTTAGCCTTTAGCTGGATAACATTAATGCACCTGTCCCTACATAATCCAATAAAAAACAAAAAGGAGAGAGAGAGAGAAAGAGAAAGAGAAAAACTGGCATAATCCTTCTTATTCAGCGGTCAAGCACCGTACATAAAGGACCAATTCTTTGACCCAATTATGGCCACGGAATTGTGACACATTGAGGCCTTCTGCCGGCCGCCCCGTTTCCCCTTTCCTCCCGATCTTATCCGGCTTCGAATGAAAAATGACTCAATTTGCAATGGCTGACGCCCCCTGGCCACTCCTCCCCAAACACTTGCTCGTTGGCGTCGCCATTACTTTTACCGTTGCTCCAATGTCCAACCTTTAATAAGAAGTAATTCCTTTGCCCTGCGATAGTCAGTGGCGAATGACTTGGCTTAAAGGTGCAATTCCTTGCAGTTCCCCATCGACAAATGGCTTTTGGCCAACAATGGGGCCACCACAGTCCAACCACAAAATAATAACCTGACAGAAGACTGCTGTGTAACTATAAGATATATTCTTTAGCAAAAATAGCCTTCAGTAAAGGAAAAATGTGTACCAATACCGATCAGAATGAAAGGTGTGCGAGTATGTGTAGGGGAGTCTCCTACAGCACCTACCATGGACTATCTATCCATCTATCTGATTCGCAGATCCTGTAGGGGCAGATGCTTGACCAGCTCTTTCTGCATCTTCAACAAATTTGCCGATCTGCTAGTACAGATTGTGTACCCCTACGACTATATGTTTTTGCTGGGCAATGTCGAGGAAATCTAAATAAATATTGTTAACAATTTTGAGATTTATTTAACGGTTGCGGCCGCCCTTTCTCCACATGCAAAGGGTGTGCATAAAAATAGCGAAATGGAAAAAGTGGCAGCCAAGGAAGAAATAAACTGCCTTGGGTTCTTAGGTCCTAAAAGAACCACACAATGCACGTTTAATGTCATTTAAAACGGCAATTACTCAGCACGCTCTCCGCTCCGGCTCTGTCTGCGGCACCGAGCGCCAATGCCCAGCACACAGAAGCCCCCAGAGTGAGGCGAGGCGAGGCAAGGCGAGGCGCTTGCCGTTGCACTTGACTGTGCCTTCGGTTTCGCTTTAATGTCACTGCATGGCCGCCGCAATTATTCAGCAAGCACTTCGACTCTGATTCGCCGCATGCGATTCTTATGCAAATGGAGGCAGGCAGACCCATGCCAGGCAGGCGACCCTTCCGGTGCCATAAATCGACGGGTCTGCTGGCCCAGTCTTATATTCTAATTAAAAGCCACATGGAAATGCACAGAGAAAGAATCGAAATCCAAACACGTACTGGGGGGACCCATGCAGGTCACGTGCGGCCCACAACTAGGCCATTCTCCGGCCGGACTGCACAAAAGGCATTATGAGTGGCTGGGATACCACCCCGGGGATGTGCATCCAAGTGACGTTTCAGAAAGATGCCGTCTCGGTGTACATTTAATTACATATTTAATTCGTTTAGGGAAAATTCAAATTTCGAATTCAAATTTTGGCTGGGATCACTGGGAATGGGAATCATTGAGCTTTGCCCTTGGACCTGCCCTTCTTCGGTCGAATGTAGGTGCTTATGTAGAAATTGGTGAACATCACGAACATGAACGCAGACATGGTGCAGATCAAGTAGATGACGCCCCGAGAAGCATTGCAGTTGGGCTGCAGGCCGGTGTAGGCGCAGTGCAGGAACATCAGCAGGAACTGGACCAGCTGGGTGAGGGTCAGGTACTTCTTCCACCAGAGGCTCTCCTGGAGATTGCGGCTCTGGGAGGAGGCATAGTAGTAGCCGTACATCACGATGTGAACCAGCACATTGAACATGCAGATGAAGTAGACATGGCCGCCATGGCCATAGAATCGGATCAGCAGGTGGGTGGTCACCGCCATGAATACGTGATGGAAGACGTGCAGGAAGGTGATCTGGCGCTGCTTCTTGCGCAGCACGAAAAACACTGTGTCCATTAGATCGAGCACCTTGTTGAGGTGGTACACATAGGACAGGGTGCGCTCCGTGGACTTCATTGGGTGATCCTGCGGCAGGACGGTCATACAGCTCAAATTGTACGGCCTGACCACGAATATCAGATGGATGCCCTGGTCGGTGGCAAAACAGACTCGAGTTAATGCATAGCAAATACCTTGTTGAGCCGGCTTACCCATATTAGCATGACCGTGTTGTACAGGACCTGGACGATGTTGTACACCTTGAGGACTCCACGCAGCTGAAGAGCCTCATGCCTTGCCATAAACTGCCCCCCCAGCTTCAGGACAAACAGGAGATAGAGTGCGATTATGGTCGCCAGGGGCCAGGCACTGTTGACCAGCGGCAGTGGGACAGGATCCGCATAGGGTTTGTCGAACACCTCGAGCATTTCCGTGCCGTACTTAAGGGGGTCCGTCCAGAGACTAGTCCCAGAAATGTACCTTTGCTTTATAGTGTCTGCCATTGGTTGCGTTCCTCATTGATAAGTGCATGCAAATCGTGTGCTAATGGGCCGTATGGAAATCCAATTGCTTTCCAGTGGACTATAAAACCTCGGAAACTATCGTCAAATCAACATATTACCCTGGGCCTACATAGATGTGTACATATGTATGTACTACATTGTCGGAAGCAAAGTTATATTCATAAGCCAGATAAAATATTGTGTGCCCTGCATTTGAAAACTAAGAAAAAGCATACATTTCAGACACCTACAAAGCGTCGGACCTCCACAGATGCATATATTTGAGATTGTTCTGCACTTTTACCAATACCTATAATAACTTATTTATTTTTTAGCTTGAAGTTATTTATTTGGTTGCTATTCTGCAATTTTTAGCAAAGGGTTAAGTATCTTATTCCATCTTATGTGGAATAGTGAAAGAGTAGAGTGAAAGCAGAGTCCATTTAGTAAAGGTAGAGTAAAGGTGTGTATACCTTTTTGTACTATTATGATCCGAAGAACAAGACTATTAAGTCTTGAGTATAGAGAGGCTCTTATTGAATTGTGTGGTTTATTGGAATTTTTAGATCGCTTAACGAATATTTAAATAATACATCTGAGGGCTTAGATCCAGCATTCATTGCACCTTTCGCTTCGACGTCTTCTTCTTGGGCATTATGTAGGCCTTTATGTAGAAATTAGTGAACAGAGCGATGAATGTGATGGCGACGAGGCCGCCATAGACTGGCACCGCGCGGGATGCATTGCAGTCGGGCTGCCGTAGGGTGTAGATGCAGTGAACGAGGATAATGACGAACTGGGCGAGCTGAACGATGGTGATGTACTGCTTGAACCAGACCTTTGCCTGGCCATCCCTGCGTACGGAGGAAACGTAGTAGTAGGTGTACATGAGCACGTGCACGAGGACATTGAAGAAGCAGAGGAAGAAGCCATGGCCGCCGTGTCCGTGGAAACGTATGTACAGGAAACAGAAGTAGGGCATGAAGGCGTGATGGAAGATGTGCAGGAATGACAAGTGCCTGTGCTTCTTGCGCAGCACGAAGAAGACGGTGTCCAGCAGGTCCAGGAACTTGTTGATGAAATACGAGTAGGTTAGCCAGCGCTCTGTGTTCTTCCACTCGTGGTCCAGCGGCAGGTTGACGATGCATCTGAGGTCGTAGGTTTTCAGCATAAAGTAAAAGCTCTGCGAGAGACACAAACATTACTCGGGGTCCCATCTGTGCGTCAAACCTGATCACCCACGCCCACAAGCATTACGCCGTTGTACAGGACCTGCACGATGTTGTAGACCTTGATCACGCCGCGCAGATCGAAGGGCATCCGGTGCTCCATCAGCTGCCTGCCCACCTTCAGCACGAACAGCAGGTAGGCTGCCAGTATGACCAGGGTGGGCCAGTGGCTGTCCAAAAGGGGCGCCCGAAAGGGATCTACGGGTGGAGCGTTCAGTATCTCAAACATTGCGGATCTCGGTGCGCCCTGGGTGTCGGCGATCGGGCGACTAGTCGATACTCGGCTCGGATACCACAATGCTCGACAATGCGCCTCTCATTTACAATTTTAATGCCAGAATTTTCGCATTTAGGTTCCACTCGGTGCACTAGGCTAATCTATTGCGTCCCAAATGTACTTATGCAGGGGCTTATACTTGGGCCTCCACGTGGGGTAGGCATGTGGAGCCATGATGCATTATCTAGTACTAAATTACTATCTCTCTGTGTATTGGCATTCACAGCGATCGACATTGTTGTGGCACTGCTCTCCTCTTAATCAATACCAATACAGCGCGACTTTCCGGGTCCTTCGTAACTTTAAACATGATTATGGGAATTCCATTAAAAGTTTTATACGGGCTTGGGCTGTGGAAATGTTGGAAAATCACGCATACGCAAAAATAGAGAGAGACCTGTGAAAGGGGAGGGGGATGTGTGGGGAGCTGCAGCGGTTCTAGTCAAAACGGATGCGGAAACGGGATGTAAATAAGCGCCGCCATTGCACGCACATCCTGCAGAAGCCAGCAAATTCAGGACCCAACAAATTCGATGCATACGGAATTATGTACAGCCCCCCCACACTGTGCCAGCTAGCCAACACAGATTATAATTGAACCAATGCAATATGTGTATATAACCGTGTTTATGTTTGAATCAGCTTAAAGCGATCATAGAGACAATGTCCACCCGTATCGATGGTCGTTGAATATTAGGGAACAAACTCTGCATCTGGGTGACTCTTCCTATCTGGCAGCTCCAGACTTTAGTGTACAGTAGATGAAATGCAATATAAACATGAAAATGTATTGCGGTTCCTTCGTATGCTTTCAATGAATATTTGTTCGTTTCCAATGCCGTTCATGGGGCCTTCCATTAGCAGTCGTTGCCAAATTGCTCAACTTTTTAAGTGCTTTGATTTGCATTGAGAGTTCTTTTCTGGGGCAAGTGAGGTAGGGACCGGGTCTGGCCATTAAACAGGGCTTGGCTTGGCAAGTGCATCTCTGGCCCTATCTTCATCTGCAGCTGCAGCCCTCTGTAAACGACCTTTGGTGTTGGGGCTGGGATGGTTTGTCGCTGGTTTAGTCCCGACTCGTCTTCGCATTAACGCCATTAGGCCAATTTGGCACTGTGCCCTGACCCCGGAATGCGCACGGAGAACTTTCCCCAAACAAAGGTAGCAAACTATGGCCACGATGCCGATGCTGGCATAGTTTTTTGCCTCCCAGAAGCAGCAGCAGAAGTTCCGTTCCGTTCCGTTCCGTTCCACACCACGCCACTCGCATGCCAATGCACGTGTAAATAAAAGTCAAGTGAGAAAAACAAATAAATTAGAGGCGCATCCTCTTCTTGTTGGTCCTCGCTGGCTGGCAACAAACATTCCTCTTCGTTATTGCGCGACTGGCTTTAATTACGACACCAGGCGGGAGGGGCCAGGGGGCACGAGAAGCAGGAGGAGCAGGAGGAGCAGCTGCGTCCCAACCAGGGATTCGACTCTTGCCACCGCTGGCTCAGCATGTTCAATTTATGTTTATTTGAAAGCTGTTGCACTTGACTAATGTTCCATGCCGGGACATCCTCTTCGAGTCCTGGTGCTGACCAGCGTCGTGGCGTGTGGTTGGAGTGGGCTCTCGCCTGTTGCTGGATTCCACACGGAGGCTTACCCCTTGAACAGTAGTTTTTGTGGAATCTTAGGGCAAAGTACACACATTACTTACCCAAGGAGTATGTTCTGCCCTCTGGGATGAGTCAATCGATACGTCGTGGATGTGGAGCACCATCCAAACTAAATTTGATTGTAATCGACGGCGCATTTGATTTATTAGTTTTCCCATTAAACAAATTGCCGAACAATGCAGGCCAAGAACAGTACATCGACTATACTTACGCTTATTCATGTAGATTGATGGTCATTTCATTCGTGTAAACACATCCATTGACGCAAATTTGAATAAACATTTTCATTAGCAAAATGTCCATGAACCCCCGGAGACAGCCAGTGCCTGATGGCCGATGTCCAGATATCCATCCTGGCCAGACAATCACTTGGCTTCAATTGGTTTTTGACTTGTCATTTGAATTTTGGCCTTCAGTATTCAGTATTTCCATACGATACCGCCCACAGTGACACTTCCTAGCCAGGCCCAAATTGTAATTGGCCATAATTATTCGGTAATGATCTGGTGGCGGTCCTAATTGCGGTGTTCCATTAGGAGTGGCTAAAGGGCAGCGGCCATTGAACTTTGGCGGCGCTCGTTTAATGAACCCTTCTCCAAAAATATTGGGAAACGAAATTTGCAAGTGATATCGCTGAAATCGATAGTTATTTACACTATTACACTACACTAATTTGTGACGTAATGTCTGAGTTGATTTTGGTGTTTTACAATACTGTGGACTCTAGCCTCAAAAAGAAAATGCAAAATTGTAATAAACAAATAATTATAGATGTAGTATCACCAGGTCTTGTGTTCACCCTGGACGTCTTTTTGCTGAAACTTTTGATATACAGGTATCGAGGTATCCAACCAGTTGCAACGTGTTTATACAGCTTTTATTCTGTTGCAGCGCCCACGCCGGACGATCCGCCACCTAATTATGATGTGAGGGACCGCTTGGTCTATAGGAAACTAGTTTGGCCCACCCAGACGTTTGAGCCGGACGATCTGCAGCCTCGGAACGATTGGTTAGCAGCTTGGGCAGTATTATGTATATGTGGGAGATATCGTGGATGTCCTCAAGCTGCCACCTGATATCATGGAAGTGGACCACGATCCCTCAACGTATGGGAGCATCGTCGACGGAGCCTGCAAGTGTACGTGTACGCTATTGAAAATACTCAGTTTAATACTCCGTTTCCAAACCTCAGCCATCAACCGAGCAGCCGATCACCTTGAGCAACCTGAGATCATGGACTTAATGGCACACGATTGGTGTTGTGCGGCTAGCAGCTTGGGCAGTATTATGTATATGTGGGAGACATCGTGGATGTCCTCAAGGTGCCACCTGATATCATGGAAGTGGACCACGATTCCTCAACGTATGGGAGCATCGTCGACGGAGCCTGCAAGTGTACGTGTACGCTATTGAAAATACTCAGTTTAATACTCCGTTTCCAAACCTCAGCCATCAACCGAGCAGCCGATCACCTTGAGCAACCTGAGATCATGGACTTAATGGCACACGATTGGTGTTGTGCGGCTAGCAGCTTGGGCAGTATTATGTATATGTGGGAGACATCGTGGATGTCCTCAAGCTGCCACCTGATATCATGGAAGTGGACTATGCCATACCCCAGCCAACAACCGAGCAGCCGATCACCTTGAGGAACCTGAGATCATGGACTTAATGGCACACGACTGGTGTAGTGCGGCTAGCAGCTTGGGCAGTATTATGTATATGTGGGAGACATCGTGGATGTCCTCAAGCTGCCACCTGATATCATGGAAGTGGACTATGCCATACCCCAGCCAACAACCGAGCAGCCGATCACCTTGTGTTACCTGAGATCATGGACTTAATGGGAATGATAAGTCAAGAAATCGGGCACCAACTTTGCTGGGACGGATGCAATCACATCTTCTCGTTGAAAAGTCTCTGGTCAATGGAGGTGTTTACGCTGCACCAAAAGGCCAAATAAATAATAACCCTTGAAACGTGTTCTGTTCTATAATGATTGTTTTAATACTGTGGTTTACATTTTCTTTGGAATATTTGGCCACCACGTGTTATTCGGGCAATCCAGAGTCTTCTTTCTCGTCAGTGGCATCTTCGTCCTTGTCTTTGGCATCTTCGTCCTTGTCTTTGGCATCTTTGTCCTTGTCTTCGGCATCTTTGTCCTTGTCTGTGGTATCTTTCTCCTTGTCTGTGGCATCTTTGTCCTTGTTCGAACGAGTTCTGTCTGGCACCATGTCAGCCAGGAGATCGACATTGCGCTGAAAAGCCACAACGTCTTCATCCATGATTTCGGGAATATCCCAATAGTTGTCCTCAGTTTTAAAGGGCACTGCCATTTTGGAGTCAGTGTCGACGAGCACGCTGTTGGTGAACTGCGCACGAATCTTGTGGAAGAGCGCGATCTTCTGGGCCTTCTTCATCCTTGCACTCAACATGGCCGTCTGGAAGGTGGGATCCATGGGGGCATCCGGCTGGCGCACACTGGCAACCATGGCAGCCATTATGCGATGGTTGGTAAGCGGCATGTACTGCGGACGCTTGGCCCAAATTTTCTCGCAACGCTGGCAGAGGCCGGCTACAAAATTGGTAGCCGGATTGATGCACATCTCGCATTTGATCACTGCAAAGAACGGATCTTTATCTGAATTCATTTCGCTTGTATTTGATGTTTCCAAAGTAAAAAACGTATTCAAGTGAAGCTAAACGTGCTGTTCTGGGGAAGCTGTGTGTCTTAGAGCGTTTACGAACACTGTTTCTCTAACTCTGCCATCTTTAAAAAGCATTGGCGTTGCCAGCACGGTTTTTTAAGTCATTTCAGATCAAGTCTAGAGGAAAAAGGTCATAAGGAACATATCGAACAGGGTCTGCCCGGTCCTTTCAGAAGCTTTGGATATTTCAGCAATCTATAAAACTTTTTTGCCAATAAGCTGAGTGCAGGGATGATTGGAAAAACATCGATGCAGATTACATCGAAACATCGATAACAGCGATGTTTCTCCGGCTTGTCTTTGACAATCAAGATTTCACTTCGCGTTAAAAATAACTACAACTTACTAGATTTAAACAGCATTTCTACTCAAGATGTCTGTGCCTGTGAATATGCCGCTCCCGATGCAGGTAAGCCTATGAGGATTACAGCTTTTCTTGATGCTGACCAGTTTTTTCCAAACGAAAAGAACGCCATTGAACCCGTGCCAGCGAATGCACCACCGACCGAGAAGATCGTGGCGGAGAGCCCCAGCATAGACCTGGAGGTGTATGCCAGTCGCTACAACGGCATGGCACGACTCCAGCGCCTGATGCATGTGGCCGAGGTTTGCCCCATCCTGCGCGAGGAGGCGCTCAAAATGGCCATCACGTACGTGCAGACCACGCACAACGTTAATCTGTACACCTTTCTGCACAAGCAATTGAGCGAATTGAACCCTACGTCGCCTGCAGAGCAGGTGCCAGCCGATTCGTTTGCGTACGATCCTGTCTGGGTGGAGACCAAGATGAAGGGGGCCGCCCTCCAGCTGGAGAAGCTTAGCGTGGAGCTGAGGTTCTACAAGTCGAGATCGTTTACGGAGAGCGCTCGGCGCAGCCTCGAGGAGATAGCCGACCTTTATCTGAGCTGCGGAGATCTGGAAAGTGTCCGGGAATGCCACTCTCGGATGTATGGCTACTGCACCGGCGTCGAGGACAAGATGGACCTGCTGTTCCGTATAATCCAGGTGATAATTTATAGGCAGGACTGGAACGAAGCCATGAAATACATAACGAAGACGAGGTCACTTGACGTGAAAATGGAGGTCCATCGGCCGAACGGCCCTTTTCACACACGCCTCGAGTGCGTCGCCGGCCTGGCCGAGCTGCAGCAAAAGAACTACAAGGTGGCCGCCGAGCATTTCCTGAACGCCAACTTTGTCTACCTCGAGCAGTTTCTCGCATCTTCGGTCTCCCCAAACGATGTGGCTGTCTGCGGCGGCCTCTGCGCTCTGGCCACCTTCGACAGGCCGGAGCTGAAGTGCCAGGTGATTGCCTCCACACCGTTCAAGCTGTTCCTCGAGCAGGAGCCGCAGTTGCGCGACATTATCCTCATGTTCCACGACAGCAAGTACGCCTCATGCCTGACGCTGCTCGACGAGATTCGCGACAACCTCCTCGTGCAAATGTACATAGCCCCGCACGTGAGCACACTCTACGCGAAAATTCGCCAGCGCGCCATGATTCAGTACTTCAGTCCCTACCAGTCGGCCGACATGCACAAAATGGCCGCGGCCTTCAACAGCTCGGTGGGCGATCTGGAGAACGAGGTGGTGCAGCTGATTCAGGATGGCCACATCCAGGCCCGCATCGACTCGCACCACAAGATCCTCTACGCCAGAGAGGCCGATCAGCGCACCAGCAGCTTCAAGCGTGCCCTGGCCTTGGAAAAGAATTTCCAGCGCATCGCGAAGATGACCATTCTGCGTGCGGCTGTGCTCCAGAGCAAAATCCTAGTGAAGAGCGATATCCGCACGGGCGGCAACAAGCAGGCTCCATGAACTCTGTGAATGTTGAGACCCATTAAATCATCTACTTAGTCATCTACTGACTCTTGCTTGAGATCTTGTCAGCGAAGAACGAAACTCGTTTAATTTCTTAAATTGAAATTATGGTAATTTCCTGCAGTCAGGCAAGCCTTCGCCTGCCTCTCGTGTCTGGCCGAGGGAAGGCCAAGAGAAGAGTCAAGTTCATAAATTTAAAGCCCAACCATAGTGGGTGGCCGCACTCACCGCTACCTCTCTCCGAGGTGGGGAAATGTTTCCCAATTCGAAGGTTAGGCCCAGGCTAATCGATACCACTCCATGGAAATGGTGAGAGTGTTGATTTACGGCATTCCAGGCGCAATTATGACCCACAAAAGTCGCACATTAATGTGTCCAATTGAAGTGCCAGCTACCACAACACCGCTAGACAGAGACGAACAGACAAAAGGCGTCAGAAGTGGGGGATCCATGGAGCACTCCCCCTCGGCACATTGGCAACTTGTTAAGCTCGTTGTGCTCCCAATTGCTCCTGCAAGGGAAGCGTTTCATCGCCATCCACCGTTCATCAATCGCATTTGAGGGGTCGTTTGCGTGGCCCGAGGGCCTGTGTCCTTGTTCCGATTTCAGCTCGCACAAAGGTGTCTCGATTCTGGGGACGAGTTTCCTGTATGAGAGGCCCGCTTCCTGCTCAACTAATCGATCCAGGATCAACTTGGCCCTATGGTTATGACACACCCCTACCCAAGCCCATTCCCATTTGACTGGCTTCCGCACTAACCGATGTCGGGCCCCACCCATCCACTCCTGGGGTATATCTGCCGACCGCAGAGTCAAGCCAGGCAAATACCTTGGATCGCAGGCCAGAGCTCCTACTCCGCACTAAAACCACGGCAATTTCTTTTGGGTATTCTCGAGTTGTTGCAGTGGCAGGGGCATGGCCAGGGTCTCCTCCTCCTCCGCACACACAACAAACGCACCAGCTGTGGGAGGGCCGGGAAGCTTTGGCTTTGTATGGAGATTGTGTTTGCCTATGTTGCAGCTCAAGTGTAAACATCATCTGGGCGAAAGGATGCCTGGCTTGTGGTTGGACACACTGTGAGAACACACTAAATCAATTAGAAAATGGGCCCAAGCCCATCAGCGACTAGTCTAGTCTAAAGCAAATCGAAATCATTCGCAGAAATGCCTAAATTATGCCGATTCAAATTCTTCTTCTTTTTCTTGGTATTTCTTTCAGTGTATGTCCCTATCTCACATGCTGGGTCGTCCCCAGTGCCTGTTCTGTGGCCCAGTGTGTGCCCATGCGTTGGCTCTGGTTTCGCGCATCAGCGCAGGATGCCTTTGATTTCATTTCACTTCATTTCATTTTTTTGTTGGTGGAAGCAAACTCGCGGCCCAACCTCTTACCTTTAGCAGCGGCCGCAACCTGCCACAAGCCGCACTTTCCCTACTCATTCCACGGAGGAGCAAACCGCAGCCATCGGCCTGGAATGACGGACGATGGTTCCACACAATTTTTGCTGTTCGGCTTCTTGATGCTGGGATTTGTGTAATTTACTTCATCGAATATTTAAGAAGGCAAATGGCGACAGAGACGTAGCCACACTTAGGGCCGGATACCCAAGTAGGATACCCACTCGATGAGGGGCCATCAGTTCCATTCCGATTCCCCCGACTCCCCAAAGAAATCGAATTTTTGCGTCTTTTTTGTTATGTTCTTTTTAATTTCCTTCAATAATATGTATGTCTCGTTTATTATTCAATATGCGTTCTAGTTCTATTATTTTCGATTATTTCTCTCGTCATTATATTCTCGTATGTATAAATAAATGTTCACTGTCCGCTCCGAATGCTGGACAATGCTCTCTCCTGCTCGATTACAAAACGAATTTCGCCTCCAAGCCAATTTGCGGTGTATCAAAAATCATTGTGCAAATTTCGAGATTCAAATTTTGCTCATAAAAATTCATAATTTAATAACAATAATAAAGGGAATTATTCGAATCTTATTGCATTATTTTATTGTAACAACAAAACCAATCAACGATCCAGTGTGTGGGGTGGCAGGGGGGGGGGGGAGGGATGTGTGTAAAAAAATGGAAACGCAATGTTTTCGCGGCTTTTCCTGTTTTGGGTTTTCCTTAGTTTATTTTTGTGTTTGTTTTTCGCCTGGTTTGCCTTGCTGGTGTCTTAAAAAATGTATTAAAATTATCTTAACTATCAAAATTATATGCACTCTGTTGTAGCTTCATTTGTTTCATTGAGTATTCGCCTCGAAAAGTTTACATTACTCGTCCAATCACTAGTCAGCTTATATACATTTACTCTTATTATTCGTGTTGTTTCGTTACTATTTCTCATTCTCCGTTTTGTTTTGCCTTAACTATGAACAGTTTGATATTACAAATATTATGCAATTATCCTTGATGCCGTCGTTAGCCAAATCTCGTCCTTGTCTTAAGTTTAGTGAGTGGCATTTACATGTATCTACATGAATATCAAAAAACTATGCAGGTTCCTCTAAATCCAACAATGTTCTGCAGCTTATACAAATAAATGTTAACATTCAATATCTCCTGCCCTCTGCCTCGTACTCCTCTTCCATACAAAGCCTCTGTATCTCAATGTGGAACAGAATAAGCGGTTTTTGTGTAGTTACAAATTGGGCGCAGCGATTTTTAGTGGTGGAGTGATTAAAGCGAAAGTGTTTGCCTTTCTCTTTCCTTTTAGAAATCAAATATTGTCAAGCACAAATTTGTGTGAGTGTGCGATCAGCCTCGAAACCAAAGATAATAATAACAACAATAGACCGTATTCGTATTCGTATTCGTATTCGTAATAAATGTGATTATCGTGATAGAACTACCTACATTACGCATAGATACTGATGTGGAAACGTGGAAATCCCTGGCGTGCTAGCTTACTGGCTGATTGATTGAATGATTGATGGATGATTGAATCAAGAGTGAGAAGTAAATTGCTTTTCATAATTTTCATAATATCATATCTCTTTATATACCATTCAAATTCAAATGATCACAGTCAAAAAACTTGCTTTACTCAATTAATCGCTAAACATTTTCCTTCGTTTCCTTTCACAAAGACGGGACTCCAAATCAATAACGAACTGAATAACGATTTGACCAAATCTCTCTCAACTTGGGGCACTTTGTGAACGGGTCGGGCGTGGGGGCGTGGGGGCGGGGGGCGGGTGGCATTCGTCTAGGACGAATGGGCGGATCCTAATATGTAACTGAGGCGTGGCATGGCATGGCGTGTCTATATCTGATCTGTGTGGAGCAATTAACCGAAGCCTAAACTGTCTGCCGCTGGCCGAATTTCCATTCCCATCCGAATTTTCATTTGCATTTTTAGTGGATCTGGTTGCTTTTGTTGTGGTATTTCTTCTGTTATTACTAATGCATTACAAACTTATTCGTTACCTATGCAAAATTGTACACTTATATTTATATTTATATTCTGGTTTTGGTTTTCGTTTTTGTTTTTGTTTTTCTCATTCAGCGGTACAAAAATTATTCATTGCATTTTTTTCTTTTGGTTTCCATAATGATTTCGGTTTTTAACTAAATTTACACATTGCCTAATTTGCATCCTTTATACGGCTACAATACAAATACTCGTGTACATAATATGCCACTCCACTCATGCCGTGGCTTATAGCTAGGTTTTCCATTCCTTTCTTTTCTTTTCTTTGCTTTTTCTGTTTTCCATTTCCATTTCCCATGTGGTTTCTCCTTCGCTTTGTTTGGTTTAAAAATCATTTACTCGTATGCTAAAAAGTAACTAAATTTAATCAATCTTAGGAATTATTCAGTTGGATCAATTATGAATTTCTGTGTGTGTCATCTGATTTCTGTTCTGCTAGTTTTCCCCTAAAAAACCTCTGATAGTGTCTGTCTGCACAGAGACTCTCCACTCCACTCCACTCTTCTCTGTTCGGATTTCGATTGGGATTGACACTGAGTTGGAAGAACAAAGAGATTATCCGTAGCTGGTTCCGCAGGGTGTCGCTATTAGGCTCTGCTAGAAGTCGCTACTCGTTGATGGATTCCCCAAATTGCTCTCCACAGTGTCGTCCTTATGTCAGAGCGGCGGCTTGTAGACTTCAATAGCAGGCGTGAGCATGTCCACTCGCGTAGATATCGAAGTGTCGCTGAAATAAATAGAGAAATATAGTTAAATATTAAGCATTCAATAAGTTGTGGGTTCCAAGGGGGACAATGAATGAAAATTTAGCCAGAGAAAGAGAAGAGAAAGAAAAGCTGCAAGTCTTATCGCAGCAACTGCAGGGCACATTCCATCAGAGGAGCTCTGCAGCACAGCAGTCAACAGCTGCCAGCAATATTGTAAATTAAGCCTGTGCCACAACAAAGCTGGGTCTGGGCTGTCAGAAGTGCTTAAGTGTGTACTCGAAGCGAAAACAAGCCAGAAATAGCACTAATCCCATTATGTCACATACTAATTGTTTATGTACGTATACGTAATCCACTATCCGCCACCACCACCAGCGTCCTTATCAACTCAACAATCTTGTATTCCATTATATTTTCTGCAATTCCAACTGCTGTCCATCCATTTAATTATACTAATACATCCCATTCAATGCTATTCCATTGTCCACCCTTTGCTTTTCGTATGCACCTGATCCACTCCCTACAGTCCTGCAGTGCGTATTCCTCGAGGAAAGGCACTTTCCTATTCCCGATTTCATTTATTCAGTTCAATTGTTACATTTATATTTTCCTTTCATTGTTCGCCCAACCCAGGACCCACAACTACTCTCTACCAGTCCCAATCCACATGCTCTTTTGATGGAACTCCCCCCGCCGCCGAATGGGGGCTGCTTTTCCTTTGTTTGCTTGTTGCGGATTCGGATTCGGATTCGGTTTCGGTTTCGTATTGTAAATGAAATGGAATTAAATGAAATGTGAAATTTATTGTATTTAGGGGATTTCCATGCCACAAGCCCTGCGGGTGGGACAGAGACAGCGACAGCGACAGCGAAACAAAGCAAAGGAATCGCATTTTCGTTTACTATTTGAAATGTAATTTATACGCGTACTTATGGGCCCCACTGTGTTCGCTGGCTGTTCTCTTTATTGGTATTCTACTTTAGTTTTATGTGTGATTACGTTTACTCTCTGCTCTCCTTCGTAGTTTTGCTGCACTTTGCCTCGAATATTGAATTAAATACAAATCTCATTTTGTTTCACGGTTGTACTTGCAGCACATAGTAGATTGCTTTTAATAAATCCCCAAGCCTTGCATATTTAACCAGAGAGAGAGGAGGATGGAAAGAAGAGTTCGAGATAGTTTGCTGGAACTTTGCCTCGGTGCAGAAACAAACAAAACACGCGAGAGCTAAAGATATTCCTGAAAACTTTTCGAGGGCTGGCAACCACTCGAAATGCGCTTAACTGAAATAATTAAAACGAGAAGCATTCGAAAAATGCAACAAACCGTTCTCCGGCTCATCGATGCCCGAGTGCTCTTTAAACAGAAAATACATAGTTGATGGCATTATCTTTAATATTCATCATCCTACATCCGTTTAACATATGAGATAAGTTGTGTTTGCAATTGGAAGAGGTGGAATTTCGGTGATTTATTGGCAAACATTCCTGGCTCGTGCCTGGATTTCAGGCATTCAATCTGTCTGCGATGCAAAGTCCTTGAGAGAGCAAATGATTCCACAGCTGGCAGCTAAAAATCCACTCTTAGCAGGGCCCCATTGTGGAAGTGCACTCTCTGGAGTACATCCCATTACTGGAGACGACCGCAGCCACCACCCAAGGCTGCACCCAAAGCAAAGTGCTCCAGCTTGAAGGTGAGGACACCATCTGGCGCTGGCCATTCATCAGCATCGGGGAGTGGAATTGCATTAGCAGGACATCAAATGGCAGGACAGCATGCCGGGACACTGAAAAGTGTGCAAATTGTTGGCACGCTGTTGAAACCATGTTTCAATTAAAAATGCAACAAATTTGAGCAAAAAAAACCGACCGGCAGCTGCCACAGCAATGGAAAATTCGAGTATTGTGTGTGCATACTCGTACAGCATTTCAATGCAATTAAAATGCCTTTTCAATAGCACTTAACATGAAATTAGTTTCAGGAGTCATAAAAACTATGAAAAGCGCGGCAAGTGCCTGCGGTTATCTGTCGGTTGCTTTGTGCCACTTTGTTGCAATGTCCTCTCTGTGTTCCATTTTCATTTTCATTACCATTTCAATTGATTATTAAAATCAATTTTTTTATGTTTCAGGAAAAAGGAAAATGCAGCTAAAGTCCTGCCACAAGTTCGTCAAAGTTTCTGACGTGGACAGAGCAGAACAGAAACTCATCTCGAACATTCCTCAAAGTTGTTCGAGCAAGTGCACGTCCCTGTAAATCTACTAAAACTGACTTTGGCAACAACTTTCTGCAATTAACTGGCCCCCGCTCTGGACCCCATCACTGGGGTGGGGGGAAGCCGGCTTATTATAAGCGACAACAAGCAATGTAAATGCCAACTGGCAGTGAGAAATGGCCAAAGGCGACAGGCGACAGGCGACAGGAGCCAGGCGCCAGGAGGAGGCGAAACCAGGTCAAACAGGTGTGTGTGTGTGTGTGTGTGTGTGTGTGTGGGGGGGGGGGGGGGGGGGTCTGGCAGGGAATGGCGGAGTGCAAAACTTGCCAATGTATTTAATTTGAAAATGCGACACCGACACTGCGGCGTTGAATGCTTCGTGTAAATTAAATTACACGCGCCACGCCTTCGAAGCCGCGCTTGGTATACGTATAGGCCGTCCAACCCGAAACAGGCAACATTAAATTTTCATTTGGCCAAAAGTCGCAACAAAACTTTGGGACTCGCAGCAAGGACAGGAGCCCCAGGCAGCAGCAGATACGAGAGGTCAGCATACTGCGGGCTAAGGGCTTAGGCCCAGCATCACCAGCACCTGGAACTGGCCCACCGCCATAGCCATCGCCATCGCCATCCAAATCCACATCCGGCAGGCGACAAGTAAACACAAACACCAACACCAAGCAACCATCGCCCAAACACCTACTGGCACGGACAAGGGTCGGCAGGAAGGCGCGGAAGAAACTCAAAATCTCATTAGTTACATTTTTAAGAGGACACAGAGGCCGGCCTTGGCTGGGGCTAAGGTTGGGCCAACAGTTTCCAGATTCACTTTACCTTTGCCTCTGCCGAGAGTCCACGGGAATGCAACAATTTAAGCCTGCCAAAACTTGTACTTCATTAATTTGAAGTGCAGCAAATGATTCACAAAACTATGAATGCACTCCTCCTGATTTGGAGAAGCTTGCTAAACAGCTTGCTTTGTCTCCAGAACTGAACTTAAAAAGTACATTGAAGAATATTTGTGCATTTATTAAGGATTTTTGAACAGTTCCCACATAAACATACACATACACATACATACTCGTATGCCTCGGCACGTTCCTCTGCTGTACAGACTAGTATCTGTGTATCTGTGTATCTGTGTGTGGATTGTTTGATAAGAGAATGGTATGGCATGGAATGTTGAATGAGATGGAAGTGTGCCACGCCCCAGGGGTTCGGAATATATCGGTGTTGTCTTTGCGGCTTCTGGTGCTGCTGCTGGTGCTGTTGTTCATGTTTTTGTTGGCCATATGGCAGCACTTTAAATGCAAATGAAAGCGCTGAGCTGGAGCGGTTGTCCTCGGCGTCTGCGTTGACGGCAATGTTGTGCGTCGAGTCGAGGTCGCCTACCATTTGAGAAGTGTCCTCCGTCCTGTCCTGCCCGAGTGGGAGCTTGTGTGTGGGTGCGTGGGTGTGTTTGTTAAAGGAATTTGCATAAAGCTCTAAACTAGCATGAATATTCGGTTAGGCTTTTTTCCTTGCGTTGCTGGTGGCGCTGATGGCAGCACACGTGACTGGCTCATGGACTGCAAAAGTTTTTGTATGTCAAGGCACTGCAACTGCAGCAGATACTACTCGTACATTGTGCACACACAGATACTTGTTGAGCCTGCCCTTGCCGTCCTCCACGCGCCCACCTTGAACACTCCTCCAATGACGGTCTCCTGTAGGTCACCGCTGGCCGACATCTCCAATCAATGCCCGCCATCGCCATCGCCATCGCCAACTCAAACAAAAAGTTGAATTTTTTAAGCATTTGTCGTCGTCGCAGTCGTCGCAGCCAAACAATTGGGGCGGGGCACGGCCAGAGTGGTTCCAGAAAGTGCTCGGAAACTTTTGTTTTGTCATTTGCGTGGGCGTTGGCCAATTCAATTGCCAACTTGCATTCGAACTGAAACACAAACTGAAACTCAAATTCCAACTCAAACAAGCGGAGCAAGGGGCGATTCGGGGCGAGGCGTGGCGCTTGTCTTGGCCAAGTCAACAAGGGCATTGATATTAAGTAGCCCTGGCCGAGAGCCTGGACGATTCATCATCTGTCCTCCCTCTGGCCGGGCGTCTGCTGGAAACTTTGGCAAATGTGCTGCAAAAGTTTGCCGGGTTTCGCTCTGGTCATTTCGAAGGAGGCGGTCCTGCAGGGCCCAAGATGTAGCCACCGCCTGGCGGCCATTAATCAAACCAGGGCAGGGCAGCCATACCGCTACGTGATGTCTAGTCCGCTGCCCATAAATAACCCCGACTGCCACGGGGATGGCACAAATCTAAAGCTGCCCCAAAAGGATTTATGTAAATAAATACTTTGGTATTTGTATGGGCTACCAATCGGCAGCTTCGAGGGCAATCGATGCGGCGGCAAATCGGAAAAACCTGTGGGCCAAAGCCAAGTGGCAAGGAAGCCCCGGGCAGAGGCCTTGCCAGCTCTCAAATTTAGTTTCCGTTGATTAATTTCCGCTCACAGCTCAATCATCACGTCGACAATTTTTCGCATATTTCTCTTCCCTTTTTGGATATCAGTTACGAGTACAGCTGACAGCTGAGAATCGAAACGGGCTGTAATGGGGTTGGGTTGGGGGCCAGAATTTAATTTCGGGCCATGTTCGTTAAAAGGTCGGTCGCATGATTTATTTGCCATTCCCGCATTGATTTCCAGTTCGATTTCGATTTCTGGTTTCCGGTTTCCCTGTGCCCGTCACTTGCTTAATGAAATCATTCCGTGACACACACACACACACGCACACCCTCTCTAAATAAAATACATGAGTGTATGTGGGCACCTACGCCAGCGATTCCGCTTAATTGTTAAATCGAATCCGCTGCGACAGCACGGCGTATGCGTAATGCGATTATTGATATGTGTTGATTGGAATCGAGTTTGCATTTAAAGTGGATTGCCATTGTCCCACACGCAGGACAATGACAGAAAGTGGATTATTAGACACCCAACTTGTGCTTCTAAAACAACATTTTGGCTCAATACGAACTGATTTTGGCTGATAATTTGCGGCATGTCGCGGCCTGCGTTGCACAACTCTACGCTTAGGATGTATCCCGGGAAAACGGTACATACATATATGCATTTGCTGCTCCACTGTATCCCAGGGATACGGTGTGTGTGCATTCTCGCATATCCTTTAAGCTGGCGGCGGCTCTTGTGGGTCTTTTGGGGGCGGCGGCGGCGGCGGTGGCGGCGGCAGCGGCGGCAGCGGCGGTGCTCCCGGACAAATATGAAATATTTCCGAAACGAATGTGCCATAACAGTTGAGTGAATAAAACATTAACAAATATTTATTTCCATAACTGCTGCCGTTTGCTGTTCGGGCCGCCCCCGGGGGTCTCCTTTTATTTTATTATATTTATTTTCTCGCTTTTATTTTGCGCTTTACTGCAATAGAGCTTGTCCTTGCTGTTGTTACGTTTCAGCTACTGCGATTACACCAAGCGGCAAATAAATAAAACAACAACAAGTGAGGCAAAAGGAAAAAAGCGAAAAGGCAAAACCACGCCACACACACTCACAATCGTTTCCACCTCTCGAGGCCCCGGGGTCAAAGAGCAAACCAAGGCGGCTTCTCGTTTTTTTCGCCTTTTTTTTTTTTTTTTGGGGCACACTCTGCACTCAAAGCGGCTAAGGTAACTGCAACCGCTGGCAACATTCCGCGGTACGGGTAGACCCACCTCGCCTAAGCAACCGTCCGACTGGTGCTAATGCAGCATTTAAGGCAAGCTCTTGCCACCATTCGTTGGCTTTTTCTCTCTTTTGACGGGTAAACCACACAACAGAAATGGCAGAAAGCCAAGGCACTGCCACTGCCACTACCACTGGCACTGGCACTCCCCTATGGTAGACTCTACTCCCATTCCGGGAGTCATTCCGGGCATTGCTGGCCACGTAAATTGCGTAAAATCCCCGCAGCTGAAGCGCGAAGCCAACGCGTACTCCTCACTAATTGCACATTTTTATCTCAATTATTGCGGCTTACTCGTACTCTTCTTCTTTTGAGTCTTCCACGTCGGCAGTCGCTCTGGGGGGCAGCTATCCAAGCCATCCATTAGGGGATTATGGCTGGACTACTCACACACATATGCACCATGTTGCATCTTCTACGCCAGTTTTGCCTTTGAAAACCAACCAACAACTTGGACCGAAGTGTACCACTTTTTTTGCATGTCACGAGAGGCAAGGCTGTATTCATATTCATACGGAAAACCAACCACAAAAGTGTGGTAAAATACTTGGAATATTTATCACTCGATAGCCGTCTTACACAACACTGCACTACCTCTGTTGTCTTTCACGCCCCGCTTGGTTAGATTAGACGACTCATATTTGCACAGTCTGGTAATCGATAGATCGAATAAGAATCCAAGCTAAAGCACACGTTTCTCCCGCTAAGCCTCTCTCTGTCCCATAGGATCCCATAGGATTTAATGTTGTATACGTTGGTGAGACCCGATATAAGCACCTTATGGGAAAAGCAGCCAGTGTGAGAGAGAGATCAGCAGGCGTCGGTATTTTGTGTTGGCCGCACTCTGTTCTAGTATTTTTCAGTGTTGTAATAATTGTTTTGCTATCGATTGTTCCTGGTAAAATGTGTCTGAATTATGTGAATATTCCAATTGTTGTGCCATAAGTCCGATTTCATTGCACATTACGAGCCATGTCAGACACTCCAAGCTCTATTTCGGTGACCCTTGTTTTTGGGGATCGCAATTTAAGTGTAAATATTTATATAGACAGTGTGAGCAGCGATGATTCGCAGTTAAGCTCTAGCTCCGGAACCAGCACACAATCTTCGCAATCTACCCCGAATGCTTCAGTCTCCAGCAACTTATCCGATGGAGCGAACTCGGGCTCAAGGGCTGCTCCCCCCATGGTGACTGCTGGAGGCAATCGTACGCCCTGTTAACCTTACATCAGCCTAATCATCACTAATTAATTGACTAATTATTCTGTTTCTTTCAGTAAATCGCATCTTTTCGGCAATGAGGTCTGCGTACCTTGAGATACTAGTCCGGATACCAAGGGTGGTGCCCCGTAAATATCGCTCCGATTCAACATCGAATCGTGCACCAGAGGCGGCGATTGGCTTGCGCACTCGCAACTCCCTCTCAACAGACAGGATTAGGGCCCCATCTACCAGTCGGCGTCGCCGCCACGCCAGCACCAATACCGCTACCACAGGTCCCACTGCATCGGATGCCGAAGTCAGCGGTCCGTCGAGACCGAAGCGCAAGCGCACCGACCCAAACGAGTCCTTGGAAGAAACCTACAGCTGCCCCATTTGTTTGGAGAGCGTATCGGGCCGAGAGCCAGTGGCCACCGAATGTGGACACATTTTCTGCCGCCAATGCATTGACACTGCCATACTCCACAATCCCAAGTGTCCCATGTGCAGGAAGAGCTCGAGCCTGGATCAGCTGATAACTATTATTATGTAGGCCTGTCCTTCAAGTCATCTCAAGAGCCTCCATGAAGTTATGATTTAGTATGTTTAATTTTCTGGTTTCTATTTCATAATAAATTAGAGGCTTTGCAATAGAGGTATTCCAATAATTCTCTGTATCGGGTACAGGCGATAACGTGCTCGGATGACGTTTCACAGATCTAAGCAACCCTGGCTGTGCATTTGTTGTTCGGGCAATGAAATGACAGTAAAGTGCTCAGTATTCGGCGAGACTTCAGACAAAAGACAACGAAAATAAAAAGTAAAATGAGCAACAATCGGCAAAATCCCGGCACCAATGGGGCTTTGCCATCCGCACAGGCTGCCCAGGACATGGTGAGGCGCGAATTGGACGAGATTGCACCTGGTCTGGCTGGATTCATTGAGGGAAATATAATTGCAGGTAATGCACATATGTACATAATCGTTGAATGTTGAATGTTGAATATAAACCGATTCCTCCCTTTTCAGCCCCACCAGAAATTAATGGGCAAAGCTGCCTTAACGATCCTTCGATTTTGGCCTATGTGGTACATGGACAGTCCGGGAACGAGCTCTCCGAAAATGTGGCGGGACCAACGGAGCCGATCGGTATCAATATCTATATTGTCAATGAAACCGAGAGCGGAACACCCGTTTTCGTGGATATTACAAGTAAGTGCTCAGTAATTGACTCGCCCTCGAGTGTAACAAAACGATTTGTATTTCAGCTGGTCATAGCGCCATCATAGATGCCGGCACCAAAAACGTGATCGTACCGCTGCACCAACCCCATAGCTCTGACTCCGTCATCGTGAATATCCATCAGACTACTCCGAGCTCCCGGGCGGCCAGTATGTCTAGCAGTTCGGAGAGCCAGTACCGCTGCCCCATATGCTTTCGTGATGCCAAGGAACTGGAGAGCCTACGTGCCACCCTTTGCGGGCACATCTGCTGCGGCTGTTGCCTCAAAACGGCCCTGGAAATCTGTCCCATTTGCCCCATTTGCAAGGCTCCAGCGAACTTTAGCGAGTCCATACTCTTGTTCTTCTAAAAAGGCAGTCGGGCACTTTGTAGCCTCATTATTTAAGCAGGTCTATAGTCGGCAGTGATCGTTTAATTTGCCTACAAAAAGATGCATCTAAATGCTAACCACTGTTTAAATATTAAATATATGTAATTATATCTGCCTTGTATCGTGATAATATTTCGCACCTTCGGACGCTTCGAGTGAAGCTCTACCAGAGTCAACAAACTCCGTCAGCAGTTTGGGCGCCAAACAGTATTCAAATCAGAGCACGCACCGCACTGCAGCGCCATCATCATCAGCATCGAGGACGTGGAGGCAACTTCCCAGCCGCATCAGCACAACTCTGTCTCTCTGGTGAATGGGCGCAAGTGAGTTACTTGTAATTACCACAAAATTCAATATATACACTCATTGCTGTGGCTCCACCCAGCACCCAGCACCCAGCACCCTGCACCCACCAGACAGCCAGACAGACAGACAGACAGCTGCCGTCATAGTCAAACATTATTTGGTGTAGTCTCGGGCCCGTCCTGGAACTCGTTTTGGCTAACGACCCAACCATCGACTTGCGTCATATCCCACCCGAGTTGTCGAAGATGCGACGACCGCACGCACAGATGCCTTCGCTTTGGAGGAACACCGACTAGGAGGAGGACCACCCCGCCTTCACTCCAAATGGCAGCTGTAAAAAATCACAGCATCAGCATAAAAGTGCTTAAAAGCAGCCGCCGTGTCCTGAGAGCGGGGCATGTTTTTGCTTTTTGCGCTTCACTTTGCACTGAAATTTCCAGATTTTACACCCATCCCCGACACCCATCACCCATCACCCATCGCCCATCAACCATCCTATGCCCCTCCTCATCGAGGAGTGTAAAAGTTTCGTACAGTTTTTCTCTTACTGATTCCTATCTACCGAATTTTCGTTTCTTGACAGCCTGAAGAGAACGATGCTCTCCCATTGTTGCCAGCAAACTCATTTCATCATCGGGCGTTCGTTTTAATGGAATGATTTGGAAAAACAAAATTATGAAGCATTTTAATTGCCACACAGATACAGATTCCGACCACTAACCGCTCCGATGGGCATCGTATCTTCAGCTTGAGCTCGTTAATGCGGCAACCTAATTCAATTTTGCATCTTAATCCAATCAGCAAATTGAAGAATAACTGCCGCCCAGACCTGACAGAGGGCCACAGATAATATTACATTTTGCATTTTAATTGGGATTTACTAATTAAAAAGTTTTCCTGGTTACACATTGCATTTGGTCGTAAGGAAAACAATGGTTGGATCTGTGTCTGTATCCAGGGCTGAAGGGAGAGCTTACATGGTTGGATTAGGCGCCAGTAGACCTTTGTCAAATGTTGGGCGGACTCTTAGCGGATTATATATCAGATAACTGACCCCCAAGCCTTTAAATATTAATTAATACGGATTTCTCAAGGGCTGATAATCCTTGAAAGTTTGTAGCTAAACTTATAGGCCAGAAGTAATTAGAAAGTTCGGTATTTAATTATAAGCTATATTCGAGTGCCTTGCCACACAGTTCCCCGATAGATATCGGATCTTCCGAATGGGCAGATTCAATTTTAAAGCCATATGAAATATCATTACTGAGTCAGAGTCTGAAATATGAACATGCAAACCATCGCCTTCCTCTTGCGGGTTCGTGTACAAACACCAAAGACCATTCCAACGATGACTGTGGGGCACACCAACAGACACATGCATATGTAGTATATTCGTTCCCCATGGTCTAGCCGGTCTGCACTCAGCTGTGAGCACTCGAAGTGCACAAGCTCAAAGCTCGGCACGCGCCATTAAATTCGTCAATGCAATTTGCGCACTGCCATTGACATAATAAAAAAAAAGAACAGAAATGAATGAGGGGCCGAAAGGGTGGCTGGAGAGACAAATAAATCGAGAATATTGCGCATAAATGTATTTAAAATTACGCATTGCTCATACGCAACGTATGGCAATATTTCCGCTCGACGGCGCCTTTTGTGTGTGCCTGTGTCCTGGCCGGGCTGGCCACTTAGTATTCCGTTCACTGGCACAGCGACTGACACGTCGTAGCCTAACGGCAAGGAGCAACATCAATATCGCATGGCAACAGTGGCAGTGCCTGGGGCAGAAGGCGATGGCGATGGCGATGGCGAAGAAGGTTCCGTAGGAGCCTACGGGCTACGCAGGCCAATTTGCAATATTATTGATTTTTCATTTTCCGTTTTCCGTTTGGGTTTTGGTTTTATATTTTCGGTTTCATTGCCAGCAAAAACTAACGCCAACAAAACACATTGAGAAGAAAAAGTTGGCTAAAACACGCTTCTGGCCTGTCCTGGCCTGTCCTGCCCTGTCCTGCCCTGCCCTGGTCATGCCCAATGCCGTGCAAATGCCAGCGATGAGCCAACAATCGCACATACACACACACCACTGTACAGTGTACAGTGTACACCCACCCATTGGCATGTCGCGTCCCGGGGCCAGTTAAATAGTCAAAGGACAGCAACGCTGGCGTCGGCGAGGGCGTCTCTGCTGCTCGGTTCGCCGTCGCGTTCGCGTTCTTCAGCGGCGGCAAAACATAAAGTTTGCAGCCCAACGAGGATACGACTATTAAGTACCTGATACTGCTAGGCCAATAAAATAAAATTACATTTGCCAGAGAGAGAGAGAGAGATCCATTAGAATGGTATTGTTTCGTATCACAGCTTCAAAATAGGAGTCCCTGAATTGCAACAGATGTATATAGACCCTCAGACCCTCTCTCTGAAGACCCACATAGGGTATTGGGTATATGGCTATCGCTGTTTTGCCGAGTGGGTTGCCAAAAACAAAAGCAATAGCAAAAAAAAAGAACACACGCGAAAAGTAAAAGCAAAAAGCAAAAGCAAGCAAAACAAAATTAGTTTCATAAGTTTTTTATGAGTTCATCGCTTTTTTGTGTATGGCCAGCAAACACAAACACACAAACACACACACAGGCACATATTGTAGATACACAAACAGAGACTGTTACATATACCATCGTATGAGCACAAAAGTCGCCTGGCTGACTAACCAGCTTTTGTGCCAAGGGTCGAGCGTTGGGGCGTTCGTCGCGTGGGTGGACGCCTTTCCCGAACGCCGCCTCCTTCGACCGCTCCCATCGCTGCTGCTGTTGCTGTTGCTGCTGTGTTCTGGCACTTCCGCTGTTCCTCTCACACACACACAAGCACAGTTTGAGGAACTTTTAGGCAGGCAAATAATTCACAAAAAATACACAAATACTCGTACGATTATATAGCAGGAAGCCAAGTAAAATATATTGCGAGTAAATTTCTTTTGTTGTTCGGCTAGACGTTTAGTCGCAGTCAGAGAGAAGGAGAGTGAGAAGAAGAGAGCGAGAGTCTGTGTGTGAGTGAAAGAGAGCAAAATGAAAGCAATGGCGACAATTTGTTAAATTGTTATTGTTATTTCTATGTTAAATGCTCCACTGCCCCCACAATGGCTACCCCCCAAACACCCATACACCTCTACGCCACCCACTCTTCCAGCGCAGACCACCTACCGCCCTGTCCCCCCACCCCCACGATACAGCAGCGGCTGCTGCACGTAACGTCGATCTGCATAAATTATGTGAGTTTTATAAGGACACAAGAAACACAAAGAGTACCGATGCCGAGCTGCTAGCAAAACTTATTACGCAAAACAAATATTTGACGACAATTTTTACTTTTACTGTTCAGTCTTTTGCCATTTTCGGACAATTCCTCACAGGAAACAGGAAAAGGGATATACGTAAAGGAGGTATTGTTAGAGAGTTCTGGGGTTTTAATTTCATTCCGACTAATTATAGCGTTGCAGAAAAGACCAGAGGGTATAAAAAAGCCATAATAAAATGCAGTAAAGGGAAGGCTATCCAAAAATGGTATAGAGGAATGTCTAAATAAAATGTGAATTGGATAAAAGTGGGTTGAAAAACATGGGAAAAGAATGGTATCTTTGGAAGGGGAGAGAAGAATATCTACAAATAGTCCGAGAAATAAAATCAACAGAAATTC